CATCCTGAGAGCTGCCCTGCCGCCGTTGCTGTTCCTACCTGGCAATTACAGATCCACTAACAATCTGATGCACGATATGCGGCATAAGCACAATAAGCAGGGAGGCACCAGTTCTCAGATGCTGATATTGCAAAGTAACACAGGGTAACACATGTATTGTATCAGTATAGCACAGCATCTGCGGATTTTCAGAACGTATCTATAGTTACAAACAATGGGACGCTCTAAAAGGGCAGTCGCCCTTCCTGCAAGGCGAGATTAGCAATGGCGGTGACAGCATCCAGGTGCTGAATCTATCTACCTGTAACACCAGGTCGGGAACAAGCACACCGAGATTTGGATGGTTGTCTCCAAGCTGCACCGCCACTGGACTACCGTAATACACGGAACGCGTATAGCACAACCGGTACGAGAACTTCGCATAGGGCAAAGAAAAGGAAAACCCCCCCGACTATGTTCCCCAGCGACGGCGGTGGCTCTTACACGAACAACAATGGGGAATTTGGCGCTGGCAGACTGAGCTCCATGTCCCGAGACCCGCCCCCTGGATGGCATCGGGTAGCCCGTCCCGGAATCTTGCTTTTGGCAATCATCACCATCACGCGTTTGCGCGTGACAACGTGGTGATCCTAGCCAGGGGTTTGTCTGGTTTAAGTTTTATGCAAAAAGCTTACCGGCCTCCCGCGGTGATAATCGTGCCTGGATTAGCTGAAGCTTCGTGCTCGATTTGGCACAGATGCTCGTCGTTCATAAACAAATGTGTCTTTTCTGTCAGCTTAGAGTTTATCGTGTGAGCACGAGGGTCTGCAGCCTCGGTCCTGTTGAGAGTTGTGGTGTTCTATTTGGAGCTTCTGGAAACGGTGCAACTGAGCAACGCCCCCGAGCCGCGGGCGCCATGGCTTGACGGCTTGAAAGTTATTTCTGCAATTGTCAACTTGAGCGAGAAGCTATGACTATCCTGGGAGCTCAGGTGGACAGAATGGGATATAAGAAGAGTAATTGCTAATGTTATTTGCTCCACATTTGACTTATGCATTCTCTGATGACATCCATCTTTAGAATAGAGTTTCTTGCGTCTACATCTCATAGATATTTCTTCGCATACAGTAGCGGTTTATCCGGGTTGACACTGTCAATTATTTCTGCCAGCTGCCACAGTTTACGCCGGACCGATTCGGCCCGCCCATCCAACGTCATCCAGCCATGGCGGGGCACGCCGCCGCCCAAAGAATTTCCAAAGGCGAAGCTGGTTGATGCAAAGATCGAGCTCCATATCGGACGAGCTTCACGGGTAATTGGCCGGAGCTTCTAAACGTAGAGTCTAAACGAAGCTGTCAGCTGCTCGATTAGAACCAGGTACCAGGCGCTCTCTCGGGCTATAACTGCATACATATAGCAGACATGGAGGCCGAGATCAGGGCTGTTCTCCCCAACATCGACCCGGTCGTATCTGACTACTCCGTTGGATACCTGACCCATGCATCCACTGCCTTCGCAGATGAGGAGAGCGAGGTTCAAAATCCTCTCAACGAAGCCGCTGCGACAGTCACCGAGCTGCTTCTCTCTGCCTCCGGTGGCAAGGACGCCGCTCTCGAAGAAAAGATCAAGCAGCTGGTGGAGAAATGGGTCAACAAGTATGCCGAAGCCAACGGAGGTCAGAGACTGGGCCCAATGGCCATCAGGAGATTAGACCAAACGATCCAGGTCAGCTCTCAGCGAAACATGTCGTCTACTTTGGCCGTCGCTGGTGGTGCTGTTGATTTGGAATCCGCCAATGCCAGAAAGGTCGAGTCCAAAGTTGATCGCAAGAAGCTCGAAAAGGCTGAGCGGAAGATTGCCGCTAAGCAGCAGAAGAAGACGTTCAAGACTGTCGAGTACGAGGCCTCGAGACTGCTCGAGCTGCCCGAGGATGCACAGTCCTATGAAGAGTTCTACATGGCCGTCAACCCGCTGCAGATCGGTTCGTCGGGAGCCAACAAAACCAAGGACATCAAGCTGGATAGTATTGATGTGTCTATCGGTGCTAATCGTATCCTCACTGATACCACTCTTACGCTCGCATATGGTCGCCGCTACGGTCTCGTTGGTAACAACGGTGTGGGTAAATCCACGTTGCTCCGAGCTCTCTCCAGGAGAGAAGTCGCCATTCCGACACACATTTCTATTCTTCACGTTGAACAGGAGGTAAAACATGCTTTTCCCCTTTGCGTACAAAGGTATTGCTGCTAAATGGATGATGGTAGCTCATGGGTGACGATACGCCTGCTATACAAGCAGTTCTTGATGCCGATGTCTGGCGAAAGGTTCTCCTCAGAGAACAGAATGTAAGACAACTCCCGCAATGGCCATCTCCAGAAAGTTGCCTTCTAACTTCATCTATTAGGAACTCACGGCCAAATTGGCAGAGCTGGAAGTCCAGCGAGCTCCCTTGGCTGACACATCAGCAGATGCTGCCAGGCTGGATCTTGAAAAGGAGACTATGGACACCAAGCTTGGTGACGTTCAAGCTAAGCTGTCTGAAATGGAGTCTGATAAGGCAGAGTCACGCGCTGCTACTATTCTTGCTGGTCTCGGTTTCTCTCCCGAGAGGCAGCAATACGCAACCAGGACCTTCTCTGGAGGTTGGCGTATGCGTTTGGCCCTGGCGCGTGCTCTGTTCTGTGAACCTGATCTGTTACTTCTTGACGAACCGTCCAACATGTTGGACGTTCCCTCGATTACTTTCCTTTCCAATTACCTCCAAGACTACCCAAGCACAGTTCTCGTCGTCTCTCACGACAGAGCATTCCTCAACGAAGTCGCGACAGATATTATCCACCAGCACTCTCAGCGCCTCGATTACTACCGCGGTGCCAACTTTGAGTCTTTCTACGCTACACGTGAGGAGCGAAAGAAGACGGCCAAGAGAGAATACGAAAAGCAAATGGCAGAGCGAGCTCACTTGCAGGCCTTTATCGACAAGTTCCGTTACAACGCGGCCAAGTCGTCAGAAGCTCAGTCCCGTATCAAGAAGCTCGAGAAAATGCCTGTTTTGGAGCCGCCAGAGAAGGAATACGATGTCAAATTCCAGTTCCCCGAAGTCGAAAAACTGTCACCACCCATCATCCAGATGTCGGAAGTCAGCTTTGGATACACTGCTGATAAGCCCTTGCTGAGGAACGTTGATCTTGACGTTCAGCTGGATTCTCGAATCGGTATTGTTGGACCCAACGGTGCTGGTAAGACGACAGTCTTGCAGCTCCTTATTGGAAAGCTCTCAGCGTCAAAGGGTCTCGTCACGTCACATCCACGACTTCGCATTGGATTCTTTGCGCAGCACCATGTGGACTCGCTCGACCTCACCATGAGTGCTGTCAGCTTTATGGCCAAGGCGTACCCTGGAAAGACTGACGAAGAATATCGTCGTCAACTGGGCGCTTTCGGTATCACTGGCACAACAGGATTACAAAAGATGGCACAGCTTTCTGGAGGTCAAAAGTCAAGAGTGGCCTTTGCCTGCTTGGCATTGACACAACCCCACATACTCGTGCTGGACGAACCGTCCAACCACTTGGATATCGAGGCTATGGATGCCCTTTCCGAGGCATTGAACCAGTTCGAGGGAGGCGTGCTGATGGTTTCCCACGACGTGACGATGCTGCAGAACGTGTGTACATCCCTGTGGGTGTGCGACGGAGGCACGGTTGAGAAGTTTGACGGCAACGTGCAGCAGTACAAGAAGAAGATTGCGGCTCAAGCAGACGCTGCGGGAGTTGTCAAGGCGCATTAGTTTAGGGAGAAGTTATCAAGCACCCAGTTTCATTATTCAACGCCCCAGCTATAGCTCAATAAAGCAGCTAGTCCACATATTAAAGTTCACAACTGCTACGACTACTACTTATATCTACCTGAACCAGCCTCAATGCTTCTGTATTCACGCCTCTATTCTGCCAAAGTGATGCCCGTCTCCGTGTTCGCGCCAATTCAGTGCTAGCGGGGAAAACGTGGTGGGGGGCGCCAACTCTCATCTCGGCTCATGAGCTGGCGTTGCAGGAGGAGACACGACCAGGCACAGACTTGGGCAATGTTGCGGTAAAGAGCAAAGGAGCGTGTTGGAAGCAATTGAAGTGATGATCCTCGCCCAACGACCAGGCAAGGCCAGGACGGCTTAGCGTGCTTGTATCTTCTCGCTGGCATTGAAGCTGCATGAGTGCCTGCACCCCTTTTTTTCGAGCCTGCGTACGAGTACAGAATGCAGTGACATGCTTTTGCCGAGATTTTCCAGCAGCGATGCAGCCACCTGGCGACTGTCTCCAGGGATCATGAGAGTACGGTAGCGAATCAAATCATGTTTATTCGTTTCTCCAGTCATCAATGATTTATACCGTTGAGTGCTATCTCGTAGACATGTAGATAGTTATCTAGGCACGGGTAGGTAGATCTTCTGCCGCAACAACATCAACAGTAGAGCACCAAAGGGTCCATCGGGTTTACTGCCTCTCCCCCTTCTTCAGGCGCCAGGTGGCCCTGAGCCCGGTGCTAAACGTGCTAAGCAGCCACTGGCTCTCCTTCCCCGGCTGGGCCCCGCCTGGCGATGGGGCCTATGGCGGTGAACCATCTCCACCCGCAGCGTCCCAACCTTCAAACAAAAACCACCAGCTCCTCCAAGCCCAAGCTCTTGTCCTGCAAACCCGCGAAGCTCTCCATAGCTCTCGAGATCCTCTCCTTCTCTGCCTTTCTCTCTCCTCCGGACTTCATATCCGAGATTTTTTTAATTTTACCACGACAGCGTCGCCTCCATTCAATATGCGTGAGATTGTATGTTTCCCCTCCCCCTCCACCCCCCTTTCTTTTTTGTTTACTTTGGTCCCTCTCTGCGAACGCGTTGGAACCCCTGAATTGATACCCCGCCAAACTCGATACATGAACGTCTCGAAGTTTTTCTCACGCCCAATTCGACCCGATTGAGGCGCGCTATGATGAGAAAGATGGCATTTGCTAATAATTGATTTCTTTTCGGCAAAATAGGTTCACATCCAGACCGGTCAGTGCGTAAGTCAACAACCTCCAAAAGTCCGCCATCGAAGCGGTGTCCAGGAGCTCACCAGATTCCACAGGGTAACCAAATCGGTGCCGCCTTCTGGCAAACCATTTCCGGCGAGCACGGTCTCGACAGCAATGGTATCTACAACGGCTCTTCCGAGCTCCAGCTGGAGCGCATGAACGTCTACTTCAACGAGGTATGTAATGATAAGTGAAAAAGAGGACACCTGGAGGACTTTCGCGCTGACCCTGATGGTGCAGGCCTCCAACAACAAGTATGTTCCTCGCGCTGTCCTCGTCGATCTCGAGCCCGGCACCATGGACGCCGTTCGTGCCGGTCCTTTCGGTCAGCTCTTCCGTCCCGACAACTTCATTTTCGGCCAGTCTTCAGCCGGAAACAACTGGGCCAAGGGCCACTACACCGAGGGTGCTGAGCTCGTCGACCAAGTCCTCGACGTTGTCCGCCGCGAGGCCGAAGGCTGCGACTGCCTCCAGGGCTTCCAGATCACCCACTCCCTCGGTGGTGGTACCGGATCTGGTATGGGAACTCTCCTGCTTTCCAAGATCCGCGAGGAGTTTCCCGACCGAATGATGGCCACTTTCTCTGTTATGCCATCCCCCAAGGTGTCCGACACCGTCGTTGAGCCCTACAACGCCACTCTCTCCGTCCACCAGCTGGTCGAGAACTCTGACGAGACCTTTTGCATTGATAACGAGGCTCTTTACGACATCTGCATGCGCACCCTCAAGCTGAACAACCCTGCCTACGGTGACCTGAACTACCTCGTCTCTGCCGTCATGTCAGGCATCACCACCTGCTTGCGATTCCCCGGTCAGCTCAACTCTGATCTCCGCAAGCTGGCCGTGAACATGGTTCCTTTCCCTCGTCTCCACTTCTTCATGGTCGGCTTCGCTCCCCTGACCAGCCCCGGTGCTCACTCTTTCCGTGCCGTCACCGTGCCCGAACTCACCCAGCAGATGTTCGACCCCAAGAACATGATGGCTGCTTCTGACTTCCGCAACGGTCGCTACCTGACCTGCTGCTCTATCTTGTAAGTAACGATGATGCCTTGGCGTGGCAAGATGTGGTGCTAACAGACATATGTAGCCGTGGCAAGGTCGCCATGAAGGAGGTTGAGGACCAGATGCGAAACGTGCAGAACAAGAACTCCACCTACTTCGTTGAGTGGATCCCCAACAACATCCAGACTGCCCTCTGCGCCATCCCCCCTCGTGGCCTGAAGATGTCATCCACCTTCATTGGTAACTCCACCTCCATCCAGGAGCTGTTCAAGCGTGTCGGCGAGCAGTTTAGCGCCATGTTCCGTCGCAAGGCTTTCTTGCATTGGTACACTGGCGAGGGTATGGACGAGATGGAGTTCACTGAGGCCGAGTCCAACATGAACGACTTGGTGTCTGAGTACCAGCAATACCAGGAGGCTGGTATTGACGAGGAGGAGGAGTACGAGGATGAGGCCCCCATGGAGGCCGAGGAGTAAAAAGCGCGCTGACTGTGTTCCTCCAACTTATTATTCTTTGGGCGCATGAGTTTGTGTGCGTGTAGCCCTGATCAGCACTGTAGGACTTGCCTTGCAGAGCTTGTTGAGATGACTGGACGACTATTTTGATATCCATGCGTGATATGACAGTCTGTCAGAGTAGCAAGTGTTTATAAACTAAATGATAAATAAACGAGTACAGTTGTTGTACAGTAGAAACCGAAATAAGTGTCTGGATTTCATTATAATGACAGTCTTTGATTCTTACTGCACAGCTCCGCACCCAAGTTAGTGATTCTGGTTCCTGTATAAAAGGCCACGCCCACTTTGTTATCGAGGATTTTCAAGTTGAGACTTCCTTCAATTTAAATCAATACAACTTCTATGGTTCAGGAAGTAACGGAGCACCACAAACTATCAGACATACCATATATCAGGGCAAGGGGGGTTTTGTTATACAAATCTGGATTACTTTGCAGTCTTACTCTTTTTTCTTGGCTAAGATGGTTATAACAAAGTAGAAAAGTATATTGTATACTATAGTTTTTATAATAATAAAAACAACCCAAACCAATCTTATAACCTATCCTCTCTACTCCATATACAGTTACAAGATAATTTAATAGAAAGCAGTTATATTATGTATAGTCCTAGGGCCAACTGTACCATGGGTTGTTCCCAGTTGTATCATTGGCCCATCCCATTGTTATCGTTGTCCACAAATCGCGAAGCACCGGTGGCTCGTCATCTGCATGCGGAGTGGGAGATGGAATTACATCTTCAATCCCAAGACCGGTATCCCACGTAGAAATATAAGGGTCCATTCTGTGATCAAACATTGGGCAACCCCGAATTCCTGATGACGATGGAATTGCCGCTGCCGCCGCTGCCGCCGCTGCCGCCGCTGCCGCCTCTGCCGCCTCTGCAGCGGCCGTTACTGTCTTGAGACGTAGCGCGACCCGGCGGTCATACTTATCTTTAAGGATACGCAAGACGACGCGACTGGCAGTGACGGCATCGACTCGAGTATTAACCGTGGTCAAGTCAGAACCTTTGCACATATGTGTCAAGAACTCGTTAAAATGCAACTCGCTTCTTGCCCAACAGTCATCCCAGCCAGGGAGCTCAGTAAGAGGGAATGAGAGACGAAGGGCGATGATGGTGGTGATAACAACCTTCATCCAATCATTGGAAGAGAATGCAGTAAGTGCTGATTGCCCTAGATCAGAGACAAAGTCAAACATCGTCTTGATTTCGGCAACGCAACTTTTAAGCTTTGATATTGAAGGGAAAATGTACCCAGGGGGCCTGTTCTTAGATTGCCCCATGCGAAGTAAAGGACAGCCTATAAGATAGATGCGAAAAAATAGCTCCGAGAACTTCACTGGTACTTCTAGGCTCTTAGTTTTATTTCATAAAGCACAATTTAAGGATACTTACCATCATTGGCAATTCGAGTGAGCATTCGTTGCCGGAGCTCTCGACCTTGAACTTCTAGGCCGAATAGGATAAACTGGCTCTGTTGCTCAGTTGTCACGGTGCTCTCATGTATTGCGTCTTCAGCGGCGTTTGTGTAATTCGTAAATTGTACGAGGTAACTTAAGGCGAAGTCGCTATCGGACTCTGCGCACCTCTGCAGAATGTCACAGCAAGTAGCTGTCCAAGCAGTAAATGGAGGTTTTACGTCTATCTTCTTCCAGGCGACCATGAGGCTAAGATTCACTGTAAGCAAACATTCCAATAGTGGATATAATCCTAGTAGAATACGTACTTTGATCCAACGTAGAACCAGGAGAGATATGTGCGGATTTTATCAAGCTGCTCCTTCGTCACTTTAGAGTTAACACCGCCTTTCAACTCGGGCAACTCTTGATTGAGCCCCATATCGCGAACCATATCCCCCGCCATACAGAGATACTGAAAAACTTGCTTATTTTTGGGCCTAAGGTGGAATGGATACCTATAGTTGTAAGTGTTTGTTCATTGGACAAAATGATAAGACATGTATTACCAAGCACAGTAGATGAGCGTACCCTGCAGAAGTTCAATGCTCCTCTCCCCGCCGGCCACAAACTTGAGGCCTAGAACCTTTCGAAACTCTTCATCATAAAGGCTATGCCCTTGAAGAGTCCGCGATCCAGACACTGCCGCCAAGATCGCCAGTAAAACAAATGGCCGAGAGGCAGCAAGGCTTAAAACCGTGTCTTCAGGCTGAAGGTTAATGCAGGGGAAATGGGATAACATTCTGCCGAATAAGGCCAATAGGGACTCGGCAGAGTCGAGGTTGAATTGGGGTTTTGCATGGAGAGATTGGATGGAGTGGCTGTGCGAAGACGAGGGAGTGGGAAAACCTGTCATTGGTGAGGCAGTGAAATTGTTAATGTCAGAGTCTGGCTCGGAGGGAAATATGCTCTCGAGGAACTGTGCATGACTATCGCGCAAGGCGTCGAAATTCTCGTCGACATCGGGCAGTGACTGCACGTCAAATTCAATAGTGAACGTCCTAGATGGGCGGCTTGCGGGCGGTGGCTGAGGTTGTGCTGCATCACCAGGGCTGATTATCAAATCAGTATTCATATTCACTCTGACCCTTGATCGTCAAGCAAGACATACAACTTCCTTCTTCTTCGGCGAGTGCGTGGGCCTGTTCGTGATATGCATTCTCTCTTGGATTCAAGACATCTAAATGTGGACGCGTTAGTGTATATGTTTGCTATCGGCATGTTTTCTCAATTCTTACTTGCGGCAAACCGTGGGCTGTTCGCTCGGCTGACATTTGACCTTGGCCGCTCTGCATGCCTCACATGCTATTGATACAATCTTTTGTGCGCGGGTAACAGATTCTATAGCAGGAGAGATGCTATATGCGTCCATTGAGAGGGGTATGTGTTACTGTAGATGTAGTGTAGGTTACCGTAGGATAGTGTGTCGCAATGCCCTTAGGTAGATGGAGATCCTCCAAGGATTTAGCGGGGCTTCAGGATTTTCAATGCGACGATGCAAAGATAAAGAGTGTGCATATTGGGCAGAGAGGCAAAAGATTCAAATATCACAAGCACTGGATCCGGGCTAAAGACTTGCTAGACAACTAACTTCGCTATGAAAACAGTTGATTACTTAATCCACCCTGGCCTTTTCTCTGTTTTTCCCCCCGTATAATAGATAGTTTATCACTAGATCTCAAGTGGAGATTTCCCTTTGTGGAAAGGTAAGACGTAACGTCCGATCTCCTTCGGCGCTTAACGTGCATTAGACGCTTTGTATAAAACTCTCTTGGAAAATATGGGCTTAGGTTATAGTTACATGACGCCATGGAACTTTCTTTTAGATTCTACAGCAGTGATACCTCTTGCCTTCTATATGTAACTAGGCTGGCCGTGAAGAGCGTCCCGTGCAGAGCCGGTTACTAATCATATTCTATTTGCGTGGTTTAGGTCAAAGTCGACCGCCTCCTATTAACCAATCTATTTCTCGCGGCCTGGCGCTTATTAGCGCTTCAGAACTTGATATCTATTCCGCGATTGACCCGAGTTACCTTTCTAAGGATGTGGATGTCGAGACGATAATCGACGAACCATTATATACACGGAAGATCGTCAAAAGTACGCCAATGGCCGATATAGTTAAAACCAAATGGTAATACAGCCCGGTTACAACAGTGTTGGCTGGCTGGCTCAAGTGGTAGCGAACGAGTTGGAAGATCAAGTTGCATCTGGATATCTTCTTAGTATCTCGAGAAATGTTCGATGATGTCGCGGAACGCTGGTAGCGTCGGTGACCATAGGATGAAACCTTACGAAATCCGGCGCCTCACCGTTCTTGATGCATGTGAGATATTCTTTATACGAGGGGAAACATTGTCAGGTCAGTGTTTTCCATCGCTTAGAGATCAGCTCACACGGTTGAGAAGAAGGAATGGAAGATCAATGCGGCATTAAGACGGGCAGCGAGTAGGAAAAGAAAATGCGACGAATCATATTCACTAGTCTATCCCTTCTGCGGCAGCAGCGAAGAGGGGATTTGAGCTGTCTACCAAGGACAACAGACTGGAAGGCTACGGATTGGGTAGGTAACTATCGGGGTGGGACACTAACGATGGCAATGTTGTTGATACTTCTACGTGATGCGAGCGCAAATAAAACACAAATTAATAACTATTCAAAATCACTATAGCCAGTCTGACTGTCTCTTGCAGCAGGCCAACTCTCTATTCAGTATATTAAGAGCCACAACAAGCTAACTATGCTAATCTAGAGCTGTGTGTGATTTGCTTGGAATGCTGGAGGAGTATATACAATGGCATAGCGAAGTAAATCATGATAACCGTCGAGAGCCGGCCTGCTCTTTTTGATCATGAACTACTTCGGGCTTACCGCCAGTTGTTTATTATATACTATAAAAGCTGTAGGTATTACTAAGTACAAATTTATAAAAAAAAAATTGTCCAGCGTTAAATTTGGAAATATAAGGCTTATATATAAGTAGTATGGGAACTTCTTTAAAACTAAAGCTACATAATCCTAATAAACCTTGTCAAGCAAATCAAAAAGTTTGAAAGAGGCGCCTGATTGCCTATTGGATGCAATAAGGCCGTAATAAAATTCTAGCAAGTCAGGGGCAAAGCCATATAGTTAGCTTATCTATCTTCCGAGCGAACACGGAGTTTGACTAATAGCGTGGTAGGTGAATCATAATGAGACTCCACTAAAACCATTTGGTACAACATGTATATTATGATATCAAAAATAATTATTAATCACAATAATTGATCGAACGATGGAACGTTGAGCCCGGATATTTTTCTCAAGCACAGTTTGTTGCAGGTTTTGTATTAGCCATAGGCTGGGCGCTGACTAGGTGTTACCAATCCATGTAGCTGCCAGGGTATGCTAGAACATACCTTCGAAGGGATAAAAGCTAACGATTTGCCGACAGCATTATTTCATTGTTCTCAGAAGTTAATTTCATTCCCTTTGCATCAAATCAGTATCATAAATCGCCATGTCTTTAGTTCAGCCTACAAAGTCTATAGCTGGAGTTGAGGTGATTGATACGCCCCTCGTTCGAGCTGCCCAAGACTTCGCTCGCGAAAACTTAGAGGACTTTGCATATAATCATGTTATGCGCTCGTGGATCTTTGGTGTCATCATATACAAACGTCTCAGAGAGAGAGGAGAGTTTCCGGCTATCGACCTGGAGGCTCACGCAGTCAGCACCATCCTTCATGATATGGGCTGGGACAAAAGCGGCAAACTAGTTTCTGTGGATAAGCGCTTTGAAGTTGATGGCGCCATAGCCGCCCGAAGCTTTATCGAGGAGCAGCAGAAATCCGGAAAGACAGCGGACTGGGACGACCGTAGGCTGCAACTTGTATGGGATGCTATTGCCCTGCATACAACGCCTGCAATTGCAGCGTACAAAGAACCTGTAGTGAGACTCTGCGGCTTCGGAACTGCTTCAGACTTTCAAGGGCCAGGCAGTGATCCCACAGGGACAGTGACATGGGAGGATTTCCATACCTTGAGCAATGTGTTTCCTCGTCACGATCTGGCGGGCGGGATCCGCAATGTCATGTGTGGCCTATGTAGAACCAAGCCTGCAACTACATACGGTGAGTAACCCTTCGCAATGGTTCTGTCATGTATGCAGAAATACTGAAATGATTCTAGATACATTTATAATGGGTTGGGGCAGAAAATATATTGAAGGTTATCAGGAAAAGGAGAAGCTTATGTATGAGGCTATTGAACAATCACTCCCATAGCTTTGAGCCACTAGCTTCTCTTAGATGATGAGATAAATATATCAAATGGCGTTTTTGCTGCTGCTTTGTACGAGTTGATCCACATTTCCCTTTGATCAATCACTAAAACTTAGTAATGTTACTTTAATGTTCTGTTTGTTTGTTCTATTATTGACATTTCGTTAAGTAGGCTAGTTGATCGAATTTTTATCTAGGCAATGGTTCAGCAATCTGAATCGACTCCATCTAGTCTCCCTCCTTCAAGATTGCCCTAGCTAGACAGCAAACATATCAACCAATGACCAAAGGCGTCAGTTCTTATGGTTCGCTTGTTTCTCATGACATAGAAAGGACATATAATATTCGTAGTAGCAGTCTCATATCAAGAGAAATTTTCAAGAAAGGGAAGACTCAAGCATTTTTTCTCCTATTAGTTGTATTTTCCGAACCTGACAGCGATTTGTCATTGACTCAGGAGTTTATAGGTTAAACGCCGAGAGTAGTCGGGGTCTACTTCAGCAATAAATAGTAAGTCAAGGCTCTCACTAATAAGAAGCGGCCCACATCATTAGTAGCCATGACGGTCTACCCGAGCGTCGCCGGAGTTTTGTATGTCGCCCACTACTTGTCTAGGATATGGAATCATGGTATACGTATTCCTCTGTGTGCAGACATGGAAGGCTAGTTCATAGTTGCTCCTATTTCCAGAGGCATCCAAGCTAGAATACGTGGCCAAAAAATCATGGCGGAGTAATTGGAAATTTGGGCTATAGCCATAGAGAATTATAAATAAGCTAACAATACTCCTAACGCATGTGGAAAAATGCTTTCGATAACATCAACTTGGCACAAAAAATCTCCCAGCCCAGTGGTCTTAGATTGTCCTTTTAGAACAAATTTCGGTGCCGGTCCCCTGAACTTTATTGATTTTCTAATACAAGTTTCCAGCTAGCTGAAAGTCAAGTACCTGTTCCGAGATGTTGAGCAAGGTAGAAGAAAGTATTGGCCTTGGTAGTGTGGAAGAAGGGAGTGAACAACCAGTTGATGATAATGCGATTACAAAAAGTCCTCGACAGGATATGCCTACCTGGAGATGGGTCATGACTCTAATGGGCATATGCTTCGGAACTCTACTATACGGTAATTTGTTCTCTCAATCTCGCCCCTCCCCCCTCCCTTCCTATTTATTCATATGTCTGGCGGAATTAACCGAGAATTTGATGCCAGGCCTCGACACGACGATCGCCGCCGACGTTCAAGCTTCGGTCTATGAAACCCTCGGGGACATTGAAAATCTTGCGTGGGTTGGGGTCGGCTTTCCCATGGCTTCAGTGGCCGTTATCCTCCTCCAGGGTCGCGCCTACGGTCTATTTGACGTCAAACCATTGATGCTCTCCTCAATTGTAATTTTCGAAGCCGGCAGTGCTTTGTGCGGCGCAGCTCCGACGTCGGATGCCTTGATTGTCGGTCGAGTGATCGCTGGAATTGGTGGATCGGGAATGTACTTGGGGTAAGTCTGTGTTAGAGAAGATGGTCGTTGGTTGGGCATCTGGTGTATTCGGCTAACGTGCATTCAGGGCCCTTACATATATATCAGTCTTTTCGACTAAGAGAGAAACACCGGTGTACAATGCTCTCATAGGGCTCTTTTGGGGAATTGGGGCAATCCTTGGGCCTGTAATTGGCGGCGCATTTTCGGCCAGCGCGGCCACATGGCGATGGGTAAGTAATTGAGCACACTTCAGCAAAGCTTATATACATAAGAAAGAGCACAAAAGGTGAATTAAAGAAACTAACGCTGAGATCTTTCATTAGGCCTTTTACATAAACCTCCCTCTCGCGGCCCTATTCGCTCCTATCTACCTCTTCATCTTTCCGTCGTTTCAGAGAAAGAATCTTTTGCTTGTTGAAAAGCTGCGAGAGATCGATTGGGTCGGTGCGGTTCTTAATGGGGGGGTTTTTGTTCTGTTTATGATCGTTGTCACCTTCGGCGGTTCGACGTTCCAATGGACTTCTGGGTCTGCAATTGGGCTTTGGGTCGTTTGGGGAACTTGCCTCATTGTCTTCGTCTTACAGCAGTACCTTAGCATCTTGACGACACCGGAGCGACGCATCTTCCCCTTGCATTTTCTCAAGTCTCGAGTCCTTGTGCTGCTATATGTTACAACAGCAGCCGTCGCGGCTGCTAATAGCATCGCTCTGTACTACGTTCCCTTGTTCTTCCAGTTTACAAGAGGCGATACGGCCCTTCAGGCCGCTGTCCGCCTCCTGCCCCTAATCGTCGTCTTTATATTCTGCATTATGGTCGGCGGAGCTCTCCTTCCTATTACTGGACTATACGGTATTTTCTATATCATCGGCGGGGCTTTGGTTATTGTTGGCGGTGCTCTCATGTTTACGATAGATGCCGGAACGAGCGCTGGGAAGATATATGGATATGAAGTGTTGCTCGCCATCGGGACCGGTCTGCCGTTCCAAAGCGCCTATGCCGTCGCTGCTAGCAAGGTCCGTGTAGGGGACCGGGCCAATGCCATCGGCTTCATCAATGTGGCGCAGATCGGGAGCATCGCCATCTCGCTCGCCATTGCCGGGTCGCTCTTCCAGAATCTCGGCTTTGATCTGCTCAAGGCGGCCTTTGCAGACTATAGCTTTTCTGACGACTCTATTCGGTCGGCTTTGTCGGGGACCGCATCGCCTATATTCACCTCCGCCGATCCTGAGGTAGTCGCAATTGCGGTTTCGAGTGTGGCCGAAACAATAAGACGCATTTTTGGGGCTACCATAGCCGCCGGCGCTGTATTGTTAATCGGCGGTGTTCTTATGCCGTGGGAGAAGCTTGATCTAGAAGTTGTTGCTGGGTAGATTCTCTTATGTAGTACCAGTAATTTTGTTTGCTCGTGGTGTCCCGAGCGGGCGGGAGATCGGATTGGGAGAAGTCATTTCAGGCAAATAAGAGAGAAGATACTAGAAGCTCTATCCTACTAAGATCTTCATAAGGGACCCCAGTAGGGCTACAACTCACTTTCCTACCTGCTAGGACCCAGCGGACACAAACACTTTCAGACACTAGTAGAGGATACCAGCCCGTACGGCACCATCCCCCAGGATTTAGATTAATAACACCACAATTTCCCCTCATACACTTGAAACGTAGCGAACACGGGCTCTGAATCAGTGGCTCCTACCGTCCTATTGCCCAGATGAGGCCTATATGTAACTAGCATACTTAGTGGACGTTAATATAAAACAGACAAACAAACATTTCCCGCCGTACAACCCAAGTCACATAGGTCACTTTAAAAGAACAAGCCAATAGCTAACCTATGATATACAATAGCTTCGTTATCAAATCTTATTTAATGCCTGTAGGGGGAAGCAGCAGCTGCTAGTGGGCAGGCGACCAATTACATAGTAAGCAAATAATAAAGGCGCAGGAGGGTTTCTAAGACAGCTATCAAGCATTCAATTGGCCTCTACTTTAAACATATTCATTTATACATTGCTTAGTAAAGCTCGCGTGATTGCGGCAATACTAATTCAGCCGCCGTATACGATCAAAAGATCGACAACTAGGAGGATCAATGAAGGATACGCAGAGCTTTATATAGTCCATATTCAAGAGCAATAGTCAGGATAAGGTAGGCAGCTGTTTGTCTCTCATCAGGTGAGAAAAGTAAGAAGGCTGGATCTAGGATATGTTGGGTTCTTGCCGCTTACTTTTTCTTCTTCATATAAGCTCTTTTCCGCATGCTCTATATTATCAGTAGCTATAGACCGGAAGTTGGAATGTAATATTGAGGTTTAATTTTTGTCTCTAGAGATAGATGCATTAGCTGTATGTAAAATAATAGTGCTGGTTCCTGTCTCTGAAGGTAGATATATTGGGTTGGAAAAACTATTGGGAAAAAAAATAACCATTGGGCTAGAATAGCTATTGAGTCAAATCAAGCATTAGGTTAGGCGTGGGGTTAGATTGTTTGAATAAAGTCAGTAAGTCAGTATAAAAGCAAGATTGGAGAGGTTATGGAGCTTAGACTTGGATACGGCTGGCATATTAGCCTGCTGAAGCAGCCATTCCCATAGAAATATATGAGCCATCTGGAAATAAAAGCGTTACAGGTTCTAATGGATAGTTGACTATACATATTATTATTACCAGTGGCAGTACTGTATTTATACATCTTTAGATATTAGTTTCATTACGCCGGTGCATCCCAAAACACTTGCAGATAATGACATTTTCTCAACTCTAGCTGCTCTGCAACATTAATAACATATGTATATAGCAAGACACCATATTCATTATACCCAACAAGCACATTCCAATACCAGTGAGCCCTCCTTGCTTGTATACGGCTCCTATATAACACTTTCTCAGCATCGCTTTACATCCGACTGTACAGCTTGGAGTTGTTATCTTTCTGAGTGCTCATGGGCAAATCAATGGCAGGGTTTCGCGGGAAGAAGTTTACAGGTTTCAATGTAACCTGGAGTTTATCAACCGGCATGACAGGCCAATCCTAAATGGAAAGAAACCGTAATCAGCATATTATAAAAGCCATAAGGTGATTGGAGCTCATCGTAATAGCTTACCTCGACACGAGGGTTGTGAGTGGTACCAAAGGTATGCCAGACAACCACATCGCCATCCTCTATCTCTTCATCTCTACTATTGATCCAGCTTAGTATACCCTCACGCCCTGCAGATTGGTTCGTCCATTCCCCAGACGCATAAAGCTCGTCATCGTGGTATTTGGTAAACCACATGCTGTGCAGAGGGAATTCGGAGCGCCGTGCGTGGAATGAATCCGGGCTAGCAAGCATGAGCTACACAAATTGAGTAAATTAGCTCTTGTTTCAATTAGAAGACGTATAATGAAACTCACTTGACTGTTGAACGGAACAACGGCATAGGCAACTGGCTTATCATTTACCGGATTGCGGCTCGAAGGATTGATTATCTTGAAGACTCGATTCTTTAGAGGATCAATGTCCGCAAAGCCCTCCTTTTCTACTACTTTCGATTGAATGTGGTATCCTATGCCTTGAGGATTGCCTTCATTGATTGGTAGAGGGACCGTCTCTTCCACAATCACGGAGTTTCCATCGCCGTCAATTGCGGGATCAATTCTGAGGTTAAAAAAATGCTGGTGATATGGCGCCATTGCTCCGTCCGCAACAACAGTTCCATGGGCGCTAGACTTGACTCCTTGTTCTGTAGTGCTCTTATTAGTGCGAGTTTTTTTGAGATGCTCGTTTTGAATATTATTTACATACCGATGGGTACCGTAGAGACTATTCCAGTCGCTCGGACTTCATAGTGAATGGCACCAGCTGTGTCAAAGATAAATGCGAGAATGTACTCGTAGTTTGAGACCGTAATTATGCTCTGCAGAACAAGGGTACGCGAACGCACGAGAGCAGCTTTTTGGGTTCTGAAATTGAGATGTTTCCACAAAAGCCCATCGTCAACCTCATGACAGCAAATGACGTTCTTCATTACCCGGGGGTTACCATTGATGTCAGTCAAATGAGCATCAAAGTACTTAATTAGACCCAGACAATCACAGCCAAGGGCAAGGTTGTTGGCACAAACACCAGCGCCGTTGCTTCCGAGATCGAATGCGGCTTTTCTATGGTAGGGAGCTCTTGGGTCGGCGTATGGAACGAACATCCTGGTCTCTATTAACATGGCGGCTCGAATGGCATGTCAAACAGCGCGACGTACTCAGAAAGTGATAGGCGGTAAAAAGTATTGCGTCCGTCAAGGGTGATGTTATGCAAGGTTATGCCTTCACGCTATTGCCGATTATTGCGAGTTAGTCAATGAGTAATCTGGAAAGGAGTGGTAACATCAACTTACGTAGTTGAATCCGACGTGAATTTTCCAGCCCATCCATTCCAACACATTGCCCGTAATGCGAAAAGATGGGCCATCTGGCTGCACAACGCGCAAAGGAGCTGGGATCTTCTTCGGGCCAGATCTCAAGTCTGGATGATATTCGTTTTGGCGATCAAGAGACACGGTTGACCATGGAGCAGATTCCGCAGACTGTATCTCATTCTGCGTAATTTCGACTTCATGCTCAAAGTCCTTCTTCGGTAGTCGGAATAGCTTGACCACTTCGAGCTTAACCATATCGAATTGACAGTAGAAGTCCAGTGGATAGGCGTAGTGGTTTGCATTATCTTCAGAAGCATCACCCTTGAGGTAGAAGTAGCACTTGAAAAGCCGAAGTTGTTAGCCTAGTTGCTCTACTCTCTTATCAATGTATATTGACTCGGATTCTTACAATAAGAGTCCTATTTTCCACGTCAAGCTTGTCGTCTGTAGCATAGGTCCACGGATCAATCATGACCTGACTCCCAGCTGGAAGCGAAAGCTGGCGAATCTGCTCAACAATGAGCGGGTCATTGAGACAAGCCTTTTCGGCGCGCATCATCTCAGCCGGATCCGAGATTGCGTGTCTCTTTGCATCGAGCTTCTCATTAGCAATTAACTTTGGCGATTTATCCGATACATCGACGTATGCTCTATAAAAATCCTTTGGACCTTGGACATAGTAATGGGCAAAGGTGACTCTGGCCGGGAAGGGCGTGTCTGGAGGACTGGAACCGCTACGTAGAGCTTCGAGGTGTGGCTTCAGCTCTGCCTTTCGTGGTTCAACAAGAGATATTACTCGGAACGCAAAGACAGTTCCAGGAGGAAATTGAGCTCGTATGAGAGATGAAGTCTATAGATTTTGCTCAAGTCAGACATTCCGTGGGAAAGGGGAAAAAAAAAAAAAGGAACTGGAGTAAAGTGATGCGGTCTGCATAGTCTTACTAGTCGAATCTCCTCCGGCAAAATGGACCCTAGTGGGCGATGCTCTGGCGGTAGGAGCTCAGAAGAAATGTCATGGCCAACGCCAGTCTCACAGCAGCTGGATGCTCCAGATGTCATGTCGAGTGCTCTTTGAGGTTTTGTAGGCTGAGTAGAAGTCTGCAATTGAGTTGGAGTGAAGGATGGAAGAAAGAAGCTGCTTGGGACGAGTTGCTTAGGATGCCGAAATCTATGTTATTATATATGCATTATCTTGATGATATTTGCTTTTAGTTATTTAATATGCCTATTGCAGTACCCATTTACATTTACATTTACATTTACATAAGGTATCTAGTACATGCGTGTTGAGCATTGAAACTTTTACGTGTAGGTTGTATCCCCATAGCCGCCAACCGCCCGAACCGCTATGTAAGCGCCAGATTCCAGCCCCGATCTCGCAGGCATTGCTGCCACCCAAGTGCGGATCTTGGGGACTTCCAAAAGACCTCCAAAGCCTCCAATGCGCTTAGAATATTGGCAAAACGAACCGCATGGTAGAGATCCGATAGTTTCGACCGTACAAACTCTTTGTCATCTGGCTGCTTTACGCATGTGCCCGCTATGAAAAGCGGAAATAGAAGCGCGGAAGCCGGCGCTGATGAGAGCGGCACGCGCGCGATGTGTTGCTTCAAGCTATCTAAATGATACTCACACTTGTCTTCTAGAAACCCGCTTTTCAGGGCGCTACCCTCTACTTCTTCTAGTACTTGATACAAATAAAGTAGTGCCGAGCTGCGATATGCTTCTGCAACGAAGCATAGGAGAAGCGGAAGAGGAGGCGGCAGTTTGAGACAAGCCAGCTGCTGTTCAATCTCCGCACCTTCGCCGTAAATTTGCGCAATGGCGAAGCTTGACTCTTCCGGCTTGGCCTTCCATTCAACCCCTCTTTCTTGCAGCTGACAGATTCTGGCCATCAGAGATAGAATCCTAACATGTGCGCCAACCATAGGATGGGTAAAGTCAGAGGCTAGGCCCATAATCTCTCGTTTGTAGAAAGATGAATCCAGTATTGGTGTCTGGCGCATGGTAACCGCGCCAAGAACGTCATGATACATGAGATATCGAATCAGGAACTGATGATACGCAGAATATTCTACGTTAATCTTTGCCGCAAAGGCGCGCACCAGCTGATTTGCCCCTATACAGTGGCTATACCAGTCTGACACTCCGCCCATGGTAGTCTCTGTAGCGGCGAGGAGGAGAGTCGAGGAGATGAGGTTTTCAAAATCTTCGTCTTTGCTGCTTAAAGCCGATCGAAGGGCCATGATGGCTTTCCCATATTGCGTAGTGGCTTGTTGGCGGAAAGACTCTGCAATAGATATGTCTCCAGATGCTTGTGCTCGATGTGCCATGGAATATGCCAGCAAAGCGCTCATCAAGTGCTTGGTGTTGAACGCTCTCGCAACCAACTGATGAAGCCCTGTATCCTCATCTGAGATGATGGAAGTGGCCGAGATTACATTCTTTCGGTAGTAATCTATGTGCGATAGCTCCTCTACTTCCAGGTTGCCTTGGACTGGGGGAGGGCAGATTAGGCCTTGATGAGCGGCATTGGCATTCTGAACCGATATCTCTATTTTACCGGCAGTTTGTGATGCAAGGGTGCTTTCTCCCGAAATTATCTCGAGCTCATGGTCCGATAAATCCTCGTCAGTGCTATTTTCGCTTGGGGTTTGGACCAATGGCGAAGAAGAAGCTTCGTTGTTTGATGATTCTAGCGCAAGGGTGGAAACTGTTGGCTCTGAAGTAGAACTGACGGGCTTTTCGGACTGATCGGATATGACATTGTCCTGTACAGCAACTTCAAGACGAGGTCGAGCCACACGACAAGACAACCCTAGCCGAGAACAAGTTTCACAGCGCTTCGTGACTGGGCTAAAGAGTTCATCACATCGTTTTTTCCTAACATGCCATGTTAGCTGCGGAATCACATTCTACAGTAGGGCTCGTGAACAGACCTTTGGCGACATGTCAAGCATCCAGTCCGACAGCGGCGGCGTTTGAGCTTTTCCCCCGACGACTGCTCCACACCATTGTCGTTCATCTTGGGGTCACTCTTGGTCGGTATTTGAAAATGATCTGTTCCGAAATGCACAGCGCGTACGGCGGTTCCATGATCGTTGGCTGAGGGAGGGTAAGGGAGTCCACCCAATATATGCACATCTCCGACCGACAGCCACTACTGCAACGAGGAGGTCGATAACAAGTCGGGTAAGGAGGGAGAAAAAAAGGTAGGAAATATTGTAATAACCAGGAGTATATAGCCACTATTATTAAGCACACTGTTATGCTACTGTTTACACCGCTATAATTCTGGCGCATATTATAACATGACAGGACTCTTTCCACATCATAGTGTCCTCGTTCTTCCTTGTATGTGTGCTTCCATTTTGCGGACTCTATGTCTCTGCTTCCCGTTTGCTGGGCATCTCTAGAAGTGGACTTTATCAACTTAAGAAGCCGGTATAGAGATAAGGACCCGCATCCATGAAGAGAGCACTGTATAAACGAAGCTAAACCTTTACTCTGTGACGCTTGTTGGCTCTAACGCTGGAGGTTGCCTATTTAGCATCTCTTCCCCGCATTTAATGAAATTGCTACAACGTTAGCGAGCAGCCATGTCCCTCCCCAGCATGGAGAAAAAGTCAACTAGTGACTAATGAATAAAACTATCGACGGCATATGCCGTGGCCAGGCTCATGTCAAGACTGGATTAACGAAGAGTGACTGTCTAGTGCCGCATACATGTATGTGTCTCGCAACAACCGTGACGACGCCGCATCGATATCCATCCAACCAGCCTTTCAGATTCTAGGCTTCAAGTGGCCTCCCAATCCTCCTAGCGTGATCGTCTTGGTTGCAAGGTATTCTTCGATGCCGTATTTTCCACCTTCTCTTCCGATTCCGCTTTGCTTGACCCCAGTCCATCTTTCAATTCGCACGTTAGCCAATGACTGCAAGATGTACAATACATCGAGGGAAGATAAGAGTGTAGATATTGGGGGCTGACTTACGGGGCTGCGTTGTCACTAATAATGCCGGTATTGATCCCCACCATTCCCACTTGCAAAGCCTCGGCGACTCTCCAGATTCGCGAAATATCCTTGCCGAACAGGTAAGAGGCGAGGCCTACGTCTGATTCATTTGCGAAAGAGACAACTTCTTGATCAGAGCTGAATGAAAAGATGCCAGCAACAGGCCCGAAAGTCTCTTCTTGCGCGAGCAGCATATTGGCCTTCATTCCGGTCAAGATAGTAGGCAAGTAGAAAGTAGGACCAAGACTCGGGACGAAGTTGCCTCCAACAACTATCTTTGCTCCCTTCTCAACAGCGTCTCTAACGTGAGAGTCAACTTTTTGGGCTGCACGCTCATGGATTAATGGGCCCTGGGAAACAGAGCTGTCTAGCCCAGAGCCAACCTTGAATCGCCGCACAACCGCTGCATACTTGCGGACAAATTCATCATGAATGCTTTCGTGTAGGTATAGTCTGTTTGCACAAACGCATGACTGCCCCGAGACTCTGAATTTGCTTGCAATCGCTTCTTCGACAGCTTTATCGATGTCAGCATCGCCAAAGACAATAAGCGGCGCGTTTCCTCCAAGCTCAAAGCTAACCCTTTTCATTGTCGATGCGGCCTGCTTCATCAAAAGCTTGCCGACTGCAGTTGAACCAGTGAATGAGACCTTCTGCACAAGCGAAGAATGCGTCAGAGTACTGCCAACTTCAACAGTGTTTTTCAGAGCTGTGATGACGTTGATAACACCCTTGGGAAATCCAGCCTGTCTTGCCAACTCTGCAAGAGCTAATCCGCTCAAGGGAGTCTCCCCAGGCACTTTGATTACAATTGTGCAGCCTGCAGCAAGAGCAGGTGCCGCTTTACGAGTGATCATGGCAGAGGGAAAATTCCATCTGTAACAGATTAGTCAGTATAACGTTTCTCACTCGTTTGCTCAGATTGGTTTATATAAACTCACGGGGTGATTAATGCGCACACGCCGACAGGTTCCTTCAAAGTCAGGATTTTTTTACCGTCGATAGAAGCTGGAATCGTATCTCCATAGATGCGGACTGCTTCTTCGCTGTAGTACTCCACAAAGCTGGCGGCAAACGCAATCTCTCCTTTTGCCTCCGCTAGTGTTTTACCATTTTCCAGTGTTAACAGAATAGCAAGGTCGTCAACATTGTCCATCATTAATTGATGCCATTTTCGCAGCAGCCGAGCTCTCTCGCGACCGGTCAAAGCTTTGAAAGCAGGGAATGCTGTAGCTGCTGCTTCGATGGCGTTTTCTGTATCTGCCTGAGAATATTCTGGACATTGACCGATGATAGTCTGAGATGCAGGATCTGTATAACCAATCCCTGATTAGAAGGCTACCCAAGAGCGCATATTATGAATGTTGATCATTACCCGTGACATTGAAGACGTGACCCGTCTTTGCCGAAGTATATTCGCCATTAACAAAACATTCTTCTTTGAATAACGTTTTATTATTCAACTTTAGTTTGGCTTCTTAGCTTTATTTTCTCTGTCATCTTTTGAAGTTTATGGACTCACCTTGGAGGCCATATCGAATTTAGATATTTGAGACATTTTGGCAACTTTTTTTTAGATTTCTTATGAATCAGACTTATTTGTTTAAACGTTCACGTTAATGGCTGAACCTGCAGTATTTATTTTCAACCACAATCATATCGTACATAGATTATGCCATTAAATCTCCATATTCATCATTTCAATCCCTAATGGCATTCAAAACACACAAGAACCGCGCAAAGAACCGCATCATGTTGTTGATGCTGTTATCGCTATTGTCCACTACCGAGTCAGAGATTGTGCGCCCAAACCGCCAAAACCGCCCAAACCGCCCAACCCGCCGACCTCCTTTCTCTCTAGCCGCCCGTAGCTCCAACCGCCGCATATCAACAACGCCCAGCAGCAGCCGCCGAACGCTAACTTACAAACAAGACTATACGCAAGCTAAAGATCGTCGTATCTTGTCCCAATCCTAGATCCCCCGCACTTCATCTAGTGTGGGGTCTGGGGTAACCCAGAGCTAGAATCCAGTTGCCACAATATGCACGACCAACATCGCCGAATTTACTAGGCAGAGATGGTCGCGGAGAGAAGGTGTGTAAGGAATAGAACGATATGTAAATATGGCCGGTGCTACATCTGCCAGATATATAAACCCATGCATTGCTACCGTTTTCAATTGCGTCTTTCAACAGCACTCATTTGCAGTTGAGACTGGCAATTTGTAAAAGCAATGGCGCCCCAAAAGTCGCACGAGAATACTGAGGGTATTACCATGGAAGTGGAAGATACTCTTCCAGAAGCGGAGAAAACTATCAGCTATGACCTTGCCCTCGCCAATGTTGCAGATACAGAGCAATTAGGTGTGTCCAGACTTGTGTGCATAGATGCCAATGATGTCTATTATCCCTTATAATAGAAAGACTAAGGGGGGTTTTAATACGAAAAATAGCAAATATTGGCTACAAGCAAGAACTCAAGCGTCATTATTCCAGTATTCAGGTATTTGCCATAGCCTTTAGTATTATGGGGCTGCTTCCGTCTATTTCAGCAACACTGTGGTTTTCCATCCCTGCAGGTCCCGCTGGTATGGTTTGGGTAAGTCGCCTTGATTATTTTTCAAAGTTTCATGAAGACGCTTCTTATTATTATTAGGGATGGTTCTCAGCAAGTGCCCTTATTTTTGTTGTTGCTCTAGCTATAGTGAGTTTTCGCGGTGTCTCGTTCTTTGAATCTTATCATAAGCTAATCACCATAGGCCGAGCTTGGCTCCTCGCTGCCAACATCAGGTGGTTTATACTGGTGGACACATCATTTTGCTGCTGATCGATATAAGAATCCTCTAAGCTTTCTTGTCGGATATAGCAACACACTAGGGCTAATTGGAGGCATTTGCTCCATAGATTGTATTCCACCACTCTCTCCTTGCACGTAACCCTTTTCGCTGACTAGGCTGCAGACGGATTCGCATCTTTTATCGTTTCATTAGGATCTATTAGCAGCAATGGAGAGTGGTCACCCAATCGCGGATACTTATATGCTATCTTTATTGCGACTGTGCTCTGCCACGGTCTACTTGCAACCTTTTGCGCGAGAATCATGCACCATCTTCAAACCTGGTTTGTCGTCGCCAACATTGCATTGATTATAGCAACAATTATTGCCTTACCAGTCAGCATGCGAGTTAGGGGCGTTCCAATCAACTCAGCCGGTACTGTTTTTGGCCATATCGCTAACGAAGGTACTGAATGGCCAACGGGCTGGACCTTTATGCTATCCTGGCTGTGTCCTATCTGGACAATAGGAGCATTCGACTCTTGCGTACATATGAGCGAAGAAGCTAAAAGCCCTAAAACGGCTGTTCCAATTGGTACCGTGGCTTCAGTTGGATGCTGCTGGGTCTTAGGCTTTGTTTTAAACGCGATTCTAGCCGCCTGTGCTGGTAGCGATTTTGAGGCAATACTAGCCTCGCCTTTTGACCAACCTGTGGCTCAGGTATGAAAATATGACTGATCAGGTCTCCATTCTCTTGTCATTATTTGTTTTACATATCTAATTATATTGGCTGCAGATATACTATAATGCTCTGGGTAAGAGTGGCGCTTTAGGCTTTATGTCTGCCATATCAGTCTTGCAGTTTTTCATGGGACTTAGTATTGTACGTTGTGAAATTACCTGTTCAGTGGTCAACAGTTTGATATATGGCGAATATATGCTTATATTTACTTGCGCTCTTAGGTAATTGCGGCATCTAGGCAGTCTTGGGCATTCTCTCGAGATGGGGCCCTGCCGTTCTCTTCATATCTCCGCAAAATAAGCAAATCCTTTGGATATCAGCCATTGAGGACAGTATGGGCATGCTGTCTTACGGCTATTATCCTTGGCTTGTTATCGTTAGTCAACAACGCAGCTGCTAATGCTCTGTTCTCTCTGGCAGCAGCTGGAAACAATGTCGCCTGGGGAATCCCGATTCTATGCCGTGTCCTTTGGGGGCAATCCAAATTTCGCCCGGGTCCATTCTATCTGGGTAAACGACTCAGTGTTGCGGTTTCCATTCTAGCGCTACTTTACTTGACATTTTCTACCATTCTATGCATGTTTCCAACGCAAGGGCCAAATCCTGATCGTAAGTCGACAGTTCCCAGCTCCCCCTTTTTCACATTCTTTATCATAGTTCGCTTGATCAGAACAGACCCCTTTTTCATTTATCGCAACTAAATAAAGAGAAACATTTTTCATGACAGGATGCTAACTTGGAGCAAGCAACTGTTATGAATTACTCTCCGGTCGTCAACGGAACTGTCTGGGGAGGTGCACTGCTTTATTATTTCATATACGCCCACACCTGGTTCAAAGGTCCTATACACAATACTCATAGTGTGGAAGAAGAAGAAGAGATTTGATTTCTTACTGCGCTGCGTTTCATATTGATAGATATTTTTAATAATATAGCAGAAATAAGAAAACTATTCAACTAAATTATACCGTCTATGATTCATTGACGCCTGACGGTTTTTGTAATTTTGCGAGAAAATGTCGAAATGCTGTCCTGTAATCTATACCTTGCCAATAAATCTCGTCTATTTTAGGGTTAGCCACATAGCTAAGTCGGTTACCATGCCTCTAAGAAAATCGTGGCTGCTAGCCGTATCGAAATAGATTTCTTCATTTCCTTGCTATTAGACTAGCATTGTGTCAGTGTATATGGCTGATTGCCAATAATATCCAGTCCCAAAACCATATGCGCTTAGGTGGTAATGCACAGAAGCACATTTATACGACAATGCCGTACTTTTTTTCCACGACAAGCGTATACGGCGTACATTTACTATTCGGGAAGTGCCATGTCTCATCCTCTTGCGATAATGTGGAATGGATAGTATAGAACATGTTGTAAGCTAATTACTTTTACATTGCGTGTTTTTCTGTAAAATGATACATCTGCCTCGTCGGTGAGGAGTCAGTTAGCATGTGGCGCTAGCATCCTGACGTTAGGCTACAGCATCCACTCTGACGGCAATCGCCCTATATTTGGCCCAATTTGACCCCAAATTCCATAAATGGCACCATCATCTTCGCATTTCTCCTGAGCAATACTGAGGCATACGGTACAATGGATTCAATCGAGGGCACAGAGAACTTCGAGGACTCTAGTGCCAATGCTGAGCGAGATTCGTGCAGTCAAGAGGGTCAAGAAATGACTGAATCTAGAGCGTCGCTTGGCAGTGACGATGCCTCTTGGGATGTTGTCGTAAGTGATTTGAATAGACTATCAGCCGCCGAAACTATCTAATTATGGTGCCAGTCGGATCCTTTAGAGAAGTCTTTGGCGTCTGAGGCTGGCGGAGTTTCAATTCGCGATGAGTCCGCCACGGAAAATGAGACCAAGCTTCACGATAACACGGTTGATGTGGGACAATACATTGATTCAGCCCTTGCGGGGGATGACTTTGCCTTTGACTTTTGGACAGAGGGTGTTAAGGCAGAAGTAAAAGAGCAACTGATTAAGAACGCAGATGGCGTGTGAGTTTATCCCGACTTGGAGCCTCATACCTCGTTTTATCATAGACAGAGATCTAACTTTCTCAGGCCCCAATATGCTGGCGATCAACTTGATCAACTTAAGAAATTCACCGCCTCTAAATATATCCTCGAAGCTCTGAGAGATCTTCCTCAGAATATTGACGCGATTTACGAGAGGATGCTGCTGAATACCGACAAAAGGCTACAGCCTCAAATTATAAGCTCTCTGAAATGGGTAGCTTTTTCAGTCGACACTTTAGACATCAGTCTACTGTCAGAAGTCTTCACCCTGGATCTAGGCCGGGCTCGGGCTCTAGATCAAGCGCAAGCGTCTTCTGCTGATGACATCTTGAAACACTTTTCAGGACTACTGGTTGATAGGGATGGCTGCATTCAGTTTGATCGCCCATATATCAAAGAATATTTAACATCTAGCAGAATCCGTAACGGCCCTGCATCTGCCTTCTCGTTCACAGCGAATGATGCCCATCTACACATTGCAAAGTCTTGCTTGGAATATCACCTACAATGCAATCCCTCGGACCATTCAACCACTGCTTGGGCAATCGTCGAAGAATACAATGAAGAAGATGTGCCAAACTTACAGTCTTACGCAACTAAGAACTGGCCTCTGCATCTGGAGAGCGTGTCTCGTTCGTCCTGGTCGCCTGAGATATGTCAAGCCGCAAATCTTGCTCTCTATGCCCGCAGCCGAAGCCTTTACAGCATGACAAAGTCGGTTCCTGGTCAATTCTCTTTTGACGACGCGTGGCTAAATCCACTGATATATTGTGCTCACATAAACGCACATCAGCTTACCGAGATGCTAATCTCAGAAGGGCTCGGTACTCACGAGTACATCACTAAAAGCGATTTAGATGCTGCGCTGCTGGAAGCTGCCTCGGCTGGAAATAATGAGACTGTCCAACTGCTCCTCGAAAAGGGTGCTGCTGTCGATGCCAAGAGGGCACATTTACATCCTCTTAAAAAGGCCATAGAGGGTAGTTATCTAGAAATCATGCAATTCTTGGTCGACGAGAAAACCGCCACCAAAACTCTCAGCGAGGCTTTGGATGATGCAGCGAGAGAGGGCGATTTCGAGATTGTGGAATTTCTTGTTCTGAACAATACACCAGTCACCAAATCCGCTGTGAAGCTTGTAGCTGGGTCATTTGGAGATTCACCCGAATCTTTGAAATGCTTGCAGTTTTTGCTTGATAACAGCAAGGGCATGAAGCTAGAAGGGGCGCTCTGCATGGCAGCCTCCGGAGAGTGCTGGAAGGCATTTGAGATGTTGCGCAGCAGAGGCGCGGATATAAACGGCGTTGATGGGCGTTATGGCACTCCTCTTCACCAGGTGTGTGCGGCCCAGGACTTAGACGAATCACGAGTCGAATATTTGTTAGGTCTGGGCGCAAATCCCAAGACCAGAGCAGGGCTGCACGGAACGCCGTTGCATGCCGTCTGTTATTCAACTACTGGCCGAGATGAGAAGACTGCCATCAGGGTTGCGAAGCTTCTTCTGGCCCACGGCGCTGGCATCAACAGGACAGGAGGAGCGCTAGGCAGTGCTCTGAAAAACGCATGTGGATCAACAGGCGAGGACGGTGCCTCCTGGTATTCCCTGGTAGAGTTTCTCCTTCAAAACGGCGCAGATGTCAATGAAAAGGGGGGCCGGTACGACACCGCTCTACAAGCCGCGTGCGAGGTGGGACATGCCGATATCGTTCGGCTGCTCTTGGAATGGGGAGCTGTTGTTAATCCCGGAGGCGAAGGGTATGTACATGCTTTTGTACATGCGATAATTGCTGCTTCTGATACCAGTCCCAAAGAGGGATATGACGGAGACATCGAAATGGTACAATTGCTGCTTGATCATGGTGCCGATATAAATCAGACAGGCAGCAACTCGTATGGATGCGCACTACAAGCTGCAGCCCAAGCCGGGAATATAAAGCTTGTCCGCTTCCTGCTCGATCACGGCGCAGAAATAGACTTGGATTTCGCGAATTGCGGAACTGCGCTCAAAGCTGCCTGCGCCATCGGTAACAACGAGATTGCACGTTTGCTTCTCGGCCGTGGTGCGGATGTGAATGCAGGAGGTCGCAATGCTGGAGTCATCATCCAGACTGCCTGCTGGACTGAGCGCAGCGACGATGAAATGATCAACATGCTGCTTGATCACGGCGCTGATATTCGTCTTACCGGCTTCACCTACGTCCCGCTCTTTAACATGGCCGTCATATCGGACGGCATACGAGACAATGCCACGCTGAAGCGGCTTCTGGATCTAGGTGCCGATATCAATGAGGTAGACATGAACCGCGGCACGCCCCTTCACGCCGTACTGCGAAAACTATTCGAGGACAGCAGCATACCGCCCAGCAGGATCCGATTTCTCATCGAGCATGGTGCAGACGTCAACCTTGACATCCCCATGTTTGGATATGGCTCGCCGTTGCATCACCTATGTGCAAACCCATATTACGATTCTACCAAATATCCTCCCCATCAAGCAGCGGCCCTTCTTCTCGAACTCTGCCCACAGCTTGATGTAAATGCGCATGGTGGGCGGTATGGCTCTGCTCTGCAGGCGGCGGTGTTTTGCGACTTGGAGGAAACGGTCCAGGTTCTACTCGATCACGGGGCTGATGTTAACGCATCTGGAGGGAGGTATAACAATGCGTTGAATGCCGCTGTTGTGGGGGGGTCTTGGAATACTGCCAAGAAGCTGCTTGATCTTGGGGCGACGCCGGATTGCCATAGGCTGGATAGTCCGGACGAGAAATGGCTTGCTGGTATTGAGAAGGAGGATGGGAAGCAGGCTGTGGAGAGGTATAGGAAGTTTTGGGAGGTGGAGAAAAACAAATATGTTGAAAGAGAAAGAACATCGAGTGCATAGAAAAGTAACGGAGACAGAAGATTGAACATTTGAAGGCATTAAGAGTGAACAATCGCCATCAGTGTTGACAGCTGGCAGAACTCTAGTTTGTTCAACGGCAGCCTATCTAGTATTTATTGCAGTCTTTTCCCAATTTTTCACATTCTCGCTTTCTTTTTCTTCAACATCCACACACAGCCTGAGCAGCTACATCAAAAAGTGCCTCTTGCAGAAAAAGCACTCCGCGCTTGAGAAAGACGCGTCGCCTCTCAGTAAGGATACTACTCCTGCTTCATGAGTATTGCGATCCATACTCACACTAACCTCGTTGACAGGAACTACTATCGCTCCGAAACCACGTAAGAGCGACATGATGCCAGGGGCACTATTAGTGAGGGAGCCCGAATGGAAGGAACCAGAGGGGGAAAAACCGGAGCTGGAGGAACCAGAATCGGAGGAATCAGAAGTGGAGGAAACAGGATCAGAGGAAACATACTGGGAGGAATCAGAATCGGAGGAATCAGAAGTGGAGGAATCAGAATCGGAAGAATCAGAAGTCTAGGAACCGCAGCTGGAGGAACCGCAGCTGGAGCAGGTACCCGTAACATTGGAGAGAGAAGCGGAACGGCCCGACTGCTTGAAAGGAGCTCCAGGACACCTCAGATGGAAGCAAGGAGGATGTTACTTTGACAACGCGTCGGGAGCAGCCAGCGTAGCCCTGGTTGCTACTCGGATGCTTCGAACCATCTTCTACCACTCTGATGTCTTGACAGCATCAGACGTCCAAGAAATTGCATCCTTTCTAGAATTCGTTGGATGCGAGGAAGATGTCCGAAAATACGTCAAAGGATTGCATTTGGTTGGACAAAACACAAACACAGGCTCAAGTCCGCAGTTCAGCGGCTTGTTTGGGGAAGATGGCAAACCTAGCCTTTGAAGTGATAACAAAGAAGGCTCTGTAGCGTGCTGTCTGAAAGGGAGTTTAGTAAATGCAGTTCAATCGACAAAGAGACAACGGAAATTTGAGCAGTGGGGGTGGGAAGACAGGAGAATATCAGGACAAGTATGGAATCACTTTACGTTGCGATAGACACTCAAAGAAAAATCTCAAAGAACTTTTGGGGTTAGTTTAGTTCATGGACTTGCTAGAAAGGCTAAATTATGTTCTTGGATCACTAATTTTGAAGAAAGATCATGGGGATACCCAACCTAATATTTAAAATGCGACCAAAGGCATGCTATCTACCTACCTATGTACTATATCTATGCTACCTAAGTTTTGGCGAGCTCAAGAACTACTAATCTATGCAAGTGATACTATACACCGGCTCTTGAATAACTCAATTTTTCAATTTCATGTTCAAGAACAAATTACTCTCATTTGAAAGCCATCCTTTTTGAGCGCTGCATGTGTTCTCTTCTTCACCACCATCCGTAATGGTGCGAGGTCTGTTTGGCTATAGTTGATATTTCCAATATCCCCAGTACATATTATATGAAAGAACTGATGTTATGCTCGAATTAATTACTCATTCAATAAATCAATACTTATCAAACTGTCTAAACTTATATGTCCTAACGCAATACGAATCTTGCCTACGAGGTACAGTGCGCAAACATGGTTGGCACTCATATGATGACTCAGCAAAAAGTTCAAACGAAGCTCTAGTATCATCAACCCATTGCACCACCACAATCAAGCCTCGATTGCGACAAACCTCACCAGTTGACCGTCCCCCGGCTCGACTTCTCCCAAAACCACCCCAATGGCCTCAATTCTAGCTCCCGGCCGGGGCATGGCCCTGAGCAAGGCCTTTTCCGCGGCCGCAGCCTCGCCCTCCTCGTTACCCTCAATACTACCCGCCTCGACGACGACGACGATTGCCTCCCCGAGCAGATTCGCTTCTGCGCGACGACAGTTCTCAACGACGCAAGGCCGACCGTCAAAACTGGGCATCACGCCGCTTTCCATCCCGCCGGGCGTGGAGGTTGTCATGGGAGAGCCAAAGGCGTTCCGATCGGCGACGTCGTATAAGCCGGTTGTGAAGAAGAAGATTACCGTAAAGGGACCATTGGGTTGGTTTTCCCTTGCCTGCATCTAGTCTTGAGAGAAAAGGGGAAATTGTTGGTTATTTGGACGTCTGGGCTGACAAGTGGTGCGTTGTGCGATTAGGAACTCTGAACATGGATGTGCCCGAGTTTGTGGACCTGGTTCAGAACGCCGAAGAAAAGACTGCGACGCTCAGCGTGAGAGACCCGAATGCGAAAGAGCAGAAAGAAATGTGGGGTATGTTTATTCACTGCTGTCCTTGATGCTTCAACCAATTCGAGTCGGCATATGCTAGAGTATCCTTGACATTGGGACTAACTAAAGTTTCTCCAGGAACATCATGGTCCTACCTCAGCAACCACATCACCGGCGTCTCCGAAGGCCACACAGCCATCCTTCGCCTCGTCGGCGTCGGCTACCGTGCCAGCGTCGAGCAGCGCGGCGCAAAGGAGCAGTACCCGGGCCAAAAATTCCTTTGCCTGAAGCTCGGCTTCACACACCCCGTCGAAGTGGGCATTCCCAAAGGCGTGACGGTGACGACCCCGTCACTGACGCGCATCCTGCTCGAGGGCCCTAATCGGGAGGTGCTCATGAGCTTTGCGGGCGTGGTGAGGAATTGGAGGAAGCCGGAGCCGTATAAGGGCAAGGGAGTGTTTATTAACGACGAGACGATTAAGCTGAAGCAGAAGAAGATTAAATAAATGAGATGAGACGAGAGCGGAGGGAAGGAAAGGAAAGAAATAAAGAGGGCAGAAAATAGCGAGGACCAGAAAAGTGTATAGTAAATTGGCTTTGGACAAGGGTGTTTTTCAACGGAGACTTGTATCATCATCATCAGGGCCTGCCTCTATGGCGAGAGGTGTTTAGACATATTTATACATCTTACATGTATATATCAAACGACAAATCCAAAATCAACATGCAGACATGAATCTATGCAACTGTTTATGAAAATCATTCTGCTTTTTGCCCGTATTTCCCTCGTTGTTTTTATATATAATCTTACAGCTTGGCGCTCAAAACTTCCTGCACTACTTCCAGCACTTTGCCATGCACCGCCGCGGGTGCAGCCACCACGCCCTTGTTGCCTGCGAGTGTCCGTCCAATGCTGAAGTCTAGTCTTTTGCCGTGAATGTCGGTGACTTGTCCGCCTGCTTCCCTAACAATGAGATCACCAGCGGCGTGGTCCCAGATCTTCTCCTGGTATGTAGCGCTCACAGGGAGGCGCAAGTAAATGTCTCCAGCGCCACGAGCGATAGAGCCGTATTTGGCCTGGCTGTCCATGCGGACGCTCGGCGCTGTGATGCCCAGCTTCTGTGAGATGGCAGCCTGATCGCCATGGGAGGAGTGTCCAGCTTCCACACTCTCGCAGAAGTTGGCCTTTGTCAGATCGTCAATGGTGCGCATGGAGATGGGCTTGCCATCCTCGGCGTCGAGGTTCACAGTCGCGAGCGCGCGGCTCTTGGCGCCGTGGCCTTGGACAGCGGAGAACAACACACCGTGGCCTTCGTCGGTCTGGTTGGCGCCAATATCGGTGGTGAGGCGAGCAGAATCGTCGATGGGGAGGTTGGGGCATCCTAGAGCGCCGACTTTGACGTCGCCGTCAATCATGAGGGCGAGGCATACGGCGTATTGGCCTCCGCGGAGGAAGCCCTTTGTTCCGTCGATGGGGTCAATGGCCCAGATGCGTCCCTGAGAACCACCAGCACTGTTTCCCTTGTCGATAAACTCAACCATAGCATCAACATCCTTGATAGGTCCGCCCAGCAGAGCTTCAGCAGCGGGATCATCCAACTTTGTATCTTTCACCAAATCCCAGATTGTAGTCCTCAGATTGGCATCCTCCTTCAACTTCGCAGACTCCTCCTCAGCAACAATGGCATCGTTCGGGAAATTGTGCTGCAGAGCCGCAATGATGAGCGCCTGCGCTCCAAAGTCGCCAATCGTGACTGGTGACTTATCATTCTTATCGACAGTGCCCTTGGCCTTTTCGTGAAAAACTCGCTTTGTGAGGATGGAAGCGCGCTGGACGGCGAGCTGAGCAATCTGAAGCTCCTTTTCGAACTTGGGTGCGCTCATGGCTACGGTTGCTGAGGAGAGGCGACTTGGTCGGAGGATCGAGGAGAGGGAGAGATGTCCGGTTTGGTGGACGAGGCGCGAGATGGAGGCGAGAGACAGAGAAGCCGTCGTGATGCCTGCGATGGGGAGGAGGAGCGAGAAGAGGAGGACGATGACGGAGAGAGATAAAAGAAGGATTAGACGAGATTTAGGAGCAGAAGATGTCGATCGGTTGAGTTTATGTGGAGATGAAGAGGAAGAAGAGTGGGATGTCGACATTCGAGGACTGAAGCCGCTTATGTGCTACACAATCGCGTGTTATAGAACAAGTGCGGGCGTAAAGAAACCAACAGCCAAAGCTTCAATTGAACAAATACCCAAGGCAATTAATAAAAAGACAGAAACTCGTAAAGACAAAAAAAAAGATCACGTCCCCTAAAGCAATCCTCAATCACATCATTCGGTCCGTCGCCAAAAGCGCTACTCCTACCCCGCCATCAACCGCCCCCGACGTCCCGCGCATTTCACGGCGGGGCTGGCAGCTGGAGCTGCTTCCGTGTCGGCGCTCCGGCCACCCAAATTATCCGAGCAGAGGCGCGGGAGAGAAAATTATTAGGCCAACACCAACAAACACCAAAACAGCAGCTAGTTGAGCCGAGCTTCAAACTTCTTGCGACTTTGCCGAGCCGAACCACCAATACATAGCAATACACCAAATTGTCGCAAAGAAGCAGCTACAACTCCATCAAAATGGCCTCCTCACCCGCCAACCTGCGCTCCCTCTACCGCTCCCTACTCCGCGAACTCCCGCCCCGCCCCATCCTCGCCTCTCCCCGAACGCCCATCCACAACCGCATCCGCTCGTCCTTTACCGAAAACCAAACCTCCTCAACTTCCTCATCACCGCACGACGCAGAGCACCAGGCCCAGCTCGCCCACCAGGCCGTCACCTACCTGCGCGCCCAGCGCATGTACGTCACCCTCGTCGAGCGATATAACCCCGGCATGGAGATGCCGCAGGACGAGCGCATTCGCCTGACGGCCCGGAGGGTCGGGATGGATCTTCCTGCGGCGAAGGCTAAGAAGGAGGAGAAGTGATTTCAGTCTGAAAAAAAGAATATGAAAATTTTAGAGAGCGGAGGATTTCTTCTTCTTCTAACGATCCGTCCTCCTTGTTAAGGAAAATACTTTTCTTGTACATGATTTTCAAGGGAGGAGGCGCCTGTCGTGTGACCTGCCACGACATGGCAAAGAAACGACATGCAGCCCCTTCGAGAACGGGCCATGTCTTCTCCTACTACACTTTACCCTTTTTTCTTCTTCTTATCTTTCTTCTTTCCTTTTCTCGGAGCTCTCGGCAACACGGCGTTCAATGGGAGATATTAGATTGTATACCCACGGACTGGCGGCAAAGACTATTTACTTCGGACTGCGCGACAAGGACGGCAAGGTGGATATATACATACCAGGGAGGGTCACCAAGACACAAGCAAGAGACGGAAGGCTTTACATGTGCAGCTGCTACACACTCCTCTAAATGCAATGGCAACCGAACGGCCGCTTATCAATCAACCATCTGTCCAAGATAAGAAGGCACTGGGAGGAAAAGCCATATTTCATATGTGCTCGTGTTTTACATGTAATATGCGCCATATTCGGCTATACATGTTTACCTAGTGTATAAATAGGTACTATATATAAAGTATATACAATGGAATATCCGAAAATGCCAAAGCTCCAGCCCAGGTATAAATTGCCTCGATGGGGGTATCAAAAGTCAGGCAAATACATACGTATGTATATCTATGTACACCAATTCCAACGGTTCGCTTGCCAATTGTCAGATGTCATCAAAATTCATCTTTTGCGTCTCCTCGCATCATCATTGTCGTAAAAAAAAAAAGTAGTAAAAAAAGAAGAAGAAGGGAAAAGAAAAGAAAACCATCAACAACGCACGCTTACACCACTCCAACTCCATTGTCTTCCAGTGACTCGTCCCATCCTCCCGTCTGCAGCAGCCACTCGCCGGTCCGCTCCTTCACTGCCGTCATGGCCGTTCCCAGTGAGCTATTCCACTGGTCCTGTACAACTCGCACTTTTTCCTTGAGGTCCTCTGTCAATCGCCGGTTTTCAATCTCTCGCATCTGCTTGGCTCGTAACTGTCGGTCTTCAGGCTGGATAGGCGTGCCGTCTACGTCAGCGAGCTGTGTGGCAAGCACTCGAGCCTTGGCGTTGACCACTGCCTCTTTGACCTCGTGAAGAAGACACAGCTGGTTTGTGTGTGCCTCAATGAACTGATATGTACTCTTCTCGGCATGAAGTAACAAGCTATACAAATACTGCAGCGGGTGATCATGATATGCCGGGTTCTCTTCGTATTCCAGGGCTGGAATATGGACGCAAAATCCCTCCAGATCCAGTGGAATAGTTTCCAAAAGGCCACAAAGCGGCGGAGCAATATCCCAAAAGGCAGACAGCTGCAGCTCGATGCCGCGTGCAACCGCCTCATCCATCACGGACCTAAATTCGCGCGCGCGGTCGAGTACCTCGTTTGCGAACGCGTACTCCCGCTTGTCTGCGTCCTCTTTGAAGAATGCCTCGGCTGATACCAGTTTGTCCGTATTCTTGGAAAGCCGGTACGGCGTCAGCACAACGTCGCGATAACGAGCATTGCGGTCTGAGAGTAAGTCGTAAATGGCCCGGTGCAGAGACTCGCGCTGCTCAAATATCCACTTGAGGAGGGTCAGCTTCTCTAGCAGTTCCGGTTTATCATCGCCTTCTTCCTGCGGCATATCGGCATCGATTTCGCTGCTGTCGAATAGATGTCGGGCCAAGTCGTCAAATAGCTCTGTCGCTCGAGAGATTCGCTCCGTCAGAATATCATTCAGCGGCAACACCACTTGGTTCTGGAAATGTTCATATTCCACCTTTTCCACCTCTTTCTTTTTATCCTTCTCTTGTTCATTAAAGTCAGACTCAATAGCTGCGGCATCGGCATATCCCAAGTTTCCGGAGTTAATTTCTTTCTGCAAGTTGGATCGCAAAGCTACACGGCGCTCTGCTGCCGCTTTGGAAGCCTCTTCTCTGCGTCGATGACTGCTTGAGGCAAATCGCTCTTTTGACCCGTCAATCTCACCCAGCTCGCTCAAAGATCTCACAGAAGCACGGATTGATGTTAGCTTTGGGTGACTGTTATTCACTGCAGGATGGTGTCTCGGGTAAGGGGGCGGCATGGTGACCAGTCTAGACACATCTAGAAGCCTCTGTCGATTTGTTGCTGTAGATGGAGTAGACGCCACAGAGGTATTCGACGGTTGAGGAGTCCATACTGCCTCTCCCTCGTCATGCCAGCCAGTCTTCTCTGGAGGGTAGTCCGACATGGAGCTTTGCTCGCCTGCGGACGCATAATGCGGTGTAGTCTGCTCCTCTTCGATCCACTGGTCCTTGGGAAGAACGCCCATGTATTTTGATTCGCGCTTAGATCTTTCAAATCCACCCCGGTTTGGATCGTTGTTCGAATCCGTCTCCCACCATCGGCTAGGAGGTCTGCCACGCGAGCTTCCATTTTCGTAGTTGTCGCTGACGCTCATACTGAGAATGGGAGACAATGAGGGCATATAGTTTGCAGCGCCGCCCCAGTTGAGAGGCTGCTTGATCCCCGGGGATGGCGGGAGACTTCCAGATGCCGGAGCTGAGCTTGATGAGTCCTCAGCTTGATAGACGGAGCTAACAGAGCCTCTATGAGACCGATTTGGTTCCGATGACTCTGGGGTCCAGTCGCCAACAGATGGAGAGTTCACCGACTCTCGTCGCGTGTGGCTCATTGGACGGAATAGGTCCCGACTCAAATCGAAAATTTCGGATCCCATGGCTCCAATGGCTGATGAGTATCTCTCTCGCCGGATTCTAGACTCGGCAACTATAAAGTCTGAAAAGAGGCGGACTCTATCTGCGTCTGTCGTGGCCGACGCTTCTTTGACGGCAAACGACCGAAATCTCTCGATTGATGCAGTTGCAAACTCTGCTGCGCTCTGGCTCACAATGGCTTCCTTTGATGGAGACGCCGCTACAGACGAAGCCAAGCGTGATGCCTCAGCAGCCGCCGATCCAGAACTGGACCTGACTTGGGGTGGCGGAGTAGGTAGAGACTTTGGCACCGCCGCTTGGTTTCCACCAGAGTGCCGGTAGGTTTTGGCTGGCGTTGGCGAAAATGGAGGTGTAGCTACTTCACGGTGCAGTAATGTGGCCGAATCTGGTGCACGAGGAGTCGAATTCCGAGAATCATGTTGTCCAGATAAGTTAGATTCTCCGGTAAGGGGTTGGTCCATAGGCGCTTTCCCACTGCTCCGAGGAGTTGCCTTGCCAATGGTCAGTTTGCGAGTTAGACCGCTGATGGGCGCGGGAACAACAACAATATCGGCAATCTGTCGTGCGTCCAACGAACTATCTAGGGACCCCCGGGGCTCATGTCGAGTGCGGCTCTCGGTTCTTCTCTGTATAATTGTCTTGTCATGGCGCACGGCTTTGGCACGATTCAAGCCACTCGCACTGCCAGAAGAGTTCAAGGCCGGCTCTATGGGCTCGCTCGGATTGCTCGCAGTGGCTGTATCAATCGTCAAATTGGGAGATCGCCCTCCTACTTGTTGGGTGGATTGTGGTGACTGCAGTGATTGTGACGACTCCCCAGTCTTTAAAGGCGCAGTAGGTTGTAGGTGTCCCGGAGTTGCTAGAGGCTGAGGTCGAGTGGGTGGCGTGTCGCTATCTAGCCAGTCGGCTGGCGTTGGAGGCACGGGCCCCAGAGATGATACGCCGGACGGCGGTGGTCTGCGAGTTGGTGGAGAAATAATGGGTACATTGTTTCTGTCCATGCTTTGTACACTTTGCGACCTGCTCGACGAGGGCGGTGGTCCAGGCGGAGGCGGAGGAAGGGGCATACCAGGCTCCCATCTTGTCTGAGAAGAAGACCGTGAGCGTTCAGATGTCGGCGTGTCGAGGGCGCCTGTGGAGGCAGCCCTTCGAGCCGCGGGAGGGAACGTATCAGGACTCATGGCGGTTGCTGATATAACCCGTTCATGTTCTGGTGAATGGAACACAGAGGGCCCACCGGTCCGTCTAGAAGCAGATACAGGGTGAACTGGCTCTGGGGATTGCGATGGTCCAGGATCTCTTCGTCGTCCCAAGGATGCCAGCGCAAGAAGACGCTCTCGAGAGCTTCCTCTACCGCTCAAACCCGGCGGCGGAGGAAATGGGCGCGTAGCAGCAACTGGTGGCTCAGGAGAGGGTCGCTGGCCCAGCAGGGTAGAGAACCTCGAAGGGGGAGCGCTAGCTATTTGCGCTGGTGAGTAGTCGAACGCCATGGTGAGAGGTCGAGGCTGCTGCTGTATATTCCTCCTTGGAGGGCTATAAGGCGGCGGTGGAGGGGGAGCTGCTAGAGAAGCTGTTCATGTCAAATATGGTCAGCATATAATCATCTCCTATTTGCAGTCGGCTCATTGAAGACCTCTGAGGATCCAAGAAGAGATTTAAGATATTTTTGAGAAGAGTCTATAAAAAGAACAGGAAAAAGAAAGAGATCCCCACCCTGAGCATCGCTTCCCACAAACGTCAGAGGCCGTTCTGTCGTCGGCATGGCCGCTGGCGATGCCACCCATTCTTGTGGGTTGTACGGCATGATGGCGCTGGCTGGCGTGTGCATGGACTGGACATGAGATGAGGCCATGGACACAGCCGAGATGGGCGAGACGAGCTGGTTGCCGTAGCCCGCTAAGGACGTCGTCGAGAGCGGATGAAGAGCATGGCGAAGACGCGTAGAATCACGGGGAGAGGTGGAAGACATATTGGCTCGAGCTTCCGAGACCCAGCCGCCCGTGGTCGCCAACGTCGGTGGCGGCCCTGGAGCTAGGGGCTTGCAGAGAATGTCTGAGACAGCCGAGGGGTGCAACCTGGACGGCAGGTGGAAGGTTGGATCTGGCGATGGACCCCCGAATCAGGCCGGATGTCAGAACTATCGGTGGAAGCGCTCTCCGCGCCCTGTCCGCTGCGTTAGTGAGCCAGGAGGCGGTATGCCAGATGAGGTCTGTGTCTCGATGTCCTGCTGCTATTTTGGAGTTTGTCTGCCCATGCTCGGGGTCCACCCAGAGCATCGACTTCAGGCGGCGCACAGAGGCCGGTCAACAGCCTGAGCCTTCGGATTGGCGAGACTCGCAGAGGAGGGGGAACAGCCGGTGGGCTAGCGAGACCAGGAGGCTGGCTGTCACCACACAGACGCAAAACCGCCCTGGACCTGTGCTCTGCATCGACAAGTGGGAGGGCAGGAATTGCGCGAGAGGATTCCAGGCCATCAGGCATGGCATGGCATGGCGAGTCGCACGGCATCCCGAAGCGGGAGCAGATGCCAGGGGTACAGGTACATGGCTATCGCGCGGCCGAGGCGTCATCGAGCGCTGGTCGCAAGTAGCGCATACTTCGTGCCTGCTTGAGCCGCTAGCACAAGCTACCATCAAGAGGCGCGCCTGGAGGGGAAAATGCGATGCTGAAGAGGCGGGCCGTTGATGGTGATGGCGAGCCCTGCTTGGCCGAAAGCGCGAGCCTTGGTGGAGGATCCCTGTCAGAGCGGCGTGCGCTAAACCCTGCTAGGACGAGGCGACCAGAAAGCGAGGAGAGTCCAAGGGCACCTAAAGCGCTTTAGCGGCGCCTGCATGCAATCCCTTGTACCTGGGACTTGTTCTATGAACTGGGTATACGGAGGATTATCACCACCCAGGCAGCCATGGACCTTGCCTAGAGATACTTTTACAGGCATCGCCGTGCCTTGTAGAGCATTTTCAAAAGCCAGAGGGAGTGCCAGCAGCTCTCTGAAGCATCTTCAAAGCTCATCCTATTCCGAGTGCCCGGCGGCGGCTACCACAAGCGCTTCCAAGCATGGTAGCATCCGAATCACCAAAAACAAAGGACAGGAAAAAATAGAAAACACTCCGGGAGATGCCAGGTCTGGAGTAGTGTCATGCAATGTGACAGCAAAGTGGGCCACGTCTTTAACAAGAACCGATGTGCACTGGCTCCTTGTTCTTATCAGACATGCCTGTCTGTTGCATCCGGCTGTTGGTTACGAGTAGATTGGGAATCTTCAAGGGATGAAACTTGTGTTCCCTCCTCCATTGCGCGATCATCATTCGGCCGAGAGAAGAAATCTAGAAGAAGGAGCCGGAGGCATGCATCGCGTCTCAGGTTGTGTTACAAAACATGTGACATGCCCTGATAATCATCGAGGCTGTCGAGAAGTCTTACAAAGAAACAATTCAGCTGTCGGTTGCATCTTTCGTGCATCTGGCCTTGTACTCGGTACCTGCTGCTAAAACATGCGACCCGCCCCCTGCGTGGATCGCGCTTTTTTTCCTCCTCTGCTTGTATGCGAGTTTATTGACGAGAACAGCCTCCGGTTGGCCAGAAGCTGCAATGCGCTACTAAGCGCCGGCAGCCATTCGAACCACGCGTGTTCTTAATATAGCTGCCAATCAGGGCTGCTGTTAAGGATCCATATCCCAGAATAGATCGGCTCTCACCACCCCCAGACTCTGGATCGTTGAGTAACAATGAAGAAGAAGAAAAATCTGTCACCGAGAAGACAATCGATATTACTCCACACGGCTGCTTCCTCGGCTCTCTATTTGGCTCATGATAGTACACTTGTATTGTATTTCTCCTATACGCCCTATGCGCACTGACTACCTAAGTACCTATTCACGCAGTAAAATCGCCCGTAGCCTTGCGCTGTTGATAATTTGTGGGCGTGAAACGCTCAGGGCTCTCTCACAACAGCATAGAACGCCGCCGGTGATTTTACGAAGCCCTTGCCAATCGAGCAATGACAATAATCGCACACCCGCCATTTGGACTCTGGTATTGAGGTGCTGTCGGCCTTTACTCCTTACAGGCATTTCTCATTGATGGCCTGCAGAGTGTCATTGTGATAATATTTCGATATACGTGTCTCTGTTCTGGCCTCTGGAAGTGGTAGCGCTCGATTTGACCGATCGATGGTGGAGGTCAGCAAAGTGTTGACGATTCGGCACTCGGCGGCTACTAATCTGAGTTTGGGATAATTGCTTGTACCTAGTATCATGCCGTCCATATTCAGCTTATTGACGCCAGCCCCACCCCTTGCTCAGCTTACTACTAGTAATGATAGTAAGGCGAGACGGGCACACATCCTAGGTACTACTTGTATTATTAGAGGCAGAGCGTACGATTTGTCTAAGCTTGGGGTTGACATAAGCAGTAAATAATTATACTCGCTGAGTTACAGAGTGAAATTCTACTAACTTGCTCATACAAGTTGCGTTTGGGGTCTTGCTGCTATCACAGGGTAGGCAGGGAGGACATCAGTCAAACAACATATCACATATTTACTCCACGTACATAAGTAATCTTAAAATAGGCTCGCACTTACAAATCGTATTTTGTGGGATGACCAGCCAAGCAATAGCATAAGCAGTGACACGGTAGATGATTATGCTGTTTTGTAGGCAAGCATGGCTTTTAAATTATTGAAATCTCATCTTATTCGCAGAAATCGGGCAGAGATAGACACCGGTGGTAGTCTTGGTTTGACTTGCCAAGATATCTATGCAATGCTTCGCTTACACAGGCACATAGAGAGGGTGCATCTCAAGCTGATGGCATATAGGTACCAAAAAGTAGCATAACGGTATAAGAGGCAAGAGGATGTACAGGGTGCATGTGATGAAATAGGCTCATGTGGCTACAGCATCTAGATTAGTAATACTAGATCGCAAAACTACCTGGTTCTACTGCTGATGACAGTATTCCACTAGCTTGGATTAGAAATGATGTAGTGCCATAATAGTACTGGAAGCTAAATACTGCTCTGATTATCATGAATTTGGTCTTTGAAGGCTTCCTGTCAAAAAGAGCACTAGCTCCCTGGTTCGACTTGTCCGGCAAAGCTGCGGTTTTATAGCGGATGTTTCGGGTAACATTTACGCGTCTGTGCTTCACAGAAGCTCTCACGCCAATCGGAGCTGATCCCTTTGAAGATGGCAAATTACCAGCTTCCAGTAACTAAATCTGTTGAAGCGCATGGAGCATTAGACATGGTTTCTCTAAACTACCTGTATTCCCTTGACCATGCTATTCTTATAAGTCATTCATATTTACTAGGTTTTCTGCTCTGGATTTTCGAGGCCGTTGTCTGTGCCTGAGGTTTCAACATATATTTTATGCGCATTATGTAATCTTTATGAGGCTACATTGACCAGTCCACTTTGTGGGGACAAGGCTCATCAAAAATTCTAGAGCATTCTGAGCTTTTGTTTCTTTCATCTTTTCCTTCTCCCCAAGCAGCCCGCCAATTCTTTCTTTCTCTGCTTCAAACCAAACCCTCATCTGAAATTTTCCCAGCACCACATCTATTCTTTTCAATACGGTATGTTAGACCCGAGCTTTCTCACCTTACTATCCACCACCATTGCGTATTCCCCAATATGATGAGATACCAGCTGGCACCAGTCATAGAGTGACTTGTACTCCCTTCATTGATGACCATAATGCTTAGGTCTATGACCACTTCTGATTCTATTTTACCAATTGATTTGCTTGTTCCTCTGCTCAGACCATGGCTATCATTGATGCTAACCATTGGACTGAACAGGACTCTATCCGCTGCGCGGACGACCAGCTTAAAATTTTTAATTTCCGCACCATCTCTTCAAAATGGTCCTGCACAACCCCAACAACTGGCACTGGGTGAACAAGGATGCATCTGGCTGGGCGAAAGATTGGTTTGGCGAAAACCTGACCAAGGTTGAAGCTGAAAATGGAGACGTCAAGGCCAAGATCACCAAGATCCAGAGCATGTCCGGCGACGTCGACGTCAGCCAGCGCAAGGGAAAAGTCATCACAATCTTTGACGTGAAGCTAGTGCTGGAATATTCCGGTATGGTAGACCCCAACGTTCAGGATGAGAGCGTCTGGGGCTGATTCTCCCCATAGGATCCACCGCCGAGATCGAAGAGGTCTCAGGTAACATTACTGTCCCCGAGATTGCTCACGATACTGAAGAGGACGAATATGTGGTATGTATAGGTGTTCTCCATCAATATTTTAGTTCCCTGGGTTCTAACCATGTGCTTAGTTCGAGATTGACATCTTCTCAGAATCAAAGGAGAAGCAGCCTGTCAAAGATCTTGTTCGATCAAAGCTCGTTCCCCAGCTGCGAAAAGAATTCCAGAAGCTTGCTGGTGCATTGATTGCCGAGCATGGAAAGGATATTCAACACGCCCCTGGATCTAACCCATCCAGTGGCTTCTCTACTCCTAGAACACTCGTCCAATCCTCTGCAAAGCCTGCAGCTCAAACCACAACTTCTCAAGTAAGCAGCTCTGGTGCTGTCAACACGGTAACAGTGCGTGACGACCAGGAGTTCCGTACTACTGCTGAAGAGTTGTATGAGACCTTTGTCGACCCCCAGCGGTTGGCTGCCTTCACGCGCGCACCGCCAAAGCTGTTTGAGGGTGCAAAGAAGGGAGGCAAGTTTGAGCTGTTTGATGGCAACGTTTCCGGAGAGTACCTTGAGCTGGAAAAGCCCAAGAAGATTGTCCAAAGCTGGCGGCTGAACCAGTGGCCAGCTGGTCACTACTCAAAGCTTAACATTGAGTTTGATCAGAACGACATCGACCACGTCACAGTCATGCGTGTCACCTGGGAGGGTGTCCCTGTCGGCCAGGAAGACGTTACCAAGAGAAACTGGGGCGAATATTACGTCCGAAGCATCAAGCAAACTTTTGGGTAAGTGTGAAATGCTATGCAAAGTATCAAGGATTGTGCTAATATTTCTGATAGATTTGGCACCATTCTGTAATCACCAAAATGTACACATTGGAAATGGTTTTCTATAATATTTCTCTCTCAATTGAAGCGCTTTAGATGTGGGCCAAGACACGGGGTCGGCGTGTCTGCCACGGGTACATATTTTACTAGTCTTGAAGGGTCTACGCAAGCCCTAGATGCGTGTAGATACGATGAACATGAATGATGATAAACAAATTGGAAAAAAGTTTCTTCGAGTTCGTGTGAGATATGAATTGCCAGTATGAAAAGCTCGAGAGTTATTATTCTTTTTTGTGAAGCTATTGCTAAATACATCTAAAATGGTGTGTGGATATGTGGCATACGAATTTATTCACTGAGGGCGCCCGAGCTTTGTAGATATGCTCCTCCCTCGCGGTCGGCGCTCAGCAAGAGGCTCACTCGCTTCAACACCAGGTTCGTAGTTGGATACGAACAGATCACCCATATTGTGCCAGAACCCGAGGTCATATATGTTTTCAACATCTTTCAGATCCCATACATGTTCCCATTGGCCCTCGCCGGGAAACTTCTTTTCAATGTTCGGTGGCTGTCCGTCCAAGGTCGTCATTATGATGCACTCTGGGGAAGAGGGCCACCGGGGACTTGGCGGCTCCCACTGCTTGCTCATGAGTCGATTGGGAGCCAAAGGACGGCGAAAGGCGTAGCCATCGCGCATATCTTCCTTGAGATCGGTCCACTTCATGGACTCGTTGGTCGTGGTGCCGCAGTAGATGAGGAAGATGGTATAGAGGGTAAGTCCCCAAATGAGAGGAGATATGAGGACCGCGAGGAGAGTGGAAGCACCCATGCGGATATCGCCGTGGAGACCCACGCCCCAGATGGCAAAGTACTTGTTGAAATCCATTTCCTTGGGTGGCCAGAGAGACCACATCGGGTACATTGCCTTGATTTTCGTCTTTAGGATGGAGAGGCCGAGGACGCCACCGTAAGTGCTCAAGACACATTCCGACAAAAGGAGCAGAAGGAACCAGTGGTGGTTACCGTACCCCACACAGGAGTTGATGAAAACGCAGTGGTGGTCGGCCCTGGCGATGCAGCGCTTACATATATCGCAGTGCTTAGACCGAGGTGGCTTGATGAATTTACAGGTGCGGCACTCGTTGCCGGGGTGAAAAAGAGTGTGGTCGTAGGGGTAGAGAGACATGTGGTAGGCGTGATTCTCACGAGTGATGTAGCCTGGATCTGCGGCGCAAGCAAGGTAAAGCAACACATACGGCACGACGACTGTGACGAGAACGGTGAACTTGTTGAAGAGGCTGATCTTGGGCCAGATCTGAGGAAGATACAGATACTCGGATACGGTCATGATCAATATGAAGAAGATCTTGAAAGTTGTGTAAGCCACGGAGCATATTGAAGGGAAATCTTGCAACAACGTACCACGATCGTGGGATGACGCTCATACATGAGCCGGTTGAATAGCCATACAAGTGATCCGGTTACTCTCCCAGAGGTGAGCTTCTGGTCCACGCTGGACACCAGGTTGGGGAAATGAATCCATATCAGTCGATATAACCAAGCGATGGGTGTTTTCCTAGAGTTACCCCTGTTGATATAAAGTCCTCTTGCGGTGAGACATCTCGGAGTTGTACAGTCAGGTACTTACCTTAGAGCCGGTAGTCTACCGAAAAATGTCACAAATACCATAAAGGATATAGCCAAGATTAAAAGAATAACCTTCCTCAAAGCGTCCATTTTGACGGACGGATCATGCACTTTTCGTTTATCATGACCCAACAGAGAAGTATATCTGGTGACAGAACGGAATAACCCTTTTCGTATATATGGGTGTAAAATCTATTGCCGAATGCCAAATGATGAAACTCGCTGCTGAATATGAAGCTGTATCCAAAAAAAAAAAATGAGAAGATGAAAAGACGAAGAAAAAGAAGGCGCGCGAAGCTCGTATACTGCTGCGCGCGCTGAATAGCCGAAATGAAGAAACAGAAGAAAAATGTGGCTGAGACAGCTGTCACCACTTGCAGAAGCTGATGTCATCTCAAGACCGGCGTTTTTGCTAGCCAGAATTATTCTTATATCCCGCATTTCTCTTTGCCTCCCCGATAGCAGCTGCTAGCAGATGCCTCTGGAATCAGAGTCACGTGATCCCGCGACCTTCACCACGCGCGTCTTCATCTTATGCAAGTTGTGTGAATGAGTTTTGCCGCCACGAATGAGCGAAATGACCTAAAAATTGAGGGAAAAGGCGTGGAAATTACTTATGGCGTATATTGGTTCTGAATTTACGCTTACGGAGGATATTAACGGCATACTTTAACCGCGTTTCACTTTTTGCTTTCTTCAACAGGTTCTCCGTCTCACTCGCCTATTTCGCCCTCGAATGACATTTGTTGTTACCGCGCCCAAAACCGTTATTTCAAGGCGAATTGGTGTGATTCTTGCGTACGAGATTAATACAGCAAAGAATCTGGGGCTGTTAATTGTTCTACGAAATAATTACGCGCGAAAAGAGCTGTTATAGAGCAATCCAGAACGATGGCGTCTCGTGTTACATACAATGGGGTGCCAAGTACTGTTGGAGGCGGTAACATCTTCCAGGGGATGAAGTTCTGGGTTTCCCGCTTAGTTCCTTCAAGGGACTGGATTATCGACCAGATTCAGGTACGCTGAGAGCTGCATAATGTTATTAATAGGTGCTAAGTCTTCATAGACAAATTCAGGGACTGTCGTCGTTCAGGAGAAGGATGCAGATATGCTCATCGCAGACCACGCAAGGAAAGATGTGCCCCTGGGATCCTACTCTTGGAAATACATTACCGAGTCGGTAAAGGCTGGTTTTGTTCAAGTTGAAGACAAGTACTTGAACGGACCTCCTCCTGGCCAACCTCGAACAATACTCGCTGGGTCTCGCGCCAAAAAAACACGTACACCCTTTTCAGAGCAAGATGATGCTATTCTGGCCAAGCATGTCCTTCAAAAAGGAATCGACACGGCTGGGAATAAAATGTATATGGAGCTGGAGGCCCTGGTACGCTTGCACTCTTATGTTCCAAGTTCATGAAGAAAAAGATAATAATTGATCATAGTACCCCCATCATACTTATCAATCATGGAGACATCGATGGGTCAAAATATTATCGCTCAGATCTAACCATGATATTGATCGGTTAGCGAGGATGGCCAACTTTGATGTAGACAATGCACCGATAACTGCGAGGCACATCATAAGGAGGCATGCAAGAGAGGATTGGCCGCAGGCGCCACAACAAACCCCTGCCGTTACTAGTAGAAGCGACCAAAATGCTCGGCATCGAACTGAGACTTTGTCCAGAACCACTTCACGCGATCCAACTCGACGCCAAGAGACGACACCATCTGAGAATGTGGATAGGAAGAGTACTACGGATGAGGCTGCCTCTGAACAGGATGGCGATAGTACTGAAAAGGATTCAACCCTTTATCACGATGCCCATACTGGTGAAACGCAAGCGCAAGAACAAGAGCGAATTGAAGATAGCGAGGTAGAATCAGAAGGCGGCCAAGAGGAGAGAAGTAAAGAAGACGTTGGAGAAGAGAACGTAGAGGAGGGTGGGGAGCAAGAGGAGGAAGACGAAGAAGAAGATGGCGGCGCGGAAGATGATAATGGCGTTGACAGAAGTCCGTCTTCGTTTACAGAAAGAGACCAGTTCTACAGTGATCTTCAAGACTACTGCGAGGCAAACGGCAGGGAGCTTCAAAAGCAGTGCGTCATTAGGGATAAGAGGATTGACCTATGGGATTTGTGTCAAGCAGTAAGTACGCAAAATCTACCGCTGGAGGAGGTGGATTGGAGACGGGTAGCACGGTATGTGGGCTTCGACTGGGCTCAAAGCAAAGAGATTATCGCCACTTTACTACAGACGAGCTATCATCGCCACCTGGCAGGGTTTGTAGAGGCAATGTTGAGCTTCGAAGACGATTTCGAGGACAGCGAAGAAGACGAAGAAACTATTCCACAGACTGGAGAAGCTGCGGTAGAGCCAACAACGCCTTCGCGGAATGGAGGTGGCACAGCAAAAATCACAAATAGGCTGTCAGATGCGCAAACCCGAACGCCAGAACAAAGATCCAAACGAAGGCGCACCATAGGAGCCACGATTCCGGTGACACCTGAGGCCAAGGAGAAGGCCAAGAGACGACAATCCGCACCGGCACCAGGACAGTTAGGCAATATAGTGGACGACGGCCGAATACAGGCGGAAGATTCCCCGCATAGTATACCGATGAGGGATCGCCAAAGACAGTGGTCACCCGAGGAGCCTGATAACACTCCTTCTCAACAGCTGCAGAGTGAGAGTAACTCGGTTGTGAGCCCCGAACTCGGTGATAAAGGAACACCCACTCGCCACAACCAACCTCGCAGCTCTGGCTACCATTTCAACGATAGTCAGCTCGAGACTATCATGGAGGAGGAGCCATCTGCGTCTACTCCGACCAAACACAAATCCAAGAAGCGCTCACTACCATCATCGTTTCAGCAACCCCAGACGATGCCTCCTCACGAAAGAAGGCGACTAGAGGAACAAGAGCAACAACAGCAGGAAGAAAGCACACAGGAAGGAAGCACGCAAAAAGCACAGGCTCCAAAAGAGCAGCAGCAACCCGAAGAGGAGAATTGGAAAACCAAAGAATTTCACAAATGGACAAAGCACTATCGCGAAGCGGGCTATTCTGACGAACACATCTCCGAAGCCATGAACCGGACGTGCTGGATCCCCGGGGCCCGCATGGAACAAGTCTTGAAGAGTCTCCAAAAGGGAGATGGCATACCTAAAAACGTGCAGGGCATATGGACGTACCGTGACGACAAGAAGCTCGAATACATTCGCCAATGTGAGAGCCTGGAGCCCGTGGCCGGAGACTCGAGTGAAATGCAACGGCGCAGAGCGAGGGCGGGAAGAATGATGGAGCAGCTCCTGTTCAAGCATACCAAATCGCTGGTTGAGCTTCGGTTGGAGATTCATGAAGCGAATTGCCAATGATGAGTGGAAGTAGATGAGAAGATGGGGTGGAGTGTTGGAGGAGCGAGAGGAGCGATGTGTTTGTGTCATAGAGTATGGCATGATAAGGCTCACTTTGCTTCTCTTTCGTTGCAGTTTTCCTGTTATATATAATATTGCTATGAGTATACTGATGAACGATAACTTGTATTTCTTTTACCAGAGGCGGTTGGAGACGGAAAGGCCCCGGAATGGTCAAAATAGCTTCACTACTGTAGAGATAGATACGAAAAGCCGGCCAAACAAGCAGTAAAAGCATTCTCAATGTGATAATAAAATTTCTTCTTTTACTTTCTTTCGATTGTCATATGATCCCATGTAGATGTTAATCACCTCGTATATACAAAGACAGCAATATACTCCACCCAGTATGCATCATACACTTCACCTAGGTGGGTGGTCCCCCTCACTTCGCAAGATTCTTCAACGTATGCGCATAATGCCACTCCTCCAACGCAATATCCGCCCTCACCTTGTACACCTCCTCCGCAATATCCAGCACCTTGCCCTCCACATCCACAAGGCTCATCCCCTCCTCCACGCCCAGCTTGCCCAGCGCGCCCTGCAGCGGCATCGCCACCTGCGACAATCCAATAAACTCCGTGCCCTCGTCGTCCTTGCCCGTTGCCACCGAGCCCAGCGGCGACCCCGTGTTGTTGAAGACGAAGGCGCACGTGTTCTCAAAGGCCCGCGCCACGGCCACGTTCTCCAGGAATAATCGCTCGCAGTCTGGGTTTACTTCGGCGCCAATGTCGCCTCCGTCGCTGTTGAGCCAGAAAGTAGGGCAGATGACAAACTTTGCTCCATCGGCAGCCAGCGCGCGGCACGCCTCGGGGAAAGCCAAGTCCCAGCAGATAATCAGCCCAACGCGACCAAACGGCGTGTCAAACGCCGTATGAGGCGTCAGCGCATCGGCAGTCAGGTGCGGCCTCTCGGGATGCCACAGGTTCTTCTTCTGATAGCGGCCCAGCACAGCGCCATCAGGCCCAATAAAGTACGCGGCGTTGGCGACGCCCTCGGTCGACGATTCTTCGCCCTCGTCAGCGGGCAGCGGCTCGAGGATCGTGCCGGGGACGATGGAGATGCCGAGCTCCTTGGCGAGGGCCTGGTACCGCGCGAGATACGGCGTCTGCTTCCTGGCCTCGGCGAGGAGGATGTCGGAGTCGGGCTTCCATGAGGAGAGATGGTATTCGGGGAGGACGGCGAGGTTTGCGCCCTGGGCGGCGGCTTTGCGGATGTAGGACTCTGCGCGGGCAAAGTTGCCGGCAATGTCGAGTGGCTATTCAACCCATTGGAAAGTTCAAAGGGTCAGTCAATCTTTTGTATAAGAAGCGTATAAGACGGTGTTGAAGGTTAAGAGCAGCAGGGGTTGTTGGTAGTGGCCAAGGTGAAAAAAAGGCGGGAGAGCAGACTCACCTTGGAGTATAGCTGAATAAGCGCAATCTTCAGATTTGACGCCATCTTGTCTTGGATAGAGGAAAAAAGGGGGGAAAAAAAAAGAAAAGGCTAATAATAATGCTGTAGTACTATTTACAAAGAGAGGAATCGCAATTGAATCCTCTCAGTTAGATACAGGTAAAGTTATATATGCGCGTCCCCCGATCGAGCCCCAACTTTTCCCCTCAGTCCCCGGAATTTGGCCACCGAAAACCGGTGCTGGAGATGACATATGGGCGCTGCGGAGGCGGGGCCGGATCTGGCCTGCAGCCGGGCCGGTGTCTGCTATCCGGTCCTTTTTGGAGGCCGAAGAGATATGTCGAGTCAGATTCAGCTGGCATCTGATCCAGGTTCCCCAGATTTGATGATATAATAGCTCAATAATTAAGTACATTAATACGTAAATACATCAAAGTCTCGATAAGCTGGTCCTTCTTCAGACAAGAAGCAGCCCGGCCACAGCCGCCGCTTGAGCAACTGCTAGTACCCCAGGCTTCTCCAGGATCAAACTACTTCCTGCATTATCACTACCTCCTCCACCAGAAGAACCACCCGAGCCGCCGCTGGAAGTCCCATTACTGCTACTGTTCGTCCGTTCCAGGACAAACACCTCTCCGGTAGCGTCCGATGAGAACCACAGTCGACCAGCCGAGTCCCATGCTAGGCCCACGGGGCGGAAACACTTGTCAGGGCAATTGGTGAGATTTGCATTGGTGATGATATCGGTGACGGCGTCAGTGCTATTCTGCAGAGCGGTAGGCTGACCATTGGAATCAAAGGCGATGGAGACGATGCGATACCCCGTGGGGTCGTTTCGATTCCCTTTCGTTGTGTTAGCGTTTTCATGCGATTTGAAAATAATTCACGGTGAGACTAACAACTGCCGTGGAAAGTAATAAAAGCCTCCGAGGCATTGGAATTGAATTTGATGTCCAATGGAGCCGAATGAGCCTGAAAAGCAAGACGAGGATCTACATGATCGGTATTGCAGCTCGAGTCTGTAACGTTAGACGGCGCGCCATCAAGAGCAAACTGGTCTCCAACCTCGAGATCGCCCAAATCAGGAAAGCCCGACGTCGACCAGACGGTGTAGCAGTACGGATAGCCATAGTTGCCTCCCTGATGATCATTGGAGCCCAAGACGCCGTGGTAGTTGAGCTCTTCTCCAGGATTATTCTGGTGTAAATCCTTCCCTTGGCGCTGCAGCTGGTCGACAGAATTCTCCACAGACCAGATACCCCCCGTAGAAGGATGCTCAACGACACCGACCGAGTTCCTCAGGCCCCAGCCCAGAACATGGCCATCGAGAAAGTCCAACGGCGAGTCCCCCTTGCTTATCCGTGAGATGTTGTAGCTGCGAATCTGCGAGTGTCCGCTGTTGATGTTGGCGGCATCTGAGTCTTGGTTGGAGTTGCTGCCGCGGGAGACGAGAAGCGTGTCTGGCTGTTTCTTGGAGATGAGAAGCGTGCGGGTGGTGTGGTCCGAGTTGCTCATGTTAGTGACGAGGGTGAGGTTGGAGGAGAGATCGACCGAGACGGCCTGGCTGTCGTAGGCAAAGGAGAAGACGCTTTCAGGCGACGAGACGTAGATGGTCTTGCCGTCGCCCGAGAGAGCGAGTCCATGGTTGAGCTGATATCAACTCATCCGTCAGTTTGCATCTTTTCTTTTCATGTTTTTCATCTTCATTGTAGCTTCACGCTCATATAATGAACGAATGACACAAAAACTTACATTCTCATCCGCAATCAACCTCTTCTTGCTCTTCACCGTCAAACATGTCCCACCCTCATCGTCCAGCGTCAAATGCGTCACCCCAGCCCCTGATTCCACCACCAAAAGCCCCCCGTCGCTGTCAAACGCAATGCCGCGCGGCCTCGTGAAGCCGTTCGCAACGAGGCGGAACTGCCAGCCGCTCGCCGCCACCGGCGCGGGGTACGTGACGCTGAGATTGTTGGAGCAGGACTGCTGCGCGGAAGCAATCCCAGATAGCAGCGACGATAATGCCACTATGAGAGAAAGGAGACCCGTCATTATGGGCGTTTTTTCTATCTAACGGGTGAGATGTGATTTGTCTAGAGTCAAAGATGGGGCGTTTTGATCGAAGCTACAGCGGGAAATAGAGTTTTAAGCTTATGAAGATGAGCCCCTTTGACGGACATAAAGTTTTAACTGCAGGCATGTCTAGATATAGTAGAGAACCCCTCAGACCAGTAGAGGCAGCTACAGAGTTCCCCTTTATGTCTAATAATGTTGCATCATTGTATAGCACATGAACAGGCAGACAGGCATGTTAGTGAGGTCATCGTTGGGGTAGCCAAACGCAGGGAGACGATTTGAGCTGGTCGACGCCAAGCTTCGAGGATCGATGAATAGCCGCTGATCGAATGAGTGGGGGCGTTTACCCCAGATTTGGGCTAAATAGAGTTGCAGCATGGCTATTACCTTTTATGTGAAAAGTGGTATTAGAATGCGACCATGGAAGAGTCCACGTTCCTCGAATCATGTACCGTCTCTGATCCATGTGGCTTATGCGATAAGAAAACTCAACTGTTAGCCCGCTTCATAAAGACATCGCCAAACAAAGGCCAGCCTCGTCACAAGACATATGATATCCATTTGCTCATGCCGCATCAACATAGTATAAAACAGATAATCCAATGCCGGGAAATATCCAAGAACGCCTCCTCAGTGTTAAAGCCCCCTCTTCTAAAGATGTAGCATTGATGCTGCCCTCTTTCAATTCAAACCCTCCATCTCGCTCATCGCAACCCTACCCCCGGCCTCTTCAAAGGATGCGCCTCCGTATTCAACACATACTCATCCAAGCTAATCACGTCCGGCTCCGAGAAGATGAGGTAAAAGTACTTGAGCGTCTCGGCCAACCAGAAACTCTAGCAAATAGTCATTAGCTCTTCATTCAACAAATCATGTGTTTAGTAACTCACCTCCATCGAGTCAAGTTTCTTCGTCGGCCCCAAAACAGTAACATCCTCAATCGCCGAATTCGCAAGATCCGTATACGTCGCCTTCATAATCGCCTCAAACATGCTCCACGCAATGTCCTGCAAGTCCGTCTTGCCCGTCACGCGGTACAGCACAAACAAGCTCTCAATCGCCTCCGGTCGTAGGATGTAGCGCTTGTCCCGGGCGTGCGTAAACCCCTTGGGCAGATTCTTACTGCCTAGCTTCTCCCAGCGCTCCTCGTCCCACTCGCACGAGTCCAGCGACTTGCACGGCACCATGCCAAAGATCTCGGGCATGATGCCAGTCGGGAACTGGCCGTACGCCCAGCCGCATCCGCGCGCCAGGCGCTCGCCGATGCTGACGTGCTCATCAATCTCGAAAAGCCTGCCGCCGACGGCAAACATGCCACCGACGAAGCACGTGAGGTGCTGGCTGTCGGTGTCGAGGCCGCCGTTGGCCCTGCCGGCTCGAAACTCGCCGCTGAAGAGAATGTCGTCGAGGTCCGGCACCATTGGCCTAAATAAGAGGTTCTGCACCGCCGCGTCCATAGCCCCGCGGTACATCTTCTCGTAAGACTCGTCCGCGCCTCCCAGCAGCGCGTGCATCTTGGGCAGATACTCGTACAGAGAATCCGCCAGCGCACCGAGGGTGAAGCTGCTATCGCCAACCTTCTCCGATTGGAAGTTGATCGTCACCGGCCACATGCCCGGCAGCTTCGTGTCGTTTTGCGTCCTCTCCAGAAAGCGAGTCACGCGATCCGTCGCATCGTAGAATTTGCTATCGCCCGTCAGCTGCGACAGCCTCGTAAACTCCATGCTCAGCGAGCACGGCGACGCGGACGGGTCGTTTGTGCCGGCAATCAGCTTGCCGTGCTTGGCCTTTTCAAAGTCGAGCCAGAAGCCGGGCATTCTGTTGGGCGTGTCGAACCCCATGTACAGCATCTCGCCCAGCTCAATCGCCTTGTGCAGCAGCACCCGCTCGCCGCTCAGGTCGTAGGCGCTCAGCAGCCCTCCCAGGTGGCGGATTGTCGTCTCAAACATGTTTGCGGCCGTCGAGTCCGTCACCGACCAGTCCAGGGCGCCCACCGCGGCAGCAGCCTCGGCGAACTCGTCCTTGAAGCCCATAATCCACATTGTGTCCAAGGCGTCCACCAGCGTCGCGGCCCAGCCGCCAAACGGGTCCTTGGCCGATCCAGACACCGGCGTGAGCTCGTCTCTCATCCATGCGTACTTCTTGTAGGCATTGTAGCTGCGCTGGAAGACGTCGCGCACAGTCGTGCGGCGCTTCTCGTTGATCGCCCGGTGCTTGAAGGCGCTGGCGGCGGCCTGGATTCGAGGGAGCGCATTGGGCTTGCCGGTGGGCAGCGGCTTGATGTCGTCGACGCCGTGATGCTGCCTGACGGTTGTCCAGTCGAATTTGCTCGGAACGAAGACGGGCTCGGTTGGGGACAGGTCTAGGGAAGCGCCTGAGGACAGGTAGTAGATGGTGAAGGCGGCAAGCAGAATGCCGCTGAAGATGACCAGACGGGCGACCCTCCGCGGCAGGCTGATACCATTGTTTATCGCCATGATACACCAGTCCGACTCTTCATCTCGTCCGTGTAACGTAGCCAAAAAACCGCAAACAAACACATAAACAAGAAATGAAAGTAAACAAACCAAGAGATTACAGTTTTGGATGGCGGAAAACAAAGAATGGCCGCCGCAAGCCAATCGCTGCCGTAAAAGGACAGCTACCGTCTAGGGTCTTCGCCACGGCGCCGAATCCGCTTGGCTCCAGGGGTGGGATCCAGCCGGAGCAGCGCCATCTGAAGATGGGCAGCCCCAGACAGTGCTGTGCTGGATGCTGTCAATACATGTAGCCCGCCTGTAGTAATTTGCCCCGCCATACAATCATCGAATTGTTGGATATAGCGAATTAGGCAAGTCCCTGAGCAATCAGCCTGAATTGCTACTGCGGGGAGCCCCGAGAGCAGAACCATATACAGGAATATACAGAGGCATTGTCTATATCTACTCAGTTACTATTAGCATTTGTGCTGCATTCTGCGTTCTGCAGAGTCTGTGCATGGTAGAATGATGAAGTCGAAAACGTCCGGGTCGATTTACGGGTCCCACATTACGGCCTTGGGGAGGGTCGAACTTGCTGTGAAAGCTAGAAAGCCAGCCTAAAATCCTGCAGGAATGATACGCAGATGCCTTGAATAGGCAACAAATCACAAGCCTGTTATCCTAGAACCTGTAAGAGAGTTAAGAATGCTGTGAAAGCCCATACAACATTTGAGCCTCTGCAAACTTCCAGCACTGAATTGAGTCATTGATGCCAATCCGTTACGTAGTACAGGTATACTCCATGATATCTCGAATGGCAGCTGGATTTCTCCAATCCTTAATTCTTCAATTACTATCTGTCCAAAGTAAGTAATGTATTGTATGGTTAGACACTATATATACATCAAGAGAGGTAAAAGCTATTAGAAAAGCCAGGCCGATGAGAAACAAGCAAACCGCATACCATCAACGAGACGGAAGAACAAGGGCAATGCAAAATATTCATGACTCTCCTGCAAACAAGCAAGCACCAACAAAAAAAAAAAAAACTTTAAGGGTAACTATAAAAAAAAGTATAACATGTATGTAATCCAGCTGTTTCTGCTCTGGAGAATCAAGAGAATCAACACCAATCCGAATCTGATATATACCCTGACGCCCTTCAAGAAAAAGAAGTAGGAAAAGAAATAAGAAAAAAAGAAAAAGAAAATGCTAGCAGTTGGCAGTCGCTTCTTTTTTGGTTTTTTTGTCACGTAGGCTTTTCTTCTTGAAAAAATCTCGCCCTCAGCGGAGTCCAATCACGCTCATCTCCAGCGTCCACACTCGGCGGATCCAGACCTTGAGCTTGCCCTCGACACCTTCGACATTGTCCAGCTCGATGCCCTCCCACCAGCATCGTCGAGCGGGTTTCCGCCAGAAGAGGAGCAGCTTTTGCGCCATGCCGACGGCGTTGCTGCCCATTTCGTTGCCTCGAATGTCGCTGCGCAGCCGAGCAAGGGCCAGACTGCAGATGACGGCCTTGTTAGGCTCGCCAGCTCGGTGGCCCCATTGGTCGTCGTGGTTGAAGCCACTACAAAGTCATTGTTAGCCAAGGGTTGATCCCTTTTCAGATCATATCGTAAGAGCGCATGACGAGAGTGGGATATAAGCATAGCAATCAAGGGAATAGAAAACTTACCCTGCCGTCAGCATCTCAATCAAATGAGCTTCCGTCGTTCCAGGCTCATCGCTGCGCTTCAGTCCGGAAAAGATGCCGTCCTGCTTCAGCAGCGCACGTGCCGCAGCCCGCTTGACCTCGATCATATCGGGCTGGCTGATGTCCGACTTGGGCGGGATTGCATAAAAGTCAAGATCCTCTCTCAGCACAATGATGCCAGCTCGTTTTGAGCCATCGTCTCGCGCCCCCATCGGATCCAAGGGAACAATCTCGCCATCCTGCGAAGCGCCGGGCGATGATTCGGTGGGGATTGACTGAGCAACATTGCGGAAAAAGTCCAGCATGTATTGCAACGAAGCAGGATCATACTATAACCAGCTATTAGTATACTTTGTATAATGAGAAGAGTTATTCCGAGACTTGTAGTTTACGAACATCAACTTGCACAGCATCGCTGTCGGGAAACCCGCTCATATGGCCTTCCGGGAAGAGCCCATTGGGGAAGAGAGATAACAGAACAAATTCAGGTAGAGTGAGTAGTTCGTCACGCGAAAGGACAAATCTGGTACCCCTGTTTTCATTTTTCGGTTAGCCATCTGTTGTAGGTGTCTTCTCCAGCAGGATATTTCGCTAACATACCTAAGGTCCATCGTGATTGTCTCATCGGCGCCAACATCTAGACTCTAATTAGCCACACGCTCTCCTTTTTATATCGTTGTATATATTTCATTGTGTTTTCATCTTGTCCTTCGCCTCTTCCAGTGTTACAACTTCTTAATCAAAGACTTTGCAGGCAACTCACCTCCGATAGCATTAACGGGTGGACCACCCTGTTGCACCTGAGTAATAATACTCGACGCTCCTCCGGCAGCCGCCATTACGAATGAGAATGCAAAGAGAGGACTATCCCCTTCCGAGTACGCAGGCGGTGGTTCGGCGTCGTCGTCTTTGCGGCTCGATTCTCCCTTGGTGTCTCTGGGGAGCGCACGCTTGGTCTCGGCGACAGGGTCTTGAAAGGCGCGCGCGGCAGTAGTAGCAGGCTGATCGGTATCGAAACGCTCCGGGGCACGGGAGTCGGAGCCGTAGGCGGGCGCGGCGATTGATCTGGCAGCGGCGCTTCCTTCGGCGACGAGAACAGCAGGGAACTTGCCACCACCGGGACGGTCTTCAACCGACGAGAAGAGCGACGAGAAAGGCGGAGGGCGCGAGGAAGAGGCTTCCGAGACGGGATACTGCGGCGGCGGGGACTGCTCGGCCTCGTGGACGGCGCCAGGGATGCCTTGAGCGGCGGCGATGTCGTTGTCGTCGCTGTCGTCGCGATCGAGCTCACGGCCCAGCTGCTGGGGATCGGCGGCGGCGGTGGCTGCGTGCTCGCGGCGGTGATGCACCTTGGCCTCTGTCAACTCCAGGGACTCTGACGGTCCGGTTCCAGGCTCGTGCGTCTCAGACAATGTGGCGGATTGCGGTTCGCGGCTCAGGAGCTCGGGTTGGCGAGGGAGCGGTGATGGGGGCTAATAAGGGAGATTGGATTGAGATTGATTTGGGCGGGTCAGTGCAGCGCGGGCATCTGGCTGTGAAAATGCTACAGTACGGCGTGCGGAAAGGAGGCGAGAGTCTCTGGGCTGCGAGCGCAAAAAGGGCCTTTTGCGACTGTCTGGTCTAGCTTTCAAAGATGGATTATCCGTCTCTTGTTGCTGGGGTCAACGAAAGCTCCGTGGCCAGCTGATTGATGATGATGCAGATTGGTCTGGTCAATTGATCTGGTTGGCGATGAAGTGCCGCTGATGAGTTGAGTTGATGAGGTGGGTGGAGAACAATAATGCTAGCTGCTGCCACCGGTTGCCCGCTGAACCTGTCAAGTGCCTCCGTTTTCCAGCGCTTTTAGGGGGGATTCCACAGGCAGTTGCCTCGCTCAGGCGGGCTGACCTCTAATAAGCCCCACTGCAGATGGAACGGGTAGCTAAATTGGGCACACCCGCTGGCCAATGACAGAGCTCCAGCCGCCCCAAGCTTCACATTAGCCGCCAGAGCCAATGTTGACTCGAGTGACCTTGGAAAACGACCACGAGCGCTTGCCGAACTGCCAGTAAACGAGAACAGATGGCTCAACATCAACATGAAGGGAAGATGCTCGTTCAACTAAAATTGACGTCAATTTTCGTCTTATGATTTACCTGATTCGCCGAGATGAGAAGCATGTAAAGAAATAACTCTCATCGAGGAAGGGCTTGGTACTGGTATATCTAATGTACTTCACCTAATTCAAGGTGCTCCATATTACTCCATACGCCCTAATTCTAAACCCATGGCAATGCTTTTCACATTCATTCGCTGTCACTGTCGCCAAAGATTGCTCGCAACACTTCGGCATTGGCGCTCTTCCCTTCAACAGCCTCGTTCCGCTCAGGGTTGACCTGGCCTTCTACCACCGGAGGCCCCCGCAAAGCCGCCGCCGTTGCTTCACCAGCTGCAGGAGATTCATCTTGGGTCCGAGACGCAGATAGCAAGGGCATCTGTACGTCTTCCATTGGACTGCCGTAAGATGGTCGCGCGCTGGGGCCCGGAGGTGCGTTGCTGGCATCAGGCTCATCGTCTCGTCGAGAGTGCGCAGGCGGCTTGACGTTGAACCGCTTACAGAGTAGTCGCGTAGGGTAAAAGTCTTCGACCGACCTCGTCAGATTTCCAAACATTCCCATCTTAGCAGCCTCTTCTGCCGGGTCCAAGGTCTTTGGCTCGGGCACAGAGATCAGTTCCTTCTCTTGTGTTGGGTCAGCCCCAATAATATGCGGCGCCTTGGCCGTTGTGAATCTTGATGCCATGAAACCAGTCATTGGCTTGAATATCCTCGCGCAGTTGTAGAATTCAGTCATTTCCTGAAGAAATTCGTCATCTGACATGCCGCTGGTCCTCTCCGGGAGCGACAATTTAGGATTCGTATGATGCTCCAAGTACCGTTTGTAGCGAACTCTTTTGGCCTCGTTGTCTGCATATGGCCCTCGTAAACCCCGTGCAATCGCTGCGATTGCCGTGTCCCGGTCAAGCTTGGGAACTTGCTCCCAGAGCATTGTCTGCTTTTCTTCTTCCGACACCGCATATCCTTCTGGCACTTCGCCTAGGCCAGGGGGTAAGTCTGCTCTTCCTGACGCCGTAGCAAGCCTCTCTCTGGAAGCGGCTGATATGTAATCAAAAACGGATTTCCCAGGGAGGGCCTTTTCTCCAAGGATAGCGGCTCGAGATTTCGCATCGAGAGTTGACGACTTGGCAGCCTCAGCGGCTGACACATACGCAGCGGCTTTGCTGTCGGTACTAGTGGTAGACTTGGACGATTTCCAGTCAGCTGGGACTGGCGGAGGTGCATATCTGGACAGCGCAATTGTTAAATCCTCCATGGCCATGGCCAGGACAAAGCCATCGAGTGGAAGTCGTCCATCCTGACATCTCCGCAAGCTACTACCGACCCTAGAAGTTTTTGGTATAAATACTGGAGCATTTTTCAGCGACGGATTTGCTGTCGCTGATAACTTCTTTCCCTTCTTCTTCTTGTCGCCTCCAACAACGCGGTTATACCTGATCTTGGGCCCGATTTCGTAAGGGTCTTCGTCATCAGATCCTGTGTCGTTGAGGATGCCAATACCAATGCCGCCACGCTGCGGTTTCTTCTTGGTACCTCCTCGAGATAATATCGACAGCACGCCGTCCCGACCTTCGCCCTCTTCGTCGCTGTCCGCTTTGCTTTCATTGCGCAGCGACGAAAGCTTTTCTTGTCCACTATGCCCCAGGCCTTTGCGATCGGTCTTGTGGATAAATCGCATTACCTCGACATTGTCGGGTGCAAAGAAGTGAGTTTCGCCATCGGTCAAGTTAGACTTTGCGCCCATGTCCAGGCGTGCTCCTCGTCGAACCTTGGGTCCAATACCCTGGCCATCTTTCCAGCCCATTCTCCGCAACAGCTTCAGGCCCATTGTATCTCCGTCGGCTCTAAATAGGCCCATCAGCCCCCCGGCGCGGAGCTCATCTTGGGTGGACGATCCCAGGCCGGCAAATGCCTGAGTAGTCTTGAGCGTCTGTGCTTCCGCAGCATCCGCCAGATCCTCCTCGTCCATATACTCCTCAGCGCGCTGATGAAGGCTGGCAGGTTCATCTTTGCGGCGGTTCGTGCGACTCGATACAAAGGTGGCCGGTGTCCATCCTTCTTTGGATCCCACGGTGTTGAAATAGCTATGTTGGCGGTCAGACGCAGTGATCCAGAATGGGGTCGATAGAGCTGTGAACCTACCCTGCGCTCCAGCCGCCTGTAAAGGCTCCATGTAATCTCCGCCTGCCCTTTTCATCCCTCACCTCCTGTTTCCACAAGGGAAGATATGATCCATCGTCGCGCTCGCCGTCTTCTGGCAAAGGGGTGCCGAAGATGGCATACGGCGCATGGAGGTCGGCCTCGAATGTCGCCCGAGATCGCTTGTAGGACATGTGCTTTCGTATTCGGGAAAATTAGCAGGCAAAGATTCGTGGCACTTAGGGGCAATCCGAGGTATCAGAGCATGGCGCTGGGCTACTTGACGGGTGTGCGATAAAGTCCCAGAAGCAACTGTCGTGGTCTATAGAGGAATGAAGCAGGTCGGCTCAAGTCAGGAACAGTGGTTGTAGATGCGCTATCGATAAAGCATAAAGTGCCTTGCAATGCTACATGCACTCTTTGCAGCAGCCTGTCTATAGCCTCCTGGGACTAGCCCGCCCGCCCTGGCGGTCTTTGACCCACTCATTGCAGCTAAAATGCAGCTCCAGCGTCGGCAGTTCCATTGAGATGAATCTTCTTTGTGAATACACGTGGTATTCCCATGGGCTCTGCCTTTAAACTGGACCTTGAATTTAGTTTGTGGGAAGACTATCTAGTCCTAAACTAATTTTGAGCTGCTTTGATAAAATATTCAGGGCTGAAAGAATTGCATTCAAGATGGCGCTGCCAAGCTCCCAATCGCACACTCTAACCCTCGTGACGTGCTTCCATCGTCAGCTTACACCTTGACTTGGCTTGGGAGGGAGGAACTGAGCTCAAGATGGCCTGATCTCCAGCGTCCCAAATGCTGTGGACGAATTGGAGATTTTTGGGATCTAAGATCTTGTGATCTAAAGAAGACATTCCAATATTACCATTATTGATGCTAAGGCAGAGTTATCATTACTTCGTACTATAGAGGCCCCCAGAACAAGAGATGCGGTAATACGGAGTTAAGCCTCCCAATTTAGGGACCCGTCTAATAGTAATCTATTCGTGAGAATTTGATCAATAGCTTAGCAATCCTTTGATAATCTGGAGAGGCACTGTTTATTGCCGAAAGGGAGCTATTGACGCTTCTGTCCCTTTACTCACAGGATCAAGTGCTATTAAAAAATGAATCCCATGGTATCGTTGTCAGCAGCCAATGGCATTTATTGACTGCCCGTGAAGCGTGCGAAGCTGACAGCACCCGGCTTTTTACAGCTAGGTGCCTGAAAACGTCAGGAATCAACGACCTATCCAGCCACAGCAGGCACAATGACGAAATAGAACAAAGAAAGCATGGAAAGACAAAGAGGCAAGGACGGAATAGGAGAAGTCTAGAAAAAAGACAGAGAGAGATCATTGTGCTGGTGCATGGATGTTTCAAAAATACAGCATCTGGAATTTTCCATTTCTTTTACAAGCGACAGGGAGTCGTTGGCTGCTTCCCCTCTCCGCGAGCTGGGGCGCAGAGCTCAATTGGAGCACAGCACGTCAATGATGCCCGAAGCTACTAACGCTGGATACTGCACGCATGAAAATTGCGCTGCAGCACCTCCATACCAGCAGCAACTAGACTGCCAGCTCAGGCCTCTGCGCAAACAGCAAACAGCACCAGACATATCCAGGCAATAGAGTCCCGTCCATTGGTGCATCCAGCATCTGGGAACATGCGCTGTGGAGCCTGCAGCTGTAATGACGCCTGAGGGGGATGCCGCAATGCTAGATGAGCTGTACCAGGTTGCCAGGCTCCGTCCAACCACTGAGCAGCGCGCGGCCCCTGGAAGGCACTAGCCCAGCGAGCCAGGTTTAGCACTCCGCTGAAGTGAGGCCCCAGGTACGAGGTGATACCCCTACCATGCTATCCGCACCGGCTTGGCGACAGCTGAGCCAGCTGGATACATTCAAGTGATGGCATCTCGCTCGATCCTGGCCGCCTCTGCCCTCTCCTGTCCTCTCCTCTGTAGATGACCGCTTGGTATAACAGATGGCACAAGTGCTGCGCTGCGAAGTGGACGCTCGTCGGCTGCTAGCTCGACGTTAACGGATACCAGTACTCCGTAGTAATATCCAATTCTCCATCAGAAACTGGAGCCCAGAGGGCAGCCCGTGGCTTGATGGCATCTCGCACCTGTGCTCCGTACTATCGACGTCGTAGTACCTGTACTAGCCCAGCCCAGCACATGCACCCGGGCCCCAGCGCTGCGTTACCTGGAAGCCGTCCCAGCCATTGTCACCCTGCTCTCTCTCCTCTCGCACGCTCTCTCTCTTGTTCTTCCCCCCCAGCAGGCCCAGCTCTTTGCCCCCCGACCACGCGTGGATCTTCTCCTTTTTTATCTCGCAGCAGAGAGGAGGGCCTTTGATGCTTCTGTGACGCACCCGCGGGCCACGCTCCAATCTTTGCCTGACGGCTTCTCAGGGCCCTGGCAGCGCAGAACTCTTTGAGCATTGAAATTGACCGCCATGACAACCGCCGCAGCGTCCCAAGGCTCCGACTTCTCCCACACCTCCCCCTCGCGAGCTGCCCCATCCCGGTCCTATTCCACACGCTCCTCCCGCCCCCCTCCCGTACCCTCAGGCTCTGCTGGCGGCGCGGCTGGGCCACCTGCGTCCTCCATTTCCAGCGCCAACGCCAGCGCCAACACCAACGCCAACTCGCACTCGTACTATCACCACAGCAGCCACCAAGCAGCCCAGCAGCAGCAACAGCAACAGCCAGGAGTGCAGCAACAGCAGCAGCAGTACGCAACGACTTCGACAGCGGCCTCATCGCAGCAGCAGCCGCAGGCCCGTCACCGTCGCCGCAGCTCGTCGTCGTCTCGCCCGACCCACGCCCACAGCCAGCCTGCGTCGTCACAAAATGACTACGAAACCTCACATCTAGCCGCATCCCAGTCCAAGCGCAGCTCCAGCCGAGACCGCCCGCCGCTCTCTTCTAACAACAGAGCGGCCGACGCCTCTCGATCCCATCGACGGAGCACCAGCACCCGCTCCACGCATACTCGTCAGGGCCACGCCGAAATGCCTCCCTCCGCCGTCGCCAACAATGGCAGCTCGGCCGCTGCGTCGCACCACACTTCCCATGGCGGCGCCGACGCGACGCATAAACAATCCAGATCGCGCACCACCATCCCAACGCAGTCGGGCAAATGGATCTTGGGCAAGACCATCGGCGCCGGCAGCATGGGCAAGGTGAAGCTGGCTCGCAAAGAAGACGGGTCTGAACAGGTACGTACCCCCTTTGCTTGCTTTTGTGATATTCCATTGCGTTGCTAACTTTGTCCGTCAAAAAGGTTGCTTGCAAGATCATCCCTCGCGGTTCTACTGATGACGGCCATCAGAGCCGGCAAGAGAAGGAGCGCGCCGATCAGTCAAAGGAGATCCGAACCGCTCGCGAGGCTGCCATTGTCACCCTTCTCCATCACCCCCACATCTGCGGCATGCGAGATGTCGTTCGCACAAACTATCATTGGTATATGCTCTTCGAGTATGTCAACGGCGGCCAGATGCTCGACTACATCATTTCACATGGCAAGCTCAAGGAGAAGCAAGCCCGCAAGTTTAGTCGTCAGATTGCCAGTGCTCTGGACTACTGTCACCGAAACAGCATCGTCCATCGCGATCTGAAAATCGAAAACATCCTCATCAGTAAAACTGGTGACATCAAGATCATTGATTTCGGCCTCAGTAACCTGTTTTCTCCTCGCGGCCATCTCAAGACCTTCTGCGGAAGTCTCTACTTTGCCGCCCCGGAGCTGCTACAAGCGAGGGCATACACTGGTCCGGAAGTTGATGTGTGGAGCTTTGGCATCGTCCTCTACGTTCTCGTCTGTGGTAAGGTGCCTTTCGACGATCAGAGCATGCCTGCTCTTCATGCGAAGATCAAGAAGGGTCTTGTCGACTACCCGAGTTGGCTTTCAAATGGTAAGCCCATACTTCCTTTTCCCTATATGTGACCAATGATGTCATGAACCGAGTACTGACGCATTACCTTTTTACAACACAGAATGCAAACACCTAATGTCCCGAATGCTTGTCACAGATCCCAAGCAACGAGCAACCATGCAAGAGGTTATGAACCACCCATGGATGCTCAAGGGATTCAGCGGACCTCCAGATAACTACCTTCCCGTCCGAGAGCCGCTCAATGCCAACTTGGAGCCAGAAGTCATCCACGCCATGCAAGGCTTCAACTTTGGTTCTCCCGAGTCCATCCGTACTCAACTTACAAAGGTTATCGAATCAGAGGATTACCAGCAGGCTGTCAAGGCGTACCAACGTGAGAAGGAGCAGCCACAGCCCAGCAAAGACAGCGAGAAGAAGCGTGGATTTGGCTTCGATTTCTACAAGAGGAGAAACTCCAACAGCCGTGATACTCTTAGTGGACCAAGCTCCGAAGCGCTGCAGATAGGTGCTGACCCCCTGAACGCCTTCAATCCCCTCACTTCCATCTACTATCTCGTCAAAGAGAAGCAAGACCGGGAGCATGCGGAGATGAGCCCGCCAGCAAGCACTTCTCGCGAAAAGGAAAAAGAAAAGGAGCGAGAACGGGATAAGGAGCGAGAACGCGCAGAGCGTGAGCGCGAGAAAGAAAAAGAAAAGGAAAGAGAGCGTGAAAGGGAGAAAGAAAAAGAACGTGCAGAGCGTGAACGCGAACGCGAACGCGAGCGTGAGCGTGAAAAGCTTCCAGAGACTGTACCTGATTTGGCACCTCCTCAAGCGGCTCATACCAATGCTGCAGCGTTTGAAATGCCGGGTGAGAGGCCTACAGGCGGACGCACTCGACCCAGAGCTCGTACTCACGGAGAAGACGATGCGCCAGACTTGGTGAAACAGCAACACATACCTGTGCAGCCTGAATCCAAGGCCGATCAACTTCAGAAGAAGGAGGGCACTACTGCCAGCCTGCTCCGGCGCTTCAGCACTCGGAAACGCAGGGAGCCTGATCGATCAGCAGACAAGGAGAGAGACCGTTCCTACCCTCCCATGGTACATGTCCACTCACCACCCGAAGGAGCCCCTACAGCCCCTAGAAAGAGCTTCAGCATCCGACGTGGACGGCGAGACCGTGACGATCACGCCAATATTGCGCTGCCATCTGGCGGCAGTCAACACAGCGAGCTGCTGAGCCCCCCAATGTCTGCCGGTGGCATTCGCGGATCGCGAAAGTCGGGACTTGGACGGTCAACCAGCGTAAATTCAGCGGACATTCGCCGACGAGATAATGCCATGTCATCGAGAGAGCCACCATTGACGAGCGGCTCGGACCAGTCTGTTACAAACGACCAGTCTTCTACTGTACAGAGGAGCCACACGCATTCACAATCAGTGGCAATGAGGGCCAAATCTCTAGGACACGCGCGTCGCGAGAGCGTTCAACAACGTCGTCTGCGAAGAGAAGCCGCCCAAGAGGCCAATGTACCAGAAGAAACCGATTTGGAACAGGAAGCCAGCGGCGTCTCCACTGACAGACTGGACAGCGCTGAATTGGCGAAACCCGTATACCTCAAGGGTCTTTTCAGCGTTTCCACCACCTCCGGCAAGACGGTTCCGACTATTCGTGCCGACATCCGGAGGGTGCTGAAACAACTAAACGTCGACTATGTCGAAATCCGAGGAGGCTTTAGCTGCAAGTATACGCCTAGTATCGACCTCAACAGGGTGCATGATACACCGAGCAGTCCGCCTGCCCAAAACCAAGGAGGTGGCCATCGCCGCCGCTTTAGCTTTGGCGGCCTCATGCGAGGCGAGGACCGTGATCGCGACGACATTCGCGATATGGATCGATCGCCCGTGACCCCAAGGACGCCTGGACGGCAGGACCGCGACCGCAATCGAGACCGTGACCGCAGCTACTCCAACTCTGAAGAGTCGGTGGATAGCATCCCCCGAAGAAGTGGAGGAGTATCGAGGCGCGTGCCTGGAGAGACGACGACGCAAGTGCAAAGCGATCTGGGTGGTAGCATGGTAATGGAGTTTGAGATCTTTATCGTCAAGGTCCCACTCCTTTCCCTGCACGGCATCCAGTTCAAAAGAATGACTGGAAACACGTGGCAGTACAAGAACATGGCGGAGCAAATTCTCAAGGAGCTGAAACTCTAAAAGCATAAAATATGTCCGGGCAAAAAAGAAAACAAGGTGCATATTCTGGGTTAGCGAGGGCATCGGTGGATGTGTGAAACTGCCGATTTACGAGACAAGTCGCAGAGGAAAAAATTGTGCTATTGGTACGAAGGCAGAAGGCTTATCGCCTATGCTGGGCAAATTACGACGATCATTTGAAAATAGAAGCAGAGGGCGCGTTTGTATATGGCATGTTGCGGCATTTCACGTACGTAGCCGGAGTTTTCCTTTCTTTTCCTTTCTCTCGTCTTTTCTCTTTGCTTTTATCAACATTTATTTTTTTTCTACCCTTGATGGTGTGAGTACTTGGGACTGGCAGGTGGATATTAGAACACCGGCCAAGTAAGTAATGAGAACTTGTTTGGGTGAGTGGCGGTTTACCACTATGGAGAGCGCATGAGGCATATATCTTGGTTACTTATCCACGCTTAGATTACGTATTAATAAATAGCAATATGATTCGCAATATGGTACTTCTTCTTTCTCTTCTCTTTTTTTGTTGACCGACTTTGATGAGTTATCAACCATAGCTAGAAGTTGAATCCTTGCATATGAATCTGACTCACTTGGTGAAGACCTTGTTTCACTATGCGAGACAAACTATCATTTTTAATCCCCAGTTGTCTTTACGGAGCCACCCTGAAATAGTTTGCGTCATGACTTGCATATACATACATCGAGTAGTATTAAGCACATGCGGCACGGGAACAGTAGCGAGCTTTCCAAGTCGGTCCAGGCATCATGCAGGTCAACCATGTCAATCACACGAAATGGGAACGACAACGGCAGGGTAAGTAGAGGCAGTAAAAGAGGGCTGTGAAGCCCTACAAGAGGCAAATCGCTGCGGCTAGTCGCTCCCTGCAGCCTGGTAAATCATTTGTACGGTTCGCATCATTCGTATGGTGTTGAATACACACTTTGATGCATACCTACCTAGGTAGTTTATTCACATGCCACGGTAATTGAAGCTATCTCGAAACAGAACCTCCTCTAGGGCCATTTCGTACTAGCAGCCCTCCTCTAATGCGCGTATCTTAAGTACATACATATGTAGGTACCCCGTACCTTGCTCTGCACGCTATGCACACCATCGCGGCGCGTACAAGTACCATATGCCGTCAACTACGTAATTTGGGGCCTTGGGTCATCCGCATACAGCAAGCGGAGAGGCAAAAAAGAGGCGGGCGGAGAGCAAAAAAGGGGGGCCTCGACTTCACAAGCGACCGGCGCAGGTCACCTGCGTTATCTGCTTGTATGCAAATGTACACGCGGACGGCCAGAAAATCAGCGAAGAGCAGGAAAAGAGGATCCCGGCTTTGCTAGCAGGGCTTTGCAGGCTCGAAACGCGGGGCCGACTAAGCCTGCTTCGGCGATTCTGCCGCCGCTGACCGTCCTTGGTGCAACCTTGCAGCCGCCAGCCTCTTTCGCTCGCGGACAGCAGCTTCAGCTTTCTCCTCCCACTAGCCGCCGCCATATTTTGCTCTCTCTCTGTTCTCTCGTCCTTCACTCTCGTCTGGCTCGACGTCTGGGCTCGTTTATTTCATCGCGCTTTCTGGTCCGTGGACGATTCGCCGGACCGCTGCTGAACGAAAGAAGACAAGAATTCCAGTGCCCTGCCCGGTGGCCCTACTGCTGAGACTCCGAAGAAGAAGAAGAAAGAAGATATCCCCGGACTCGTCGCCACCATGACTGAGGTTTCGTCCACCCGGCTTTACCTGGGAAACCTCCCTCGAAATGGTCCATCTCCATTGTCTTCCTGCTCCCATGGCTACGACTAACTGGCTTCCCTCAGCTACCAAGGCCGATGTCGAGGCTCACTTTGCGACCCACGGCACCGGAGAGATTACCGAAGTGAAGCTTATGAACGGTTTCGGATTCATCGAGTATAAGGATGCTATGGATGCTCGCGACGTCGTCCCAGGTTCGCCTTGCCTTGTTCCCCGTATAGATTTGCAACGGGATCTATTATACTGACCAATCGCGCGTTCTTCTTTGCCATATACAGCTTTCCGTATGTCCATCGCCCTACCTACCATCTCTACCTGATCTCCATCTCTCTTCCGCGTCACTACTCTATCGCCTTTCGCTCTGCTCGAGACTAACCCGCGATTGAACAATACAGATGGATCCGACTTTATGGGAGAACGCCTCACCGTCCAGTTTGCCCGTGGAGCTCGACACCGAGAGGGCGGCATGGGGCACGAGCGTGCGCCGCCGCGACCGCGTAGAACTCCTCACCGAATGCAGATCACGGGACTTCCCAATGATACCAGCTGGCAGGTCTGTTCCCTCTCCCAGTTTGTTGCACCTGGATTCCACGGGACTTGCGTGCCCTTTTCCTCATATACTTGGAGCGCTTTGGTTTGCTATGCGTTGCATTGGGTCGGCATGTGCGCCCCGCACTATCCGTCTCAGCCCTTTCGTTCTGGACTGGCGACTCTGGCTTGGCATCCCTGGTTCCTGACTTGATGGATTATTCTTCACATCTTTCGCTTGCCGATACGTGGACTTTTTTTTCTCCAGGCTTTTTGCTCTCCTCCTTGGCAACGACTTACGTGGATTCTACCAATAGGACCTTAAAGACTTCGCCCGTCAATCAAGCCTTGATGTGGTGTACTCTGAGACTGGCCGCGACTCTAATGGCCGAGGGTAAGCGCTGTTAAACTTTGGGCTCCTCAACCTTACATGTGTGTTTGTGACTAACGAGAGGGGCCGTAGCTTTGTCGAATTCGAGACTGCTGCAGATCTGAGAACAGCCGTTGAAAAGCTTGACGGTCGTGAGTTCAAGGGCGCCCGTGTCCAATGTCTTGTTGACGTAAGTTCCGATACTAGTCCTATCACTCTGCATATCGTTTCAGGTGGACTGCTTGCTCACTCTAGATGCTTAGACTCAACCCGACATGCCCCCGCGGGATCCCCGTGCCCGATCTCGTTCACCTGGACGTAGGCCATACCCACCGCCGCAATTTGATAACTATGACCGCCGAGGCGCTCCTCACCGAGGTTACAGCCGCGAAGGCGCTGCACCATCGTATGGCTACCGTGACAGAAGCCCTCGCCGTGAATACTATGATGACCGGGCTCCGCGCTATCGTTCACCTCCTCGCCGGCCAGTGGAAGATTACCCGCCCCCTCGAGGTCGCTACGATGAGCCTTACCGCCGCGATTATCCCCCGCCTCCTGCCGATCCTTATGCAAATGGCGGTCGACCTGCCTATGACCGGCCACCAAGAGACTTTCCCCCCAGGGAGCCAGCATACCCTCGAGAAGGAGGATATGCGCGAGACTACGATCGTGGTGGACGCTACTGGTAAATTTCACTCTTCTCTATTATCCCTATCTCTTCTTGGGATCTGCGCTGTATAGCTCTACTTTCCCACGCTGCCTATTTTTTATGCGTCTTCTATTTTATACGCTCGCTCTCTTGGCGGAATTGGCCTTGACCAAATGTGATAGATGACCTACCACAAACGGACTTATCAACTCGAAAAGCTGGGGCGTATGGTTTGCAGAGACTGGTTATTACGGGACTTGTATCTAGTGTGGAGGGTCGGGGAGTTTGGACTTCACAACGAGCAGCTTTGCTATTTGCTATTTCGATATGAGTGGACACCGGACGATGGGCTCTTGACGATCAGAATGAACATGGGACAGCCATTGACAGAATGGAAGGAATCTCCGGGACACATGATATCACATGGGAGGCAAGAAGAGTCAGGCTGTACGATTAACGGGATTTATGTATGGTTCATCAATTTTTTTTATTGCTTTTTATTTCTTGGTGATATGTAACATCTTTGCATGAAAGCGTTCTTGATCCACATACGGCGTGCTATTCGAACAGCAAGAGAAAACGAAATGAAAGAAACAAAGACCGAAATAAACCAAGAAAACATCATCAACATGAGGAATATGGCATTAGAAGAATTGCTTGTTGAAGCAGCTCGGTGTTGGCGACCGTCACAACGTGAGAGGTAGTCGCTGTTAGTATTATACACAAACCATCCCTCTTGGCTCATACATGTATATACATATGTGCACATCTCCACCAGCTCAAGGAAATATATCGCTCATTTCCGAAAGAAAACAAATGAGATTTGGCGAAAAGGTCTTTGCTGAAGCCGACATGTGCGTATCAAAGGAAGGGGGGTTTTCTTCCCTTACTGTTTCCTTCCGAAAGCGTTCTTCTTTTCTTGCGCCGTAGCACTGCCTTCTAGGCGGCGGTCTTCTTCCACTGGGAGTAAACGCCGATGACACTGCTGACTGTTCCGGCTAGGCCGACGAAGCCGTCGTCGAATCCGACCCAGTTGAGGGCGGTGAGGGGGACGGTCAAGTCGCAGACGTCGGAGACGAGCTGGAGGCGGCTGGCGAAGCGTTCCCTTGGGGAAATGTCACATGTTAGTTTTTCTCTCTTCTCAAGGGGAATTTTCAAGGTTATATGGGAACAGAAAAGGGTAAAAACTCACTTTAGGATCTGCTTGCTCTCGACAACGCCCTCCCCGTCCTTGCGGTCAATCTTTGCCTCGCGCTCCTTCAGCCTAACCAGCGTATACAGCTGCGCCGCAACGCTGAAGACCAGCCCCATGGCCCAGAAGCGATAGGCATGTTGCGTCAGCGTCTTTGCGGCGGACCACTTGCGGATGCCGGCGGCGTCGCCCAGTGTCAGCATGTCAAACGACAGGTAGCCCGCATAGCCAATCTGGCGGCCGACGGCGGCGTAGCGCAAAAAGGGCTCGAGCGTCTTTGCGTCGGCGGCCTGGGCGGCGGCTTTCACGTGCTCTAGATTCTTGCCGAAGCGCATAAACTTGCGGACGAGGCCGAACTGCTTCTTGATGGCGTTCCAGGGGGCCATTTGCGAAGGGGTGCCGTTGGTGCGCAGGAGGTACCAGGCGTAGAAGCGGGCAAAGTACTGCAGGGTGCGGAGGATCTTGTCGCGGCCGACGGTGGTGGCGACGAAGCGGAGGTAGTGAGCCACCGAGGGGTGGTAGACGAGCGTGTCGGCGACCATTTTTGGTGGTTTTTGTTTTGGATGTCGTGATGTTTGGTGATGGTGTTTCGGATCGAGGGATAGCACGCGCACGCTTATCGGCTTCGGCAATCGATGGTTATCGCAGATGACGTCTTTTTTTGCTTTTTCTCTCAAGAGAAGTAGAAAAGGATGAAGAGACGATATGTCAATTCAACGGGGTATAGGTCGTAACAGAGAGAGGAAGGAGAACAAAGTCGAGGAATGGGCCGAAAGAAGAATAAAGGAAAAAAAAAAGTGAATGAGAGTCAGAAGTGTCTCGTGTTTAGCCGTGGAAAGGCTTCAAGCCATACCGTATGGCTGCAGAGAAGCCGACGGCACTTGTGGCGTGTAAAACATGCCGAGGTCCAGATTCCCCCACAACTGGAGAAGCAAGAGATTCACTTCTCAAGAAGCTTAGCTCAGCGTGTTTGGAGTTTGTGTGGAGAAACGAGACAAGAGATGCGAATCCGGAGTAGATCCGCACCTGGGCTCGTGCCTTTCACGTGAAGCAAAGAAGGAGAACATCTCGGCGCAGATTATGTAATGCATCTCGGTACTCTCTCGGTACTCTCCCCAGCGACGCAACTCACGTGAGTCCCCGCGCCCCGCCGAAGGAGGGAACTTGATAGCTCCAACCAGCGCCTTCGCGTCTGCTCTTCCGGGAAATCCTCTTAGACAATAGCTTTCCGGAGCTGGGGCAACGGGGCATAGCCGGGCCTCTCCAACGCTGAGCTGAAACTGCTTTGTACTGCTGCTACTGCTTTATTCTCAGACGAGCACACAATTTCTAGAGATGGGTACTTACATACGCACAGAGCCAGAGACGCAAAAGAAGAAAAAAAGCTCCTCTCATCCGGCAAATGCCGTCAAAGCCCACCCCGGAAGGGAACCCAGACAGCCAGTCAACGGCCACGCTTCGGTATAGTCGGTTACGTTATTACTCGCCCTTTGCCGTGAACACCACCCATAGCTTATGCAAGTCCTTTGTAATGTTGTAGAAAGGGCTCTTCCTTTCAGCTTCGGATTGGCTGAAGAATCCCTCCCCCCCCCCCCCCCCTGAGAAAAGAGCCTAGAGTAGCCGGAACTTGCCTTTTTGCTTGGTTACATACTTATACGTAATACAAGTCAGTACTTAGTAAAAACAAGAGCTGGGCGTCGGGACCCTGCGTTTTTTCCCTGCTCTAGTAGCTAGTCTTCCCGGCCGGATGGCAGCGGGCGAGTTATCGTCAAATCTCGGCAGCAGTCTTGTGATCAAAAAGAGCAAGCATCCCCTTAGTCAGGAGCCTTTTCTTCCTTGTTCTTCTGCTTCTTCTGCTTCTTCTTTTTTAGTTCTGGTGGTCTATATATATTCAGTGGTTGTCGTGACCCTAAAGGCATCGACTTCTATTCATTTCCCCCAATTCTCCATCTTTCTCTCTCTCTTCCTCCACTAGCCGAACCCCACGGATAACCCACCCCGCGTCATCGCCGCCGAAGAGCTTCAAATCCCGGGAGCTCATCTCAGCTCAATTCCACTCAATCACCACTCCCGTTTTTTAATTCTCTCCCATAATTGAACCCCTTTTTCCGTGATAAAGAGCAGTGCAGAATCCAATTGTTCTAGAAAAGCTCTCTACTGCGCTTTGAAGCACCAATCTCCAAAACACCACATTACATCATCAACCACCAGCCGCCAAAATGACAGACACCGGCGAAAAAGTCAACACGCACATCATCACCCTCACGCGATTCCTCACGGAAGAGCAAATCAAGCACAAAGAAGCAACCGGTGACTTCACGTATGTTTCTTTTCTTTTTTTTTCCCATTCACCCATTGCGCTACATCCTGCAATTCCAGTTCTATACACAGCAACCAGATTCAAACTAACACGCTTATACAACAGACTCCTCTGCCATGCCCTCCAATACTCCTTCAAGTCCATCGCCTACTACATCCGCCGCGCCACCCTCGTCAACCTGACCGGCCTCGCCGGCTCCTCCAACACCACCGGCGACGAGCAGAAGAAGCTCGACGTAATCTCAAACGACCTCTTCATCGAGGCCATGCGCTCCTGCGGCAAGGTCGCCATGCTCGTCTCCGAGGAAGAAGAGACCGAGATCCTCTTCCCCCACGCCACCGGCGCCCGCTACATCGTCTCCTGCGACCCCATCGACGGCTCGTCCAACCTCGACGCCGGCGTCTCCGTCGGCACAATCTTCGCCGTCCACAAGATCCCCGACGGCGTCGACGTCGCTTCCAAGGCCGACATCCTCAAGGCCGGCACGGAGCTCGTCGCCGCGGGCTTCACAATGTACGGCGCCTCAGCCCAGCTCGTCATGACCATGCGCGGCAGCACCGTCAACGGCTTCACGCTCGACAATGGCATTGGCGAGTTCATCCTGTCCCACCCGGACATGCGCATCCCCAAGTCGCGGTCTATTTATTCCGTCAACGAGGGTAACTCGCTGTACTGGGAGGACAAGACCATCAACTACTTCAACTCGCTCAAGCAGGCGCAGGCCGACGGCAAGCCCTACAGCGCGCGTTATATCGGCAGCATGGTTGCCGATGCTTATCGTACACTCTTGTATGGAGGCATCTTTGCCTATCCCGCGGATAAGAAGAGCCCCAAGGGCAAGCTCCGTATTCTTTATGAGTGTGCGCCCATGGCCCTGGTTTTTGAAAATGGTGAGTTTTCATTGTGCTATGCCGCTTTTTTTTTTTTTTTTTTTCGTCTGGGAAAATGTAAATGCTAATATTATATGACAGCTGGTGGCCAAGCCGTTGATAGCAACATGAACAGAATGTTGGAGGTTGTACCAGAGCACATCCACGACAGATCAGGCATCTTCATGGGCAGCTATGATGAGATTGAAAAGGTCAAGTCATTCTACAAATAAGATAAGATGAAAATATGAAGAAGTGGGGAAGGGAGAGGGTAAGAGAGTGAAAGGAAACAAATGCATGACACGGGAACATCAAAAAACCTGCATCATATAGCAAAAGGCTGATTTGTGATTTCGTTTGTTCGTGGACGAAGCTATCAATCCACACATATATATAAACCTATAATTACACACAAAGTTCACATCCTCTTCCAAGTTTACCATCATCTTGTTTTGATCATTAAAGATAACACAAACAAAAGGATTGACAAAAGAAAAACATACCTCCTAATTTGCATCACCAAAACTTTGGAATCAACCTCGGCGTATTCTTCTTCCACTCTTGATAGTCCTTTCTATCTCCGTATCGCTTGTCATACTTTCCCTCGGAGAGGGGTATGCCAGATACCTTGAGAAGCAAAAAGGCCGCAAACGCGGGACTAACAAATGACAAGATAGAAGTCGTAATGACACTCAAGGGGCCTCCAGACAACCCCAAAGCTTGCTGGATGGGCAATCGGGCAAGAACACCAGCTACGACAGTCGCAATTCCGGCCCACAGGGAGATTTCCCCAAAGTAATTAGGGAACCGACTATCAGATAATCTCGTCAGATCAAATACAATATCAGGATAAACAGGTGTAAACTTTCAAGCTTTGAGACACAAAACAAAACAGGTTTCAAGTCGCACTACACGAGGTCTGAGAAGAGAAAAAGGTTTGTTTACACTTACCTCTTGGAGAAAAGCCCCCTCGTCATAAACTCTTCGTCATGCAGCTTGAGCTTCTTCTCCCTTTGCCACTTGCTCTTCTGCATATCTGCCAAGATTTCAAATGCAAAACCAGCCAGCCAAATCGATATGCCAATGACGTCCGTGGCAACGAGCTTGGGCATCGCAGCAGATGCCAGCACAGTTGCCGGGATGGCGTTGAGCATAATCACAGGCATAAGCTGGAACGATACCCACAGGGCCTGGAAGAAAAAGGCCCCAGAGAACTTGGCGGGATTGTGGCGGATAGAATCGAATCGAGAATCATGGCCGGCGGTAAGGATGCGATGGAATAGATACGAGCCAACTGTGGTTTGGTGGTGTATGAGCAATTAGTTAGTTTTCTCAACCTCATTCTCAACTAGTAAGATAATAAGTTTTAACAAAAGAAAGACAGGACCGTGTGCGGTTTTCGTCCGAATGTAAGATTAAAGCTCCCCTCGGCGTAAGGAACCCGGGTTTAAAGCATTGCAACTCATTGCACGACTCACGTCGAATTGCCCACACCGCAGTCATTCCCGTCAAGACGAGCTGTCTCCAGTTCAACAGTACCGCGACACCCGCATTTGAGCCCGCGCCCGCACTCGCACCCCCCTTCAAGATCTCAATCAGGCTCGGCAACCGAGGAACATTCGTAGCATTGGCGGCATAAGCAGCCGCGCGAGCTCGCAGCGCGGGGAGGTATAAGCTTAGCGTGCCGACAGCCAGGAAGGTCAATGAGCCAGACAAATCGTAGAAGCGCTCCGAACCGGCGAGGATGGAGGGGATCGCGACGGCGCTTTGGATAGCAAAGGCGGTGGCGAAGCAAGGGACGATGGACCGCAGGAGGGGGGAGTGGAAGTTGGTGATGTGGAGGAAATGGTCGAGGAGTGCCATGGCCTCTCGAGTTGGAGCTGAGCTGCTAATTGACGGCTATACTCATGTAAGAACTCAGTTCAAAAGACCGACGGAGAAATAGGATGAAGGGAATTGATTCTAGGTTGACAATGAAAAAAAGAGGGGTAGAAAGAAAAGAAATCATGTTTCGAGGACATGGTATGCAGTCAATTTATCCAACAGAAGATATGGTAGCATTGCATTCATTTGAACGAAAGGATTGGATGGCTGGAATGAACTGAAGCGTGGTGACGTCGACGCCAAAGCTACTCCGATTCAGCTCCAAGAAGCTATTCGCGCGCATCTTGTTGCCGCATGCATAATCTCAGTTGTAAAAGACGATTGGTTCCGCACTGCATTAAGATTGTAGATTGGACTGGTGATTGAATGAAATATTTCAATTGTGCCGATTGGTTGAGGAGTTGAGCCAATCGGTGCCTTTTTTGTATTTGATATAAACTGCTATAGCTGTATGCTCGACAACGTCATTGAATAGGTATAAAACAAGCGTGAATCAAATCACCTTCAATGGGAGAAGCTCTTCACTCCCATTTTGTCAGCGTTCTCAACTATATCAAACCACATAGTAATCGACGCATCCAACCGCTTCGACGACTCTGCGAATTCCTCGCCGCAGCAACCTCAGCTACAGCAGCCTTAGGGTCATCTTCAAACTCATCATCGTCTGCACCGTCCGCAGCCTCGCTCACGGCTGCAATAGCATGGATATCGATAGAGAAATCTCCCTCTTGCGTTCCAAAGAAGCTGCAGCCAACTCTCGTTAGCCGCCAAGTCCTGGCACACATATATAGCAAGGTGTTCAAAAAAAAAAGTATTAAGCAGAAAGCTTCTACACTCACCTTCGCATCATCAGCCCGACTCGTTTCACATGGGCCAAGTCCAACGGTTCTGCATCCGGCTTCGGCCTCCCTCTATACGTGGGCTTAAACGCACTCCACGGCAGATAGACATTCTCGTAATCCAAGCTCGATCCGTCTTGGACGACCTCGAATTCGGCCTCCCAGCTAATTCCAGCTTCTGCGCGTCCATCACCTCTCCGCGGGGGTATCTCATCCTTGAGCGTCAGGGCGTAGCGTTTCCCATCCGCCTTGGCCACCGCAATGACTATGCCCCCCTCGTAGTCGGATAAGTCCCAGTCCAGAACCCCCAAGCTATGCTGCGATGCAAAACCGGCACCGCCCAGTGTCTTGGTATCAAGGTGGCCATAGAAGCGGGCCTTTTCCGGATTTATCACGAACAGGTGGGACTGACTGGCGCCTCCACGAACTCGATCATCAGAAGTGACCCATAAGGAGGAGTCCCAGGGCCTTTTGATTCAAGACCCAAAGAGGCGGGTTTCAGTTAGCCTGGGATGCTCTAATTTTGACCGCTCATTTATACTGGTGCCTGCAATAGCTTCCTTTTTTTTTTCTCCCCTCCAAGTCATGTAGATTCTGAGGGTGTGTATCTTGCCTCCCAGAAAGCTAGAAAGGACGAAAGAAAGGTAAAACAAACATATCGAACTGTATCAAGCCAGACGAAGCCACCCCCAGAGTCTAGATTTCGGAACCTCATACCCAAATCCGAGTCTACCCCGATCGAGGCAATGTCCACATTCATTGTGGGCTTTCATTAGAGGCAGAGGGGTGACCTGAATCGAAGAGGCAAAAAAAACAAAAGAAGCCATCGCGGCGTTCGCAGGGCGTGATAGTCCAAACAGCAAAGCATCAAACACGCAAGAGGGGCTCTTACTGGTCTCCGCCGTAGAGATAGAGCAGCTTCCGCCGGTTCGTCGTAGCGTGCATCGTGGGCTCAAACCAAGAACAGGTGCGAGCGGCGATATCAGGCCAATGGTGAATTACTCATGAGAAGTGTCCAGAGGCTCGAGTGAAGCTGGCAAAAGGGCTCGCCAGCAGTAGCCTTGTTGGGTCAATGTACGAGTAAGTTGCGTTCGGCTGTATCGCTTGGGATTGGCGGATACTCCGATCGGAAAGAAAGCCGCCAGGCGCTGGCTGCGTTCGGAGTTTTCTCGCTCCGATGGATTACCAAGTCGCTGCCTGACTAATTGCTACAAGAAGAGACGCAGGCTTGCGGCGTTGGCACAATACGCCAGTTAACTCCGATACGCAAGCCACCGAAACCTTCGCAGAAGACACATGGAGATAACTGTCAAGAATAGAGAAATCGCGCCGCATGAGCTCACCAACGCCTCGTTTCCCACGTGTTTGACGGCGAGACGATGGGTGTGCTCGAAATGCAAAAAAGCCACCACAAGTACCGAGATGGCGAAGCTTTAGCGGCGTTAGAAATCGAGGCTCTGCTCTCTGCTTCTGATTCTTACACACACACACACACACAAGGGCGCACTTACATGGAAAAAAAGCCCGCCGCCGCCTTACCGGTGAATATTCTCCCCGCAAAACTTCCCGTAGGTCGAACTCGTCGAAAAAGCTGCGAAGCTTGGCTTTTGCCCTACAAGGCGCCCGGCGCATGTGTGGCGCTGCCGTAATCCACCATGGCGGCCGCAGAGGACGGGCGTGTGTGGCTTCGTCCACATGGTGAACACAAGCCACGGCCAGTAGCTCAACCGACTCGTCCGTAGCTCTTGATGAATTGCAAATCACACGTGCTAATACTGGGCAAAAAACATTTGGCAAGTAGGGTATAGTAAATGATTTTTTTTTATAATTTGGAGCACGCTTCTAGTGCCCGTTCCGTCATGTATTCCGGCGGGGATATCTAGTATAATTGAAAATAAAATGAAGTAACAGAGAAAACACCAATAAACTGTGCTTTGCTTAAGCATATCAGTCCGTTGCTCCTTGGAACGCCTGCCAACCAATCCCATCTTTCAAGTCATCCCAAATGTCCACTTCATGAAAAAAGATATCACAAAAAAGAGGTGTTAACACAAGAAAAAAAAAGAGCTCATCCAAAGCTCTCCAAGAAGAATGAAGGAGACCCAACACAATCGCCATGCTATTTGTCCTCGTAGAAAAGATCCCGTTGTGCACCCCCTTTGCCGTAGACCAGAACTCATTTTTTGCCCCGTAATGTCGAGTGCCTTGTTGTTTTGTGACAAGGTAGAATATGTATATATGTACTTCGGGTTTGTAGATGAGAGGGGTGATGAATTGCATGAAACCGGCATTTTTTTTTTGTTTAAATGTTTGTTTTCGTTTTTTTTGATTTAGTGCTGGTGCTGCATCAAGGCTGGAGAGCCAGGCATGGACAGCGGGGTGGTAGGGTACTCGAAGCCCGTCTCAGAGCAGGCAGCCGAGTGGTCGTATGAATGCGTCAGAGGAGGAGTCTGGCATTCAGAATCAGCAACGCAGATCCCGAGAGTAAGAGAATTGATGCCTAGCCGAACTCACCAGAGGGTTGGAAGGGTCGTAGGGAGTGGACATGCCCATATCGTGAGTCGGCATGAAGCCATAGCCAATGTATGGGCTGATGACGTTGTCGGGGTACATGTCTCGCTTGATGGGCTCGCTGTAGTGGCCCAGAGGAGGCAGCGAGGCGGGCATGGCAGCACTGAGGTAGTTGGGGTAGACCTCAGCAGTGGTCATGGCAGGATAGGCGTGAGCGGATCCATAAGGGTTCATGAGCAGCTCGTCGGGAGCTGGGTATGTGGTGTATGAGAGAACAGGCGGCGTGTTGGAGCGCTCGCGCTCGTCGTGGTGGTGATAGCTGGGGTGCACAAAAGACAGCTCGTCGTGAGACTCCATGGGAGGAGTGAATTGGCCCTGAGAAACAATGGTCTTGGGAGGCGTCGGGAGGCGGACAGGAGCTGGTGCCTGGTGCACTTTGTGGGCCTTGGAGATGGATTGACGCTTGGCGACCTTGTTGGGGCTGGTGGCAGGCTGGCTGACTGGCGAGGGCTGCTTCTCAGCATCGCCCTCTTCGGATCCAGCGCGGCGCTCAAGATCCTCCAGGCGGCGCTTAAGCTTCTTGCCTGCAGTCGAGTGTTAGATGGTTCTGCACAAGAGATCACGTCTGGTGGCTAAAACATACGGTAGTTGCGCTGAGCAATGCGGTTCTGTATTCTCCTGCGCTCGGCAAGATCTGAGATCTTGGTCCAGTCCTCGTCAGGGTGGGCAGAGCTGCTAAAGGCGCTGCTGGTGCCGTGGTTTGAGCAGTGTCGAGGAGGAGGAGGAGCCGGTGCCGGGACTGCGGCGTAGGCATAAGGGTGTTGTTGTGAGATGGCGAACATGGCCATTGTGATGTTGTGTGTGTGTGTGTTGTTGTAAAAAGAGTTGGTGATGTGGTGATGGAGGGGTGAAGAGCAAGGCAAGGCAGTGTGGTCTTGGCTCAGTAGAGAAGAGGCTCTTGCTTGATCAGATCAGAATGGAAGATATAACTGATGGATGGTTTGGATGAGATGTCGATTGGTATTATATAGATGATGTGCGTCTCAGCAATTGTTGGATCGGAATGGTCATGGCAGGCTGGACCAGATGGGAGGACGACGAGAGTTAAATACTGGATGCTTCGACTTATCTGCCTGTGTCTTGTCGAAGCTCAGTATGCAGACAGACCCTGGCCTCTGCAGGGCTGCATGGGGCCGGGCTTCATGGCTGGTGAAGCCCAGCAAGGCTTCGTGCGATGTACTTAGCGTCGTCGTGAGGTGGTGGAGGGGTGCGGGCGTGAAGCTGTGACAGGGCCACTGCATGCCGTCCAGGTACGTACCGCCCAGCAGGACGATCTGTGCCCATGGCCCGCCTCTATGCTGCGCGGGCAGGCGTGCACGTAGCAGGTACCCAGGCCCTGTCGCTGCATGGAGCGGATCTGGCTGTGTCTGCAGTGCAGCGACAGGGGGTGCGGCCGGAGTGGCTGTAGCAGCCGGGCGTGGAGGTAGGAGGTAGGCGATGGTGTGGGCGCTGCGAGTGGGATGAAGCGGATGGAGCGGGCCTGGAGCCAGAAGGGACCAGGGGGGCGTGGCGCCTGCCAGCAGTCGGGAGGCGTGACAGTAGGACTAAAGACACGGGGCAGGGACTCCCGGGAGAGGTACTTTCTCTAGTGCAGGCAAGAGCCACTGCCAGGCAAGAGCCAGCCCAGCCAGCGCCAGAGCCACGGCGAGCAAGAGCGACAGACAGCCAAGCCAAGTGCCCCCTCCCAATACAAATCATCCAAATCAAAGTCTGCTAAATGTAGCATCTCCATGCCGCTACTGGGTACGTAGCGGTCGCTCTCGCAGCCCACATGGCTTGGTGGCAGCGGTTTTTGTTTTTGTCATGAAAGGCCAAATTTGCCCGGTTTTGTCTTTTCCACAGGCGAGTGCCCCATCCGGCAGGCATTCATCTGCCTCTAGCCTCTGGCTCTGGCTCTGGCTCTGGCTCTGCCTCTAGCCTCTGGCTCTGGCTCTGGCTCTGGCTCTGGCTCTGGCTCTGGCTCTGGCTCTGGCTCTGGCTCTGGCTCTGGCTCTGGCTCTGGCTCTGGCTCTGGCTCTGGCTCTGGCTCTGGCTCTGGCTCTGGCGGTCCCTTGCGCTGCCACCCTCTCTTCCCGCGATATCCAGAGCACAGCACAATAGCGCTCTCGTCGTCGAACCCTCCCCCCCTTACAAGTGCTATGATTAGCAGGACGCGACAGCCGGCCCTCGAGACCGTGCGCCCGGGGGAATTGTTGGGCCCTCTCCGCCTCTACTCCCGGCGAATATCCGTCGACTACGAAAACGGCTATCCTGCTCATCAATGCTAGGCAGTGGGCCTACCTTATACTCTCTGGTCTGGATGGATTGGATTACTGGTACTGGGCAGCTCGCACCAGGAATGCCTCGCTTTCGCTCCTGGGAGACCGCCTATCTGCTGCCAATCCCTACTGATACAGGTGCTGCACGCACGCACGCTGCTGGGCTAGGATTCAGTCTGCTGGCAAAGTAAGGTACAAGTGGCCGGGCTAGGATGGCTAAGCCCAGCACTCACACGCAGTGCCGTCGTCGTCATAGGGCTGCGCTGACATCGCTCTAATGCCATTCGATCCTGAAGGTGTCGGCTAAGGCACAAGCGTCAAGCGTCAAGCTGCAAGTTGCAGGAGTCTCCTTATGCTAGCCCAAGCCTCTAGTATCGAGGCGCTTCTAGACGTCGAGACGTTGCATTCGAAACATTGCGCCCAGAAAGGAACAGAGGGAAAAACGGGTAGGGCACCCGCCATTCCTTCTGCTGTGCTTCGTAGAAGGATCTCTCGGACGAAATCGCATCTGGGCTGGCATTGGCCATTCCGCCCTACGAGGATGGCCTGCCGCCACATGTTCTTGAAAGGGGCGGCCTTTTGCCAGCGGACTCTCCCCCGGCCGGAGAGCTGGACAGTAGCACTGAGGCACGGACAGCTGGCAATTTGCTGTCACCTTGACCGTCACGAACTGCCTGTCATGCTGTTTACTCCGTATAATCGCAGCAGAGCCGGCCCTGGTGTAATTGGGGCCTTTTGCCGGGTCGGTAAAACCGGCAAACAAGCCATCAAAACAAGCGCTGTTCCGGAGCACAGTACTCCGAATCGCACACACTGGCTTATTCGCAACGCCGATTCTCAAGCTGTGGCAAATGCTATTGGTGTTTTTCGGAGCTCGAATCGCAACTCTGTATACTCCGATCCAGAGCTCTTGGAGCTCAACACCTTCGAATCGGCACCCAAATGGGGGGCCGCTTGGCTCCGATGCCCCTCCCTCCCCTGCAATATGATACATACTTTAGTGCCTAGTGCTGCTATGGACAAAGGTACTCATCCCGCTCTTTTCCCAGGGCATGACTCAACACAGACCTCAAAAAAGCAACAGCACGAATAGTTTCAACTTGCACTGTAGCAAATTCGCAAAGACCGCCATGACGGTACTTTTGCTTTCTTCCATATGCCTTGCTCATGCCAAGGCAGCAGGGGCATCTCGGCAGGGAAACTAAAACATTGTTGCCCAGTACAAGATGTTTCCAACGCCATCGACTCAAGTACAAAGACCAGTACTACCAAGGTCTCGAGCGTGCTCCGGCATTGCGGTCAGCCGTTTTCCCGTGTTGGTAGCGGTGGGCGAGCTTGTTTCCCCAAAATCCCACAGGCCAATAGCATCTGTCAGGCGGCATGTATTCGTACCTTACTTTGCGGTGGCGTTTCTGTAGGGCTCATCCTACTCCGCTCGTAGGGCCAATGGCCCAGCGGCACATCATGATCGCATCCATCCTGACGAGTACCGAGCTACTGGCCGGACGTAAGTAAGTTTTAGGTTGCGGCATCAGACAGACACAAGACGACGTGGAGATAACGGGCGTGTGGTTTCCAACCTCGCAAACCCAGCGGCAGAACGGTTATCGGAACCGTGTCACGGAACCCAACTGCGGCATAAGGAACTGAGTAATCAACCAAACGGTAACGCCCCTGGCGGCGTGGCGTCCTCTTTCTCCCGAGACAACGGCCGACGTCAAATGAGACGAGCGTTTGACAAAAGCCATGGCGCACCATGATAGGCGAATCTTAGGCAAACGTTATTAATGGCGACACAGACTGGATAGCCTCGTAGGGCGGCGGCTAACATGGCTACCAGTACCAAACACCCGGCTGTCGCCAAGCGCAGCACTGCCCACTCCGAGTTACCATCTCAAATCCATTGGTCCCTTGTTCAACTCTGTATTAGACTCTTTTCCTCATAAATACTCCTCTATTTACGGAGCGCCGCTAAAACTCTAGAGCTCTGGATATTGGAAGGGGGGGCGTGTGAGCGCGGCTACCCGTTGACCTTGGATTTGAGTTGAGCGCAGGACGTAAAGGTTGGGTTGGGCTCAGCCTTCACCGGAGGCTCTCGCTGCCGGCTGGCGGTGTCCCAGACCTTGACCACTAGGAGCCTGGATTCAGCCTAACTCGTGGCATCACACGTGCTTGGGGTATGGGAGGCTATTTTTGGGCCGCCTATGACGCCCATTACCAAAGCCATGCAGCCGGGTGCGTGATTGGCCTGCGTCCAACGACAAGTCGTCCACGGCCCCGCCTCCTTTGCGTTCCCCCTGCTTCTGGGACGCTGCTAAGTCATTGCGCCTGCCGACTAGCTTTACCTAGTGTACATGCGCGATTGGGAACAGCGCAATGTTTCGAAGCCAAAACAAAACAGCCATGGACCTCCAAAAGAGCCGCGGACAAGCGCCGAGCCTCTGCCCCCATCCCCATGACGCCAGGACTCTTTGCTCGACCTCTGCACGCGAGCAAATCACTGGGGGATATCGCTGGCTAGCTTCCTTCTAATCCGCCGAGTCTAGCAAGCGAGGTGCAAAGGCTTCACTGCGTTTGGCTGCTGCTGACGCCCACGCTCTGCGATCCTATCTACAGGATGCTATGTATAGCATCGCCTAAGCCAAAAGAGCCTCCCGGAGATATCTACCACGCACCTGTTTCCCTCTGCCCTGGGCCCCCCACAGCATCTTTCATTTGCAGCACATGGCATTCGATGGCACCATTGTCAGCGCCCAACCGTGCCGTCCCAACCCACCTCTCGCCCTTTCACGTTGGCCAACGTGGTGTTGTTGCTCCATGGCATGCAAGATGGGGGGCCTAGCCCGATCTGCTCCTTCTATGCATGGCCGTTGCTTTGTCTCCTGCTCGATTCCAACGGCGCTGTCGCATGCCGCAGCCATATGGGGACACGCTGAGTTGTTCGACATGTTTTCACCACTAGGTATCTATTTGTATGGAGCACCTACACTTGTATGCCGCAGTGCTGGTCCTCTCTGGCCCCAATTAGACGAAGCTGCTGCTGGGGTCAGGTGGCTACTTTGCACCACCTACGACAAATAGTCCACGAAGAAGCAGGTATCTATAGGTTTACGACACGGCCAGCGGCTACCTGCAGTACATTGTTTTAATCCAAGGGCTGGTCGGCTGCGGTGACTAATCTCCCCAGGGTAATCATATTTCCCCAAACCGGCATATGAGGGACAATTTCTCCGGCCCCAATAAAAATTCTGGCCCAGCGAGAAGCGCATACAATAGCACGGGAGCCCGAATACGGCTACAAGCCGGAAGTGAAAAAAGACGAGAGGCCTAAAAAGAGAAACCCGCTATCAGGGCACCCCCGCCTGAGGAGTCAAAAAGGCAAGTGAAGTGATTCGCGTCACTATCTCCTCCAAAACAGGCAATCAAGGGTCATCGTCAAGTGTTGATGCCTTTTAGCCCCAACCATTGCAGGAAATTGATTTGACATGATGCGTAGCACGATTCAGCAACAAGAGGGGAAAGCAATACAGCGCCAGAAATTTTATGGAGAATGGGGGCCATCATCATCAATCATCATGAACACCCCTTTCATTAACTTTGGAGGTATGGGTCCCAGGTTTTCGTGCCGTGCGTGTGGTGTTGGTACTGGCCATCCCACGGCCACCGCGGTGCTCCCCGGGAGCTCTCCAAAAGATCCCGACCCCCCGGTTCGAATTGGCCGTCGCATACGGTACTGGCCTCTGGTGCTGGTTCCAAGTACCCAAGGCAGCGAGCCACAGGCAGCGAGCCACAGGCAGCACACTACCCAAGTCCCAGGTGACAGAGTCCGGCATGGCGGCGGCCCCTCCCTTGCCAGAGCCAGGACTTCAGATGACCAGCGGAGCCCTTTTTTGTCATCATGAGCAGGTCAGGGGGTGTGGGCCCAGAAGCCCCTTATCCAGCCAATGGGCCGCCGTCCCTACCCGTCGGGACGACGCCATCTGCCACATGTCAACTCTGTCTGCCGAGTCTCCCCTTCAATCTCAGCCCTACATCCCAACGCTGTGGATAGGGCGCTCGCTGGACGTGCTCTTTCAGGCCACCCGGGAGGATCTTATCCCTTGGATCGGGTTCGCCCTACGAGCAAGGCAGACATTAGGCTTATTTTTCTCCTCGCTTTCTCCTACTCTCTCTCTCTCTTTTGGCACAGCTCAGCTCAGCTCCCCTTACTTTTACTTTTCTTACCAAAAGCGGCAGGAAGATTCACAGGATGCCAAGCTGCTGGGTCACGTCTCCCGCCCCCCTGAGACAAGATAAAGCTTCCGCCAAATACAGCGCATGGTTGTAGATTAGGTAGCGAAAGAGAAGAGTCAAGCGAGGGAAATGAATGAGCCGGGAACGAGGAACGAAGTTAGCGGGCTCTCTTGCTTGGTTGGCCTAGAGCGACGGCAAAGACTAAGATTGCATTGAGTGCTATTGTCAACTTGTAACAACGACTATCAGCCAGCATCTCACTTTCTTAGAGGCGGCACAAGTACGGGGTAAGAAGGAAGAGCTTGGGGATTGTCTGGAGACATAGTTTGGAGCAGCAAGTGCCGTTCCAAGTTTTGCCCAATTATTCTCCTTCTCTAGTGGCGCCCACCCTTAACTCAACAGCCACCAGCACCAAAAAGGGCGCGCATCGCATACCAAACACCCTGCGGCGCAACGCCACATTTACCTACCCACTGCCGCGATCAGGCTTAGCCCCAGCCTTTTGTGAGCAGCCGCCAACAGGCAGAGCGGGAAACCGGGTGATGATGATGTTTGTGAGGATGAAACGCCGCAGCAACATTTAGTTATTCCCGCCGTTGTGTGCTTGTCAAGACGAGAATCCCACGGAAATGTGCCGGCTTGTCACTGTCACTGCCACTGCCACTTGCACAGCTGCGCGGAACGGCTAATATCCGAGCCAACAACGTGGTCCGCGGGCGCAGGCAGTTTGGATGGCTGCAAGGAATTCCAAAAAAGTAAGTTTTTGGGGACTTTCAATTTGATTTGGAAAGAGAGGGCGTCGCTTGACGCTTTTTCCATCTCCATCGAGGTGGCAGCAGTGCCGGCGTCCCAGCATCAATGCTACCTCACCTCACGCCCCCAGGTCGCATCTGGCTTGTGGCATGAACCATCGCTTAAGGGTCGCTAAGAAGCCCATATTTCTGTATATCACATTCGATGCCAACTAATGTATCGACATGCGCTTTCCGTCTCCCCCCGTGGATCTGCCCCTATAAACAGGTTTCGCTGTGCGCCCGCAAAAGGCGGCTAAGCGGCGCATCACAAGAGTTCAATGCTACCACCGCTGCTGCTACGTACTTGCGTACCTAGCTCTACCACCCAAAACGAAGCGAGAAACGAGGGTCTCGAGTGGAGAGCAGGAGGCGTGTCCCGACAGAAGGGAACGATGAGATCGATGCAAGGTGCTCTTGGCCCAAAAGAGGCCTTCGTATTGGAGCGAAATTAGCAAAGGGCTCAGTTTCACGAGCCGTGGCCGCGGTACTATGATGTGATGGGGGCCGTTTTCCCAAACTGCTCCTTCTGACCAACAACCAGTTTTTTTAGATGGAATACTACTTGCACGTACCTGTTGTTGGTTGACGATCCCAAGCTAACGCCCCCCCTACTCTACAACGGTTTCCAGGTTAATTATCCCCATTCCCAGGTATTTGATACAGTATCAGGACCAACAAGGTCGGACGAATGCGGCACATGGAAAAAACCCTAACCACCCGGCTGGTATCCCCAGCATTACCGCTTTAGGCAAGCCAGGAGAGGCTTGTGACCTCGCGCGAGACGACATGCTCTTCTTTGCTTGCCTGCTCTTTTGGCGGATAACCGGCATTTTGGAACGGCCACGGTCCACTCCCGGTGGACTGGATCCGTCCGCCTGGGGGCCCCTCAAGCTCTTTGAGTTGAGGCGAGGCGAGGGGAGCGAGGGACATGGGACAAGGGACCTGAATGCGAAGCTGGCCAAAGCTCGAAATAGAGAGCCGGCTACCCCATTGGGGAGATGGGCAAAATGATTCTCTCGTTCTTTGTGTTTTTCTATGCAGCCATGGTTACAGGTACGGTTACGACTTTGCAATTTCCTGGGACACTAGTGTGATGCAAATCGACGACGAACAAGCGCTACCCGGGGGGCTGGTCCAAGGCAATGGAGCTGCCAAGCAAACGATGCTATCATCGGTTTTGCATGGCGTACATCATAGGCTGGCACGAGCGGCTCTGTACTCCGTGCCTTATACGGGAAATTTGCTAGTGGCGGTCAACAACACCAACCAAAACCATCGCCACAGGCAGTTACGTGCGTTTAGCAATTGTCAAAATCTTATATACTCACCTCGCTTTATTAAATTCGCCTCGCCGCAAGCAAGTCCACCCAAGTCCCTTCTTCCAGCAGGCATCGCCAGGCATAGATGAATGCGTTACCTTCGCATACACAGCGAACTCGCACAGAAAAAGCCGCTTTGCGGCGCGCGCGGCCCATCCGGCGGCGTGAAATTTGAGCGCCGGACGAATCTTGCACCGATTTCGGTGGGGAGCCCACCAGAGCTCTCCCCAAACGCTGCTAAATCCACGAGCACCAAAGCTGTGGCAAAGCTCTCTCTGGCTCTCCAAGGGGTCCCCAGCAGTGGGATAACCGGATCTTCGCTCCACAGCGGGCTGGCAGGCCAATGAAGCTGTCCAGCGACAGCCGGCCTGGAAATCACGCTGCCAGTACCAAACAGCTACAAGCAGCTTGTACTCTTTCCCATGGGTCTCCGGTATTTTATTCTGTCTTCCGGGTCTAACTGGAGATGAGCATGGGGGTCGGGAAGGTATTTGCATTTTTGCTCAGTCTGTTTCAACAACCTATGCCAGGCCAGGCGGCGTCTCGCCAGCTGAGCCGTTTTGGCTTAGCCCTACCCAGATCTCCCTGCCGAGTCAGGACACAGCATGTGGACTATCGCGACTCTGGCGATTCTTTTTGGGTTCGCCTAGGTGCGTTTGAACAGACTGCGGATTTCCGATCCTGGCAATGGATGCGCCCGCTAGTGCGAAACGAAGCCAAATTTGATTTTTTTTTCATCCCGTCACTGACTTGACTTGTATCATGCTCCTTAACGCTATGCACATCACGAAGCTAAATATACCTGGGAGTATAGCTTCGCATCTATTTCCGGATCGCTGCTATGGGTTGCTTAGCTAAAAAAGCAAAGCAGAGTTTTTTAGAATTGTCGTACGATTTTGGCGACAGCACTAAGTACTAGCTGTGCTGTGGCCTACCTAGGCTGCTTCATTTATTTTCCAACGGGCTGCTCCGTTCATTTTAGAGCAGCAGCCATTCGGAGGGATTTTTGCAAACGCGTGCTATCGTGCAGAAGTTTTTTTTACTATAAGCCGTGTCCAGTTCAGGAATATGCTGTAAGTCTATCAGTTGGCCATGCCCCATCCAGCCTTGAGACGGAGGCAGCTTTAGATACAGTCTACGACGTATCTACCAACATGGCGGCACAGAGCATAAAAAACGGAGTAGGAGGATAACGGAAGGCAGCAAATCCGAAATGCTAAAATGCCAGGCTTAGTGTTTAGTGCCTCGCCATATTAGTGCTCCGTATTCAAGCAACTAGCTCTGCGATCGACCCATTCCCATTTGAACAGAGTCCCACAAGGCCAAGGCAGCTCTCGGGGAGTAAAGGGCATAAATCCTATATGGAGTAGTAAGTATTAGGTGAGTAACAGAGAGAAGAAGAGCCTCTTATGGCATCGCCACGCTGCATAGAGCAGGGCTTATTCAGATAAGGAAAGATAAACATATGATACCAGAAACTCAAACTCCGCATTCCTGACTTCCCGTCTGACCCAAATCGCCATCGATTACGATCTTTGGGTTCTTACTGTTTTATCGCCACGGACGACAGCCGTCGAGCGGTGTTTTGCCAAAGTGCGATAAGACCGCATGAAGCCGGATAAGTGCTATGATTTTAAGATTCACTTCGTCCTAAGATGGTGGCACGGCACTCCGGGAATAAGTTCAAAACAGCTCTGCTGCTAACCTGCCCAGACTCTATATATGAAGCTCTTTGGGGCTTTTTTAGCAGAGGACGTCCCGACAACCATAAGCTCCAATTTGCGCTCGGGAGATGTCCGAGTCCCTTTATTTTACCCCTCCCCTCCCCATTTTTCTGTTTGTGCTTTACCTAAGGCATTCAGCGGCATTTGATTGGTTCCCACACGCCCTCTCTTCTCTTGGTCTGGTCCAATTGGAGTGACAAGGCCCCCGCGTTTCCTACTTCTGGGTATTTTGGGGGCCCTAACTAAAGGGTTAAGCGGTACCTCTAAGCCCACTGCTAAGCCCGTCTTGGAATTTGTACATCGAAACAGAGCTTCCGCCCATACGAAAGAGAACCCCCCCCCCCCCCCCCCGCCTCCCGCTTTCGATTTGCCGCCAAATATGCTAAGGTACCTTTTTTAGAGTGGGCTCCCATCTAAATTTTGGGGGGCGGCTCGTGTTTTTTGGTATCTTTCTTCAAACAACAGTCCAATATCAAATCTTCAAGGCTGTCCCGTCCGAAATAAAACGGGGCACCGTAAAGAAAAAGCGTCTCCACTTTCGTCCGTTGCGCTTTGTTTGGTGGTTCTTTTGGTGCCGTTTCTTCTTTAGAGACCCCCATCTGGTACAGAAGAATTTAAGCCTGTACTAGGCCTTCAAGGAAATTTGCTAATGGTTGCTTGACGATATCGGAAGATACTAGGTAGGCATACTGCATAATCGGGATACAGGTGTCATGTACCCAAGTTGCAATATACAACGTGCCGCTCCAGTGGGATTTTCCCGCTTGGCGCTAGCCTGTGCTGTAGTACCTGCCTAGACTACCATTTGCCTTACCCGGGAAAATAAAATACATGAACCGGAAGCGAGGCGGGACATACCCGGGAGCTTGTAATTAAGTGATGTGTGCTTGTTGATTTGTTAATCTTCTTCCCGAGGAGATATCGTCAATTTCCTCGTGAAGAGGATTCCACAGTGGAGGTTCCTTTTTTTTTTCTCGTGCCTCGCTTAGAGTAGAACACAAAGGATCCAAAGACAAATCATGATTATACCTATCGGCATTGGTAAGATGAAAGATTAACGTCGGTGTCTTGATTAGTACGCTGATTACAATTTGTGCCCTCTTGTTGTTCGGACTTTGCCATAGCCATGGGGTTCGGGGTTTGATCTAATCGGGAAATTATACGCCAAGGAGGAAGCAAGCCAAGAGGAGCCAAAAGCTATAGTACACACACACACACACACACACACACACAGACGTTCGCACAAGGAGAGAAAGGCTGGATCATCTGAGACAGCTCAATTCCCAAGCTCCAGATCCTCGGGAAATGAGGAACAAATAAAGTGATGAGAACTGTTGGAGGAATGACAAGGCATCAGTCAAACCAAATATGCCCACAGTGCGTGCACACGCCCCTCCTTCGCTTCCCATTGGTGTGGGCTACACTAACTGCAGTTTTTTTTTTGCAACTAGCATACTTGTAGAGCAACTTTTCGAATCTTTTAATCTATTTGCCTTTCATTCTGCCTCGTTTCGTTTTAGGAAACGTCTAGTACTTTTTTTTGTTTTTTGACAGCAAGGCATAGGGCACTCCGTATAAAGGCTAGGTACTACTAGAGCACGCAGTAGCAGCACAGCCCATTCGGGGGAATTAATAAGAGCACGATACGAATAGATGTGATTGATAAAAGAAGAAGGGCTGCCGGCAACAGAGAAACGCCGCCAATGAGAGCTCGCCCATGTCCTTTTCCCGTTTTCCCACGCAAGCTTTCTCTCACTCTCTCACTCTTTCCCGCGTCCGGAAGCAAATCATGGATACCCGGCGAGACGGCTATCAAGCACTCCCAGTCCCGCGGTTTTTGTATATACCCCGATTTTTTTTTCCCTCTAAGCCTTATCAAAAGGGCATACCGGTTTTAAGCCGCACGCCAAGTAGCTGCGCGCGCGCGCACGCACGCGGCCTTTTTACAAGGTTTTGTGAATGCCAAGTATAGCAGATTAATTTTGCGTTTACTAAGCGGGTAGAGAGAGAGAGAGACAGGATTCCAAAAGACCCCAAAATGCTTTCTTTTTTTTTTTTGTGTTACTACTTCTTTTCAGTTTACATCGGAGACGCAGTAGATTAGATAGATAGATGCCCGCAAGCGCAAGACAAGGGGGCGTGTGTATTGGGGTATTTTGGGGTATCTGATCCAAAACGACTGGCCGGAATTAATGCGTCCGCTTTTTAGCACTTAAGCCCGGGACCGCTCGCCGCCAGTATACCAAAAGAGGAAATTTTGACTTATTTTGACTTATTTGAAATAGCAGAAAAAAAGAGGCTTGCAAGCCAGCGAAGATTCCAAAAAACCAGCGCATTTGATATTGCGTTTGATATGGATTTGTCTTTGTGCAACTTGCCCTTGATGTCAAAACTCTATAGGCACTTTTCCTTTAGTCGATAACAAAAGGACTAACGATATTACCCCGTTTGTATCCGCATAGCCGCCCATATCGAGAGCGATCAAGGCATTCTCGTTCTCTTGTTACACGCCCTAGCTGTGTATACAACGCACTCGGGCTTTCCCACCCCGCGTTGCACACCAACTCCCAATAATCCGCGTTACATCTTTGTCGATTATCTTCAACCTAGGTGCCACTCCGCTCTTTCGCTCACTCAACTCACCTCAGTTTGCCGCCTACGAGGCGGTCTGTTTTTCTTGCCACTGCACACCTTTCCCGCACCAACCGTGCATCTAGAAGGCGCCCTTTGGGGGGATGTGAGAATCCAGCAGCATGAGGTGTAAGGATGCTATTCTCATAACTTGCTTGTCTGGGAGCCTGTGTGCGTCTGTGTGTTCCAAACTACTGCAGCTGCCGGCGCGCGTCTCAGCCTTACAACGTTGACTTGGTCCCGGCAGTGCCGTTCCCTAAAACAGCACCAAGGAATGACAGCATCGTCATCAAACACCTCCTTTATTGTCTTATTTTATTTTCTGACTTGCATTTTCCTTTGCTTCCCCGAATGGCAGCTTCCTTAAGGTTCTCACGCGGATGATTGGCTATCTGGCCCCTCCCCTTCAACTTTTCCCCTCTGATCTCCCTCCTGACCCGCACTATGGACCAGAGCTACGGTATGGGAGGAGGCGAACAAAAAGAGGTGCACAAACGCAACGAGTGATATTGCCGGCAAATGATATCCAACATCACTCAATTACGAGACCCAGATTCCATATTTTAGACAAAAGAATGTCACCAAGCTCTAGCATACGAAGCGGGCGCCCGATTTCTTCTCCCCCTCTCTGTGCCGCGCCTCCCAAGCGAAGAGCTTAAATAGGTACAAAGCAGCAAAAAGAGCGCAGTACCTGTACGCGGAAAGGGGACGCGAAGCTTGACCAAGTAGGTGTCTGTAACGGCGCAGCTAAACTAGACTGGTGACATCTTTCTTTCTCGCTGTCTCTCTTCTCCCTCTCTCTGTGCGTTAGAGGAGGGCGGCAGAGGGGACAGAGGTGGGTTTTGCAGCGAATAGTTTCAACAGTTGATGCCCTCACCTTGCCCAATGCGGTCGCTACTGTGTCGCATCGGCTGGCCCCCACGCCCCCCCGGGGAGGATCAAATTGCTTTCTGCGGCGGCATGATTGGAGGGAACACAAGATGGGGCAAGGCAGCTCGTGCAACCACGAAGCTTCCAAATAGCCCGTTGGCAGCGAAGATGGGATGGAGAAGTGGACAAGAAAGCGCCCGTTTTTTGCTCTGCTCTTTCTCCAATGGACGTCAAAATTCCAAAAGCTTGGGTGTATAAGTCGCGGTTCCAGG